CTAGTTAAGTAGAGTCTGTTCAAAGTAACGGTACTTTATTTTTCACATACATGTATTTTATTTAACACACCCCTGAAGGGGGGAGTGTGCAGCCCCACTGTACAGCGCCCGGGGACCAACTCCAGACAAACAGCACTGACTGGAGAACCTACCTAACACGTTTTTGATGGTGGGGGAAACCGGAGAACCCGCAAGAAACCCACGCAGACACGGGGAGAACATGCAAACTCCGCACAGAAAGGCCGGGGCGACCGGGGTTCGAACCCGGGACCTTGTCGCTGTGAGGCCACAGTGCTATGCACTAGGCGGCCTATCACACTGGGCTAATAAAAACATGAATCTATTGAAAGTACAAAGATTTAAACAAGAATATTTTGATTCAGCCTCAATTGATTTTTATTTTTTATTTGAAATCCGGCCCCCACAGTGTCTGCTTGGACTAATTCTGGCCCTTGTAACGAGTCCCCAGTTCTGGTTCCAGTTGAGAACCGACTCTGGATCCACATGGATGTGTGCGCTGTTGATGGAGGACGGGGGCAGTTGGCAGAACAAGCCGGCTTGGTATTTATAGACCGTTCAGGTGATCTCGCTAATGAGACAAAGCTCAGAGGAACTCGCGTCTGATTTGAGGTGTGTGTGTGTGTGTGTGTGTGTGTGTGTGTGTCTCTGGAAGAGGCCATTTGTTGAATTAGCTGGGCGGTGTTGAAGTGTTCAGCGATTAAAGTTAATCCTTGAGTCTTGGTGATGTAAGAACTGTCGTTTTCCCCTCTGTCCCTCTCTCTTAATACCTCTCTCTTTAGCACGTTAAGTTCTCGCTGTTGAAAACCTGTGTGTGTGTTGTCAGCAGTACCCATTCTCCAAACAAGGATGCCCTGTGCATTTGGCTGTGTACACACACTTTGTGTGGGTGTATGTGAGCACGTTTATTTGTACGGGGCTTTGGTGTCAGCGTCTGAGCAGAGGGGAAATGATTCATCACGTCTGGAGGAGAGATAAAGCAGAGAGGAAGACGTGAGAATGGATGATAGTAGGCGCGAGGCCCAAAACAAATGGCTTCTACTGCAAGTGTGCGTTGAACTGAATCAGTGGGGCCACTAAACTGAAACAAAAGCCACTTTATAGAAGCCAAGACGCTCGTTTTCTGTGTGCTCCAAGCCTGATTTCTGTAACTAAACAATCCCAACTTCGCTGACAGTTGCAGAGGCTTTTTGTTTATCTCAGCTGCAGAGAAGCAGACCTTTTAACACAAGACTGTTTCAAATAGAGGCTTTTTTTCCCCCTGTAAGTTTATACTGTTGCAAAAAGAAGCCTCCTCATTTTTAATCTGCCATGTTGAACTTCCAGTGACCGGTATGAAGGAGTGTGAGAGCGATGACACCAAATTTAACACACCTGAGACCTTGTAACACTAACGAGTCACATGACACCGGGGAGGGAAAACGGCTAATTGGGCCCAATTTGGACATTTTCACTTAGGGGTGTCCTCACTTTTGTTGCCAGCTGTTTAGACATTAATGGCTGTGATGTGTTATTTTGAGGGGACAGTAAATTTACACTGTTATACAAGCTGCACACTCACTACTTGTAGCTAAGTGTCATTTCTTCAGCAAGATATAATCAAAAAAACTTTATCCAAAAACTGTGGATCGCTTCACAAATCTGAGGCAGAACAGTCAAAACAATTATGATAAAATCTTTGTCAACAAAATATGCACGAGTAAAATTAAGTAAAAGCTTTTTTCAGTCCTTTTTCCTCAACAAAATAAACATCTCAATAAAAAAATTAAGTCCTAATTTGTGGATAATTCAAGTGAATAAAATAAAACATTTATTGAACATTTGTTATATTGTTATTGAAGAAAATTATATTGCGATAATTAAAAACTGTACGCGACACGAGCTCCACAATATAATTTATCAAACTGCATCGAACTCAGTGAGCTCAGTGCGAGGACCTGACAACATCTGGTTTTTAAAATAAGGTGTTAACACAACGTAGATACAGTGTGGAAATGAGATTAATTGGATTATATTCAAAGGAAGGAAGTATAAAACATGTTGTATGTGTCCATTAAAATTAAGAAAGACACTTAAATGCAGGGAAATTATTTTATTCTTTGAGCGCGAAGTTCATCACAGATTTATTTACTTACTCTCAAAGTGCACCATGGTCAACATTTTCTCCCGCAGGGTCGCTTGCCCCCGGAGCCCCAAGAGGGTCTGATGTCTCTGTAAACTCTAAATAAAATATAAAATAATTAATAATTTAAAGGTAACAAAATCAAAATGTAGTGCAAAGGTTTACGGCACTCTGGTCTGTCTTCCCGCCGCTCCAGTTATCTGACGCGTGTCTTTCTCTGAGTTAGAGTAGAAGGCAGTGCTGAAAATAAACCTTTTGAGTCCGGATTTAAAAGTAGTCACATCTTCTGGACGTTTATTTCAGCTAGTAGCTAAACGCATCTTCATGTATTGTTTCGACTCTGTGGACGGCCAATAGGCCGGGCCCTGATGACCTGAGGGGTGAAAACGTCTCGCTGATGTATTTTTGGATCTAAACTATTTAGTGATTTACAGGCGAGCGGCAGCAGTATTTTAAAAATCAATTCTGTGATCCAAGGCAGGGATTTGAGAATTGGTGTAATGTGTTCAAATTTTCAGAGCAGGTAGTTCCACTTATTTCTTTCCTGGCTTTTATATGAGACTCGAACAGTGTTGTGACCGACCGGACACATGATCTCATTAGCCGACTGTTTTTAACCAACCCTAGCGCCTGATGCTAATCGGGTAAAAGCCACACAGAGGAGTAAACCGCCGCAGCGCACGGCGTGCTGCACCTTAACTCATTACTGCTCCGTGTCTCTGGTGTGTAGTTCTCTGTCCTCGTGATGGACGTCTTTGTCACCACCACAAGCAACTGTGAAAGCATCCAGCTGGGGGGGGGGGGCACCATAACTCACCACTGTACATCCTCCTCGCTGTGTTTGTGCACATACTGCCGGTGGCCATGGAGCAGATTACCATGGCAACAGCGCGTCAGATCTTTGCAGGCAACGTGCCCCCCCCCCTCTCGTCTTCCTCAGATAATGTTTCATTGAGTGTGCATTTGACTACCAGTCGTGAGATTATTATCCTTTGTTGGTGTGTCATTTTCATCTAATAATGCCTGGTGCCATGTTCTGTGGTAATTAGGTGGGTGGGTGGGGGGGGGGCGCAGACTCAGCCCTAATAAGAACAAGACAACCTCAATCCAGTATTAAGGCTAATGCAGTAAATGGATCTGCACTTTTTCAGGCTTGTGTGGTGTTAGTTTTGCTTCAGCCTGTGTGTGTGTGTGTGTGTGTGTGTGTGTGTGTGTGTCTGCTGGGTTTTCCTGACTTGACCGTCACACAGTGCTGTTACGTGAAGATGAACCTGCCATGGGTTCATTTCTGAGGGCGCTATTTAGCGGATAAATTCACACACTGACTCAGACGCTAGAGTAAAACAGTGGACGCAGCGTGAGTAGAGCCTGCTGTCGGCTCTGTGAGGTTGTCGTGTTCACTGTAAAACCAAATTAAAGATGACCGAAGTTGAGCTCCAAAGTGTTTTTGATTCTTAGTGCTGGTGTGGTAAGTGTGAAAACAGTGGTAGTGGTCGTCATGTCAGTGTTGGCAACAACATTAACAAAGCAAGGAAGTTTATTTTCACTAAACAACAAAAGGTTGTATAATGAACAAAAAAATACATTCTGTACATACATTTAAACGCCCAGAACATTCTGCAGTGCGTGTTTTTAATCTGCGTCTCGGAAGGAACTGCAGCCACAAGATGATAATCTGGTTTCACTTTCACATTAAAAGCATCCATCTTGACTGTGTTTGAGCGCCAAGCATCGTCGATGTAAAATAAGGTCCACCTCCTCTCATCTTGCCCAAGTCGTCACCTCTGAACACGGTTCACCCGCAGAGGTCTTGATCCAGGATCTTGATCGGGGCAGGTCTCTGTAAAGATGTGGGAACAACAGTCACATTTTGTCCCAACTGGACTTTAGCCAGGAGCAGCTTTAAGTCCTAGCACGGCCCCTTTTCTGGCTCCTGCCATGGTGCCGGTTCCGGGTTGATCACGGTCTGCTGCTCTTTAATCCAAAACCTGTCTTCCTTGTCCAGTGACTTGTATGTATCTCTGTCAGAGGTGACGCGTGTTTCTGCAATAAAGCTTGAAACGACAGATGAAAAACAAAACTGCAGCGAAGCTTGAAGGAGCCGCCAGCTGCTGCTGCTGCTTCTAAAAGCGCTGCCAGTTGGCAAAGCCATGGTAATGTTTGTTGTTGTTTTTTGGGTCATAAACTTATTGGAAAAGTTTAAATTTTGACCCGATGAAGGCTCCACGTGAAAAGTCAGTCAGTATCTACTGCATACGAGACGTGGGTCCTGGCAGTTGTGACATGACGTAAGAATCTCACCGTCAATAAAACTTCACAGAAAGGAAGCAAAAATGTTTTTCCAAAGATTTAATACTTTTATTTTTCCAACAAAAAAAACTCCGGACCTGTTTTTGTTTTTAACACTTCCAGCTGTGAGCAGCCCCTGTACTTCACATACAATACTTCACATCGACATTTACTTTTTTTTAACGCAGAGTGACTGTTTTGAGTTTTCTGTCTGTAATCTGTGTGTACCTGAAACTTTTCTGTGGTCAGATCCAGCTCCGTCAGCTGGATGAGCACACACAGAGGGAAGAAAGCTTCTTTTTTTTATTTTATATTCTCTAGACCAACTTCAAGGGGGCATCTAGTATTTATGGATTGTCTGATTGACGCTACGCTTCTTGTGTTTGAACCAGAGTGAACCTGTGTCATGTGATCACCAAAGTCGGCAGGATTCGTCCTCAGGGGACAAAGAATATCTACCAGATTTTAATGGCAATTTATCCGATTGTTGTACAGCGAGTGTGAAAGTATAAAACAGCCAGTAGTGTGGGTCGTTCTTCCTCACGGTGTCTCTTTCCTTTGTGTCCTCCAGGCTTCCTGCTGTTCAAGGACTTCTGTATGAATGAGATCGACGAGGCCGTGCCGCAGCTCAAGTTCTACGAAGAAGTAAGTCTAAAGCGTCCCGTGTGTGTTCGGGATTAGACGGCATCATGGGACGGGTGAGAGATTAGGCCTGTAATCCCGCTCATTCAGAATTTAGGCCTCCCCAGGAAGCGATTTGCGTTGTTTTTGTTGCGGCGTTAAGCTGACCTCGTGTGTCTGTTCCAGATTAAGGACTACGAGAAGCTGGACTCCGAGGAGGAGAGGTTGAGCCGCAGCCGGCAGATTTACGACGGCTACATCATGAAGGAGCTCCTGTCCTGTTCACATGTGAGGGCACCTTCAGATCAACGCTGCGTCACTAAAGCACTCGCAGTCAAGGTGGTTCCCAATCTGCCCCCAAACGGGTCATCAAATAGATCGGATGGTTGTGATTGAACATGTGTTTGATAGTTTTTACAACACAGGCCTATAAACATCTCTAATAATCAGCCCGTTATTTACTAATTAAATAATCAGTTGATTGTCCAGAGTCCAAATGATATTATTATATCCTTGTCTGACCAACTGCGTAAGACTCAAATATATTCAATTTACAATATAAAGAGATAATAAATTAAATACACAATAAATAAATAAATCCATACAGTGGAGCAGCGGGGACCAGAGTAAAGCTGCAGTTTAAACGATTAATCTATAATCTAAAGGGTTTCCATTAATTATCTTTCGTAGACGAATGCAACACAAGTACATTTTTTTGGCCATCACAAGTCAGAAAGGTTGGGAACCATCGCTGTAACATAACACCAGCACAGAGAACAATGCCTTCAACCCCAAAACAACACAGCGTGTATAACGAGGGCTGCACATGTGACCACAGTTCTGTGAGTTCTGGATTACCACCAGCACAGAGGAGCCTTTCAGACGTCGGACACGCACCTCGTTGTGTAAATTTTCTGACAATTTCACACAGAATAAGTCACAATGACAGCGAGATAATGCACTTATCTCTCATCATCTTCTGTATAAACTAAATTAAATCACTTTAGTGAAGTATGAAAGACTTCTGATCAAACCGCAATAATAATGTTTCCGCTCACAGAGCAGGGGAAGATGAGCGTTAAAAAACTTTAATGGATCACTCGTCTATATTTTCAGATTTCCCTCAGGGCAAATGCATCTATGCAACGTCTAACAAAAGGCTCCACATATATACAGCACGTGAGCAAATGGCATTGAATCCCTTGCACTGATGCCTCCTGTGAGACCATAGAAAACACTTTGTTTTCCATACAGCAGTACATTGTTATTCTACGCTACCTGCCGCCAACAGAGCACACCAGAGCTTTGTGGCTCTCCCTGTAGTTCTGTCATGATCGCATGAAGTCATAAGGAACATTTACGTAACAGACACCTGCACAAAAGAGCCGGCGTTACAGATTCCATGTCTGAAAAGGAGCTTATTTGTATGTAAAACCTGAATCTCTACCACCTTTGGCCTTCAGGAAGAATTAAGGCGACATCTCTTCGCCACAGATTGTTGAATTCCTCGGTGATGTGCTGATAACAAGTTGATTTTCACATGTAATTATCTGGGAAAAGGTGATGAACATTATAGACTGAGACCAGAATCAGTCGATACTGAAGTAAAGTCACTGTACGTGTCATTTATTAACTCAAAAAAGTTAAATTTACTGTAAATAACAAACGCAGAGTGATGATGGGATCCTTGCAGTGCTGCTCCCAGAGCCGGCTGGAACAAGTCCATCCGTATTCACCACAAACAACACGCCACAGTGCAGCTTTTGTCCTCCTGCAAGGCAGCAATTAGGGGTGTAAAGCAAAGTTAGTGCTCGCTGCTGTCCAAAGGGAGGAAGTTATCAGACAACACCGCCCACACACACACACACACACACTCGTCTTCTTGGTAGTGGCCTCAGAGCAGCGTAATGTCCCGGTCATGTTACACCAGGGGACGCACATCCTCACACACAGAAAACAGAACTGAAATTACTGGTAACGCTGCATTTTTAATGACCCTTTTATTTCCTCCTCTTTGTCTCAGCCATTTTCTAAGAAGGCAGTGGACCATGTGCAGAGCCACTTAGCAAAGAAACTGGTTCCCCCAACTCTATTCCAGGTAAAAAGACATTTATTTTTTCTTGAACTGTGGTTACCATTTAACATCACTAATGTTGTTATTCACACCTCTGCTTTTCCTGCTGTGACGCCGCAAAATGTCTACCATTAAAAAGAAAACAATTATTACAGTACAGTCTGACATGAAACAATGGAGGGTAATGTAATGCAAACCGCACCACAAATGATTTGTGCACTGTCCGCCCCTTTGTGAAAGCTATTGTTAAAAATGTTCTAAAAAAAACAAAAAAAAAACCCCGCTTGCAACAAGAAATGTTAAATAACAAAATATTTGCACACTAAGAAACATTATCACTGTTATTTGTATGTAAAACCTGAATCTCTACCACCTTTGGCCTTCAGGAAGAATTAAGGCGACATCTCTTCGCCACAGATTGTTGAATTCCTCGGTGATGTGCTGATAACAAGTTGATTTTCACATGTAATTATCTGGGAAAAGGTGATGAACATTATAGACTGAGACCAGAATCAGAATCATGTAATGCAAACTGCACCACAAATGATTTGTGCACTGTCCGCCACCTTTTTGAAAGCTATTGTTAAAAATGTTCTAAAAAAACAGCTTGCAACAAGAAATGTTAAATAACAAAATATTTGCACACTAAGAAACATTGAATAAACAAATGTGCATTGTCCAAAAACAAGCTACTGAGTATTATATTCCATTATATTTTTAATTGTCACCGGCCACCAGAATTTTGTGTTTCCCTTTAAATAAATAAATAAATTTCTTCCATAAATTGGTGCAGAAAATGGAAATGCTGGAAATTAAGTGTTTAATGATCAAAATCTTCTAGGAGGAGGACCCCCAGACCCCCACTCATGTATTTCAACATTAAATATCTCAAAATAGTGTTAAAACATCTCGTCTTGTTTTCATCACACCCCTCAATCTGAGCCCATATATGTCCATTGCTTTTCAACACAAAGTTTCACACCCTTGCCATAAACACTTTTGAGGGTGTAAATCGTGCACACACACTCTAACCTTGGCAACCTCTTTTTTTTTTTTTTTAACAGTCTATGCCCTCTCTGTGAGAGAGGTTTTATCTGCTTTTAACGTCAGTATCAGTTTAAAATAGGTTGATTTTGCTGTGTGTATAATGGAGTTTAAATACTGCCTTAAGCTAAAAATGAGAGGATTCAGAACCTGACAGTCTTATCTGTTCTGTTCTTCATTAATGCAGCAGTGTGAAAAGCCCGCAGCCAAGAAGCTCATAACTTGATTTGTTTTAATCCCTCATTTTCGATTAAGTGTATTGGCGCTTGTCTTTTACAAAACAATACCATGTGATCCTGCAGCATTTTACAGTGGAGAAGCCGTCCGGATAAAAGTGATTGCACTTGATGAAATATAACGTTAGCCTTCAGTCGCTTTCTGTGCCGACGTTTAAAGCTGCTTCTTCTTTTCTGTCTTGACGATCTAACTTTTGATACCAAAACAAAAGCATGTGGCGTGTTCAGCTAACTCAACCAATCCCGCTGTGCCTATTTTGGTAAATCTGCTATCCATTCCTAAAAGACTGTCATATGATCTCTCTATCGCCCAGCCATAATTTGTAGTATGAATTCATGTTTTCCAACTCTTCCAACCTTTTTTTCTTTCTCAACATTATTTTTAAACTCCAGATACTCAGATTCATACTGTTGGTAATTATATATTTAGCGTGGAGCATCAATTGCCAACAGGCCACACAGAAAAATAAAATACAGAGATAAGAAAAACAAGAGTTGTTTTCTTCCAGCTCAGTAAATCTAATCAACAATTTCCTCTTTTAGACGACAGCATGGCTCTTATTCTGAATATAAAGTTATCCTCAGTGACTTATTTTTTCCTGCAAAGATATTACAGCATCTAGACAGTGTTTCTTGTATATTTTCTTAGCCTTCAGTGTTGCTCAAATGTTATATTCACACGGGACATGCAGTGACATAAATGTTGAGTGCGTGAATTACCTGCAGACAAAAACTGAGGCGACGAACAAGGCCGATAACAACAAAATCCTTAATGTCAATAGCTGGAACTGACCACACAAGTCAAGTTCAGTTATTGTTTAACACATAGGAGGATATATTCACATACATTTGCAAAATAAATGTATCATAAAGTTACTGAGAGAAACTGTTCTGAGCTGCTGTTTTTGTGTCTGCCCCCCTGCAGCCATACATAGTGGAGATCTGTGACAGCTTAAGAGGGAAGATCTTCCAGAAGTTCATTGAGAGGTGAGGTGGGGGTAAAGGTGTGACTGGATGGAAGAGTTTCACCATGTGTTCATTGCATACAGCAAATTCACATTTTATTCTGTTTTTCTTTTTCTTCAGTGACAAATTTACTCGTTTCTGCCAGTGGAAGAACGTGGAGCTCAACATCCATGTGAGTCCAAGCTTTTAAAAGCCATTTTCACACTTGTGATTTGGCTAAAATGGTCCAGAACAGCGGTTTTCAAAGTCTTGACACAGTAGGTCTTAAAATTGAAACAACTGCACCGCCTGAACAACCCCAGTCCTGCTGCTGCCAGGTTTTTTGTCTATATGTCCTCAGGTATTTAACAAAAGGTAAATAATATTTGGTCCATTTTTAGCTTATATGTGTTTACATTTACTCAAACTGTCCCTATGAAAAGTAGCTGGATTAGCGGTTAGCAGTGGACCCATGGATGTACAGACAACGTAATGACTCCTAGTGGGAGTGTGATATTGACGCAAATTGAAGCAATCGAGTTAAAGTATCATAATTGCCTCCATGAGCAACGTGTCACGGCCACTGCTGCTGAAACTGCTGACTGTGCTGACAAGTGGCCAAACCAGCAGCCAAACTACAATAACTAACTTCCAGCTGTTTTCAGAACAGCTGCACATGTCCCTTCCATGTCTCTCCCCCTTTGTCCCCCTTTCAACTCTTCTCGCCTGAGGTTGCAAACTTCGGGGCCAGAACAAAAGAAGAAGAGAGAGAAAGAATGAAAAAATAAAGCTCTGTTCACTTTTGGTTTCGGTCCATTTGATGTTCACACCGACTTATGACAAATGAGCCAAAGAGGTGTAAACATTACATCATGTGGACTGACTGGACAGCTTTAGTGACTCAGAATCAAAACAATGTTTGTTCTGGATTCTAACAACAAGTCATGCAGCGCATCACTGCAGCTAAAGTGTTCAACGAAGTGCAGGTAGAAACAGGACGAGGAGACATCGTGCACTGTGGATCAAATATCTTTTAAATTCATGCTAGAATCATGTATTTACAATTACAAAATGAGAAATCATAATCGGTAGAATTGAGACAAGAAAGAGGACTCTTATATCGTAATATTACGGGTGTGATAGCTATTTAATTTAATTTTAAGATTTCCTCAAAGGTACAAGCTAGTGGACATAAAAACTTAACTGAACATTTTACAGTGCTGAAAAGAACTGAACACAATCTGCTTAAAATCAATTCATTTTAAAATTTGGTGTCGATTTGTGGTCTTAACTGTAACAAAGCGCTTTGAATTCGCAACCAAGTTCATGTTTCATGATGACCGGCTTCTTCTCCATGTTAACGGATTCCAAAGCCACCAGGTCCTTTAAATGTAGTCTGCTTATTTGGTTCCCACCAGACTTGGATTCACAGCTTTTACACCAGCCTGAAATAAATTGAACCAAACAGGCAGACGCAGCAGACGATGTTTGAACCAAACCAAATAGGCTGGGGTGTGAAGCCATTTAAAATAAACTTTTCACTCATCTTCTGCTTCTTAATCCATCTGCAGCTGACCATGAACGACTTCAGCGTGCATCGGATCATCGGCAGGGGAGGCTTCGGGGAGGTGTACGGCTGCAGGAAGGCCGACACGGGGAAGATGTAAGGATAGCCACGAAAGGGGATAAAACACAATCGTGTTATGACTACGTGTAATCTGTGCCGTTTGTTGTTTGAATGTCAGGTATGCCATGAAGTGTTTGGACAAGAAGAGGATCAAGATGAAGCAGGGGGAGACTCTAGCGCTCAATGAAAGAATCATGCTGTCATTAGTCAGCACAGGGGTAAGTTATAACAGCAGGTGGTTGAGGCAGCTGATCATGAGGTTAAACTTAACTAGTTTGGTATTTGCTGTATTGGTGCTTTGTTGATGCTTGTATCTTGTTCCTCATATGTAAGTCACTTCAGATAAAAGCGTCTGCCAAATATATATTTAAATAATATATAAATATTTACTAAGAGGAGATTTAAGTGTTACTAAATTGAAAAAGGTTGAAGAAAAGATGAAACTGTCTTAACTGTATATAAAGTAGCTTAAACTAGCTAACTGTATATAAAGTAGCTTCAACTAGCATAAAGTAGCTTCAACTAGCATAAAGTAGCTTCAACTAGCATAAAGTAGCTTCAACTAGCATAAAGTAGCTTAATGTACCTATCTGTATATAAAGTAGCTTCAACTAGCATAAAGTAGCTTAATGTACCTATCTGTATATAAAGTAGCTTCAACTAGCATAAAGTAGCTTAATGTACCGATCTGTATATAAAGTAGCTTAAACTAGCATAAAGTAGCTTAATGTACCTATCTGTATATAAAGTAGCTTAAACTAGCTATCTGTATATAAAGTAGCTTAAACTAGCTATCTGTATATAAAGTAGCTTCAACTAGCTATCTGTATATAAAGTAGCTTAAACTAGCTATCTGTATATAAAGTAGCTTCAACTAGCATAAAGTAGCTTCAACTAGCATAAAGTAGCTTCAACTAGCATAAAGTAGCTTCAACTAGCATAAAGTAGCTTAAACTAGCATAAAGTAGCTTAATGTACCTATCTGTATATAAAGTAGCTTAATGTACCTATCTGTATATAAAGTAGCTTAAACTAGCTATCTGTATATAAAGTAGCTTCAACTAGCTATCTGTATATAAAGTAGCTTCAACTAGCTATCTGTATATAAAGTAGCTTCAACTAGCTATCTGTATATAAAGTAGCTTCAACTAGCTATCTGTATATAAAGTAGCTTCAACTAGCATAAAGTAGCTTCAACTAGCATAAAGTAGCTTCAACTAGCATAAAGTAGCTTCAACTAGCATAAAGTAGCTTAATGTACCTATCTGTATATAAAGTAGCTTAATGTACCTATCTGTATATAAAGTAGCTTAAACTAGCTATCTGTATATAAAGTAGCTTAAACTAGCTATCTGTATATAAAGTAGCTTCAACTAGCATAAAGTAGCTTCACTAACTGTAGCTGAAGTAGCTGTAACTAGCTGACTGTAGATAAAGTAGCGTTAACTAGCTGACTAGATAAAGTAGCGTTAACTAGCTGACTGTAGATAAAGTAGCTGCAACTAGCTGACTAGATAAAGTAGCGTTAACTAGCTGACTGTAGATAAAGTAGCGTTAACTAGCTGACTGTAGATAAAGTAGCGTTAACTAGCTGACTGTAGATAAAGTAGCGTTAACTAGCTGACTGTAGATAAAGTAGCGTTAACTAGCTGACTGTAGATAAAGTAGCTGCAACTAGCTGACTAGATAAAGTAGCGTCAACTAGCTGACTGTAGATAAAGTAGCGTCAACTAGCTGACTAGATAAAGTAGCGTCAACTAGCTGACTAGATAAAGTAGCGTCAACTAGCTGACTAGATAAAGTAGCGTTAACTAGCTGACTAGATAAAGTAGCGTTAACTAGCTGACTGTAGATAAAGTAGCGTTAACTAGCTGACTGTAGATAAAGTAGCGTTAACTAGCTGACTGTAGATAAAGTAGCGTTAACTAGCTGACTAGATAAAGTAGCGTTAACTAGCTGACTAGATAAAGTAGCTGCAACTAGCTGACTAGATAAAGTAGCGTTAACTAGCTGACTGTAGATAAAGTAGCTGCAACTAGCTGACTGTAGATAAAGTAGCTGCAACTAGCTGACTGTAGATAAAGTAGCTGCAACTAGCTGACTGTAGATAAAGTAGCTGCAACTAGCTGACTGTAGATAAAGTAGCTGCAACTAGCTGACTGTAGATAAAGTAGCGCAACTAGCTGACTGTAGATAAAGTAGCTGCAACTAGCTGACTGTAGATAAAGTAGCTGCAACTAGCTGACTGTAGATAAAGTAGCTGCAACTAGCTGACTGTAGATAAAGTAGCTGCAACTAGCTGACTGTAGATAAAGTAGCTGCAACTAGCTGACTGTAGATAAAGTAGCTGCAACTAGCTGACTGTAGATAAAGTAGCTGCAACTAGCTGACTGTAGATAAAGTAGCTGCAACTAGCTGACTGTAGATAAAGTAGCTGCAACTAGCTGACTGTAGATAAAGTAGCGTTAACTAGCTGACTGTAGATAAAGTAGCGTTAACTAGCTGACTGTAGATAAAGTAGCTGTAACTAACTAGCTGACTGTAGATAAAGTAGCTGTAACTAACTAGCTGACTAGATAAAGTAGCTGCAACTAGCTGACTGTAGATAAAGTAGCGTTAACTAGTAGTTAAATCTAGTTAACTGTACTTAAAGTTAGCAGACTGTATTTTATTAAAACGTTGAAACTATCTGGTACTCTTACTTTTAGTACTTTGCTTCACTGTTGAGAATTCATACATTTTGTTTTTTTTCAAATACACAACACACAACGAGACGGTTTTCCTTCTCTGCAGGACTGCCCGTTTATCGTGTGTATGACGTACGCCTTCCACACCCCTGACAAGCTCTGCTTCATCCTGGACCTCATGAATGGTAGGGTGACCTCTCCCCCACCTGCCCAGATTAAACTCAAGCCCCAGTCAGTCCAGCCTCAGACACAAAGATTGGATTACTCAGCCTGTTGCCGGCCTGTCAGGTCCTTCCTCCCCCAGACAATCAAGAGATGATGGGATTTTGACCTCACTGATGACACTTAACACCACAGCGACCTACCTGTGTTAGCATTCCTAACATCTATTATCAGCCTTCTTTAAACGCTCCTCACACCCCTGTCGTTAGTGTTTCCTTAAGGCTTGGCCAGTTTCCGAGCTTCATCACAGCTGCACTCAGTCTCACAATCAAAGCCTGAGTCACCTTTTAAAGTCAACACGCTCATCATCGGCTTCAGTTGTGCTATAAATACAGCTAGTCAATACATGTTAAGACAGAGTCAGTCGGGGAGGACAGAGTCACAGAGGGCCTCCCATTGGCTCTTATTTTCTCCCCCGAGTATATTACCAAAACTTATTGATAGATACTGATTGAAGCACAAGGTGTTTTGAGGTCATGCTGACGCACTCTGTGTGTGTGTGTGTGTGTGTGTGTGTTTAGGGGGCGACCTGCACTACCACCTGTCTCAGCACGGCGTCTTCAGCGAGAAAGAGATGCGCTTCTATGCGGCTGAAATCATCCTGGGGCTGGAGCACATGCACAACCGCTTCGTCGTCTACAGAGACCTCAAGGTAGACCTCTGACTCCACAGTGTCCTCTACAACAATGCTGAAACACTAGAAAAATATTATTAATGATTAGCCTTTTTTATCTTATTGTCGACAAATCCTATTAAACGACTTTTAGTACAAAATGTTTTTAAGAGAGGGAAGGGGTTCCATCAGTGACTTGGCACTTTTCTTCACATGGTCTGGGAGTGTCCGGAGGTTAATGGATTCGGGAGAAATGTCCCATCTCTTGATATCACTGAAAGAGTCGTTCCTCACTCACAGTTATTGCTTAATGATACCTCTTCTATGGAACTATAAACGATAGGCGCTTCTTGTTAGCTTGTCTTAACAGCTGCTAAACGGATGACAGCTTGCCGCTGGAAATGATCACATACACTTTCTGTGAGGGAATGTCTCTCCTCTTGGAGAGAAATTGCACAGCTGGAGCTCTCGGCAGCTCGATTATGTTATGCTCAAACACAAAAAGTTATTTGCTGCTCCAGGTTATTAGACAAAAAAGGTGCTTTATTATAAATGTAAATGATCTTTTTCTGCTATGTGCTCATGAATTTGCTTGCAGTTCAGAATGATACATATACACTATATGTACATTTTTGATGGTTACTTCATATACATGGATATATTTTAAGGGTGTCACATAGACGATCCAGAATTGTCAAGTCTTGCATAGAGTATACTGATCGTCCACTCATGCTCCGCCTGCCTGCCATTCAGCGGTCTTGTGCCAAGCAGTGCATCGCAGTTCCTGCCGCGTCCATTTTACTGTTTAAAAACGATGTACTATTCTTTGTGTGGTTCATCAATAGGGATAAATTATTCAAAAGTCGTGCAAGGTGCACGCACAACAGCAGCGATGCACACTGACCCACACCTTCCTTAAGGGTCAGGGTTACCATTTTGGATTCATTCACGCGTTTTAAAATGATTTTTTAAAAAAAGCTTCTTTGTTTTCAGATTTTTGTTTAAAGCATTATATGTCGATATTGCTGGATGTTAACTGAATGGGAGAAAACTGGTAGTTCTTTGTAAGATTAGATGTTGAGCAAAATGGCACGATCCTCCTTTAAGGACACATCTGTTAAGATTCCACTATTCAGGGTCAACCCAAGTATACTTCATGTATATTTTGGGCTATTTCCGCAGATATCATCATGGACGTTGGAGGAAATTAACATTAACATGTTATATCTGTGAAGGCTCTGTCATCCAGGTCATAGATATCCAAGGAAGGTTAAATTTCAAGGGCAACTGGACTTGGTTAAGGATACTTCTCATCCCTTATCCAAGAGACTTCTTCAGTTCTGACTGACTGGTAGGGAATCTCAGCTGTATCACCTCTGTGGGGTCATTAACAAGATATTGGATACAGCTGGTTCGTTAGTGCTCCTGGCTGTTATAACGACAGTCAATAGGCTCGTTGGAGACACCAGAGGACGACTGTGAACGTTGGTAACCTTGACCTGAGGCCGAACGTGAAAGTATCTTCCACCAACTCCAGTTGTCCTTGATTTTTAACCTTCCTTGCATAAACATCTTAATTTCCTTGTACTTCTTGTACGTCTAGTTATGCCCCTATTGGTCATGGGATTCCCGTGTAGCAGAGCGATGGGGTTGGAGAGAAATGGTCTTTGTTTGTTAGTTGTAGGGTTTTCGTGCTTCTGTACGTGGTTTTATGTGCGCTGCCTTGGCTTAACGTGTAATGCTGCAGGGAGGAGTTGAGAAACGGTTCAATCTAAACTAACTGTCATATGCCTTATGTCATTTTGTGACCATTTAACAGAGAATTGTAGAAAACCGGACCGAAAGAGGAGCGACACGTGACACAGATTCAAATCCTGAACGTCACAGCTCTGTGCTGCGTGACTCAGTCCGCTGAACCGCCAGCACACCTCCACACATGCTATTTCAAAGCCATAGATTCGTATCAGCCATGTTTTCAACTCTCCTCTGTTTTTCCTCCAATTCCCCTGTTTGGACTGGTTGCCATAATAACAGATATATTTTGCTGGAAGTCAGGGAACAGTTTTAGGGCTTCAATAAACAGTGCAGTGCAATGCAGATAATAGTTTTATGCGGAGTGTTGGAGGCCGGGGGGGGGAGAGTGAGGGAGTCACGGTTTTGCCAAACAGCGGAGGATAACCAGGACAGGAGGTTTTCCTATATTGTTTGTATCCACGCAGAGTTTTCTCCTGGTGAGCGGAAATTGGATCTTAAGTTGTGAATTAGTGAGGTCTCCAACATTGTTTCCTATGCTTATGATCTTATCTCTCGGATCCTCCATCAGCATCGCCCTCTCTAACCCTCTCTAACCCTCTCTCTCTGCTCGTGTTTCCTCCCCCAGCCAGCTAATATCCTGTTAGATGAACACGGCCATGTTCGTATCTCCGACCTCGGCCTGGCCTGCGACTTCTCCAAGAAGAAACCCCACGCCAGCGTGTAAGTATCAGAGTCAAACCCCATTCCCACGGGGTTTCCTAAAATGACTTAAATGTTACTTATGCTGCTCACTGATTTGAATCCCGTACAGATTAATTCATTATTACAACAGGATTGCTGTTTTTTCTTGGCGGGGGGGGGGGGGGGGCTTGCTTGTCCCTTTGGTCCAAACCTGAGAGAGACTATTGATTCACAGAGTTTAAAGAAGCAGAGAAGGATTTAGCGAAGCTTAAAGATCACTTGTTAACATCAGTCAACTTGCACTGTGAAAGGTAAAGTTAAAGCAGCCTGACGCACATTCAGGAGGAAATTAATGTAGTTTGTCCGTGATAATAATCAAATTACAGCTTCTGAAGCTCCTTTAATATTAATCAATTCAGAATGTTTCTCAGACGTAGCTTTATTTTGAAAGGATATACTGCAAACAGATATAATGATTCTAAAAACACCCTGAAAGATGGGAGATGTTTAGTTGTTGCTGAGAGTTGGTAAGAAGTAGAACACATAATTATTAATACATTTGCTGGTAATATCCATTAGAGACACAATAATGTCATTAATATTATTGTTTTAATGCTCTGCTTGTTGGTGCCTGGTGATTAATGTACCGCACATATTTCCACACTCCTGTTTAGATTTTCACATCTGTATATTTAATTCTTTATATTTTCTACTTGCCAACATTTATATTATTATTTCTATTTTTTAAATGCCTTGATTTATAGCAAAGGGAGGAACTGTGACACATCAGTTTTCCCACGAGGGATCAGTAAAGGATTTCTGAAATGAGCTTAAATACTTTGAATTTGAAGATTTGTCTGTTTTTAAGTTATTTTTCTGTTTGTTTCTGCTGTTTTTGTTGAGCTTTTGTCTCTTAAATAAAAAAAACATCAGAATAATAATTACAGCTTAATGATAACTTGTAAACACTAGGCGCTGGTGATGAAGGTCACATGGTTTTCCCGCAGCGTCCTCGTGTATCACAGACGCAGCTCTTGTAATTTACCAGACGCCAAAGTGATAAAAAGAGTTGTTACAGTTATTACTGCTGTTATGAGGGGCGAGGGAACACGTTTTACTGCCCACCTTCCCCTCTGATATTAATCTCGTCCGAATGGCGCTTTAGTGTGCGACTCTGCGCTTGTCGTTACACTCGAGTGTGTGTGTTTGACACAAAGCTTTGTGTGTTTGTCGCAGGGGCACTCATGGCTACATGGCTCCGGAGGTTCTTCAGAAGGGGACGGCGTACGACAGCAGCGCCGACTGGTTCTCCTTAGGCTGCATGCTCTTCAAACTCCTCCGAGGGTAACTGCTCCGGCTTTTCTCCGTCTGCCTCTTCTTCTTCTTCTTCTTCTTCTTCTTCTCTGTGCTCCGCGTCCTGACTTCCTGTCTGCTTTCAAACCTCTCCTGCCGCTCTGAGTAAACCTCTTTGAATGTCTCGCCCGGCTCGCCGTCTGTTTGGTGTGTGTTTGATCTTGTTTGTGTGCGAGCGTGTGTGTGTGTGTTTGTTTGATCTGGAGTGAGTAAATGCCAGAGGTCCGAGCCCAGTAGGTCAGAAATCAGGTAAAAGGGGAGAAGAAGAGCGAGAGTGTGGGTTTCTGTGTGTGTGTGTAATGGTTGCCAGGTCTGAGCGAGCAGAGAAAGAGTGTGTGACGTGTCTTTCCATTGATGTTTGGATCCGTGTGTTTGAACACTTTAAAGAGGGAGAGTGTGTTGGTCTGTGAAAGGTTGGCTGCTGCAGAGATGGATGTTTTTAACGCTTCGGTCCAAAATTCAAAATCCTCTGCGTGAAGCTGTTTTATTCAAAAGTAAAAGACATTTCAGTTCCATAAACAATAATACGTAATTTATTATCCAAGAAAAAAATAGGGTCTGGAATGTGAAAACAACATGGCAGAAATATTATCATTATAATGTACATGTCGGAGGTGGATGTGATAAACAGGTACATAGACATACATGTACACAGGATGCTGGAATAAATAAGTATTATTGTGCAGGAGGTAGGTGGATTTGGGATACAGTGTAAACAATATGACAGTGTGAACAGCTCTGAAATAGAGAATGGGGAATAAATAATAAGTGGTAGCCAGTAAACTGGTGGCTGATTAGAGAGTAATTGCACAGGAATTGTTCCTGACACTGTGAGTCAGAGTGATGGCTTGTGGGAAGAAACTGCTTCTGTGTCTGTTGGTTTTGGTGTACAGTGCTCTGTAGCGCCTACCAGAGGGGAGGAGCTGGAACAGGTTGTGTCCCGGGTGAGAAGGATCTGCAGTGATGTTTCAGTGATGTTTCCTGTAATAATATAATATTTCCTGCTTGTATTGCAAATACTGCTGATAAATAAATCTCCTGATTAATCTTGTTCACTGTACATCGAGAGCAAACTAACCGCTATAACAGAATACCATATTACAAATGACATGTGATCAAAACTTTGATTTTGCACCATTAATCAAACGTTTCTAACCTACAACCAATGTTGCTTATATGTGTATGACTCCAACAACTCTGCAACTTGTGGACCAAAATTGTCTCAGACTTTCCAAGTTGTTGTTCAGACTTCAGGGGGCGGTCACCTGACTTTTCCCAGCCGGTAAATCATTTTTTCCGATTATTCCGACGCCTCATGAATGCACATTCGGCGCTCCTTTTGCTCCTGCGTAGACGTCACAGCCTGATCTTTAGTGTCACTGTTGTTCTGCTGGAGATCAGCGTTTATTCCAGACAACAAATAAATTCAGGCGTCGAAACAGTGCAAGCAACACCTTTCGTGTACACGTTCACCATGTTTGCATTAAGGCTTTTTTGCTTTATTGCTTGGACGCAGTCATCCATGAAGTTCAGATTGGATTAATTGATTAACATCCTTCCGGGCTTCAGCAGTGGATTGCGGGGCCATTTGGCTCTTGTTGAACAATGACACTCATTGAAGATGTAGTCTGGAAGCTGCTGCTCTCCCACCAAGGCTGCCAGTTGCCATTTGATCACTTTCACCAAGTGGAGCGCGGCGCTCTTTGTGTCTTGGATCGAGATGCCGTTCTGTCACATACTAAAATAATAAATGGACCTGCTGGATCACAATGTGAATTCTTCCAACTTCAGCGGAACTATTTGGTCCCAGACTGTTTCGCTTCAGCTCTTCTGACTTTATGACAGATTGGAAAGTGAATCATCACTAATTGAAGTTGAAGGCGCAGCAGTGGCAACATGAACCATCAGACTTGAATCAGCGCCTTGTATCAGTTAAAATGATTAAAACGCCGCATTAGCAACTATTTCAATGCCGCTGTTAATCGTAGCTGTGGCTGGGAGAGCGCGGCACGTTGAACGCGGTGCGTCTCTTCAGATTCACGCCGTGTTGAAGTAAACGCTTCGTCAGGTTGGATCTGCTTCCTCGCTCGCACCAAACCTCCTTACTGCAGCTTTTTTGCTGCGTCATTCTCTTTTTTTTTTTTTTTTTATTGAAGCTAAGCTAAACTTTGGAGCGTTTGCTGCGGTCCGCCACGGTCCAGGACTGGAAACAGAAGGACTCTCTTCAGAGAGATCAGATCAGAGACACTTTGATGGACTGAAATGCTCACTGCAGTTCAGTCAGGAGCTGAAATATGCAGGAAGTCGGGAACCGATGAGCAGAATCCAAACACCCAGTTCTTATCGACGGTCCTTTTGGAAATTTGGAGCAGCAACGATAAGTCGATTATTTGATTAGTCGATCGAAAGAAAATTAATCTACAAGTATTTTGAGAATCGATTCATTGTTTTCAGACATTTTATAAGCAAAAATGTGAAAAATTCTCTGGTTTCATCTTCTGAAATTGAGGATTTGCTGCTATTCTCTGTCATTTCTGACAGTAAACGAAAAGTCTTTGGGTTTTGAACTGTTCGAACAATCTGAAGGCGTCACTTTGGGCTCCGAAAAAATTCCAGTGAGCATTTTATAACCGTTAGTCGATTAATCGAGAAAATAGCCGGCAGATTAGTCGATAATGAAAATAATCGTCAGTTGCAGCTCTAATATCAATGTCATTCCGCATTTTCCTCAAACACTCAGTGTGAACGCTCTGAAACGCCCTTGGAGCTCAGCTGAGCAGGTGGCTAATTAGAGTGAGTCAGATCTGGGTCGTTTCAGATTATTTAATTTAAAGTGTTGTAATATTCATGAGCACGCTGGTTCACTGGTAAGGATGTGAAAGTATGTAGAGGTGTGATTGTGTCTGATTTATTCCTCTTTCTTCTTCTTGTCCTGCACTCCTCCCATCCTCTTTGCGCCCTCACCCCCCGTCCTCCCTCCCTTTTTTCCCAATAATCCACAGTCAAGAGTGTCACCGTCTGTCTCTGTGTCCTCTCTCCTGTCCAGGCACAGTCCCTTCAGACAGCACAAGACCAAAGACAAACATGAGATTGACCGCATGACGCTCACCATGGTAAGACCCATCTACACGCCGCATGTTTGGTGCACATGACGAACGGATGAACCTATCACAAGCAGTCTCTGTGTGTAAACGCGCTGTTAAGCACGGAGGCGAGCTTTACTGACTCGCTGAACACAAAGGTTTGGCCCGTGATTACAAATGCACACCGTAGTGTGAGAACAGATACCTGAAGCGCGCTAGTTAGAAGAGTTAGATCTACCTGTGCGTGGGTGGAGAGTGTTTTTCCTTTCGCTTCCCTGACCTAGACGAATGTCTTTCTTTGTTTTTTTTGGTTGTCTTTCAGTCCATCACTTGGCGGCGTGTTTACATTTGTGTGTCATGGGAAGACACGGGAGATGAGGCGTTTGACAGAAACCTGGCTCAGATAAACTGAACCAGCAGCCAGGCTGGAAAGTTAAAGTACAACCCCCGACTGAGTCAGATGGATTTATATCCACATCCAGCAGGTTTACTGTGGTCCAGGCAGAAGCTGCAAAAATGCATTACAGTTCCAATCTGTGTGTTTTTCATTAAGTTCACTCAGAAACGTGTTCAGCTTGATGTTTGTTCTCCCCATTCATCTGCTGAAGGAGGAAAGTTCCCCTGAGCTCACCTTTTGTATGAAAAACGCATCTAAACGAGGAGTGTGGGGAGATGCATCACGATGCTCTCTTGAAAGATTATGTCTCCATGCAGATATTTAACACCTCTCTACGTTAACGAGGCGGCGCCCTCGGGGTGGCTGTTAATAAACCTTGCAGTCTGCAGATCCCCCCCCCCCCCCCCCCCCCGTGCAAATTCAAGTCAGCAGTGATGCGCTTCAAACAAACATGTTATTTACGACGGCAGAAGTAGAGTCCTTCTCCTCTCGCTGCAGATCCAGACCACCAACAGAGGAATATGTAACAGAGAGAGTGAATACCGAATTAAAGCATAGGGCGGTCGTGCTTAAGCCCCGCTACATGTGCAGTGCAGTCTGTTGTGCTGCTGCGTTAAAACGAGCTGCAGATCAGGAGAATGAGCAGGCCAGAGACTTATTTATTTATCATGATACAACACAAGGTTGTACAACGAAATGAAAGATTTAATATGATCGCGATCCAAGCCAGTCGCAAAGAACGCAACATTTGACATTTTCAGAGGAGAACAGACGACCTGAGAGATTAAAGCGATGAAAGAATTTGGACTTGGGGATAATTGCGGAAACGCAAACTTTATTTTCATATGTACCTGACTACTGGGTGAAATGTTCAACCAAACATTTTGTGTTTGCAAGATTTAAATTTTGAGCTGCACAAACAGCTTTAAGCAGAGGAAAAAGTCACGGGATCCAAATAAAATGGAGAACTTAGACTCACTTGGATCTGAATATTGTCAGCAAGTCTGACTGTGTCTCTTGGGGATTTGAACCCTGCGCCTTCAGATCTGCAGAGTAGGTGACTTACTGACTGAGCTACTGGAGAGAAGCTGTTTGAGCTTGAATTGGAGGTAGTGACGTCACGTGTGCCCGACCCGGATAGTTTTGTCAGTTTGAACTTAAAACGCTTTCAGCAGTCAAGATGTTGGTGAGAAAATTCTTAAATAAATCACACATCGCAATTATTTTGATGACATTTGATCCAAAACTGAGCAAAAAAGAAAATGTTGTGCACACTGTACAAGTTACAGCAAGATACTGACCGATCTGAAAACCCTTTGAAAAACTTGAAATCGGCCATCTAGAGAATCTGTCTGTTGAGTTTGGTAGCCTTGACTTGTGGAGATAGAGATGTTAATTGAATTTGCTTGGATCCCTAATTATGAAATAAGATTAGATTTCATATGATGGATTATTACTGTTTATTATTATGCCAATATTTGAGTGCTTTAACACTTACAGTAAGAATAATGGCCAGTGAATTGTTCAATGTTTACAACTTTCTTTTTTTAAATCAAGTTTTCTGACAAAACTAATCGATAATAGAAGCAGAATCATCAGTTTATTTTAATTATGGATGGTTACAAATAGGCTATGTTTTAATACCGTAGCAACAAGTAAATAAATAACGTTTTAGAAATCAAATCTTTTGATTATTGTTTTCTGATCGAACTGATTCACAACCCTAATCTGAACACGTGGACGCACCTGCAGGATTTTGTAACATCAGCTAGTTGGGAGCCAATAGTATTAAACGCGCAGGTCACAAACACTGAGAACTGGACTTAACTGTGAAGCAGGAGAATTTGTGTTTTCACAGATTCTAGGTCTTTCATAATGAGAGTTTAACAAGGTAATTGAGCTCTGTGTGGGGGGAAAAAACAACAAATCAGACACACATTATTATTCAGAGCACAGTATATTTAAGTGTTTTGAAACATGTCTGGAGAGGATCTTGAACTGACAGCACGTCCAGGACAGATACTGCGTCATCTCTTAACAGCGTTCATTAACCACAGCTGAGTAAATTTGCCTTCGACAGAGTAGCCGGTGAAATCCGGCTTAAACTTTAACTTGCTGCTGCTTGTTAAGACTGTTAATTATGTTAGTTAAAATTAGAATTGCAGCTCTTGCAGTTTGTAAAATGAATGTTGTTTACAACGGGCACGTTGAGTAATAATTGAACCGTATGGCACTGGGTGTTATGAAACCTGGAGGTTTGTTTACATCCTGTGTGATCTCGTGACTGCTCGTGTTTGTTGGCCTTTCAGCCTTCGCTCTTGACACTTTCCCCAGATCCCAGCAGTAAACTTGCAGTGTTGTTACTGGTAGAAAATATGTGCGCCACACTGAAACAAAGAGATTTTTAAGAGTGGCGGAGAGTGCAGCGCGGAAACAGGGCTGCAGTGTAATCCGTGCGGGCAACTGCGCCTCGTCAGAGTACGTCCATTAAAGTGCTGGTTTTTGCCACTAAGTGTCAAAAATATGGAAAGGATCCCCACAGAGACGGACTTTTCTTTTTTTAGGCAGTAAGATCTTTTTTGTTTAACCAGAAACAGTCTCTGCATCGCTCTCACCAAAGCCACCAGACTCCCTTGACAAAAATAGTAATTTTACCTCCCTGGTTTACCGCTGCCTTGATCTGTTAGTTGGTGTTATTGTGTGAATTTGGTGTTTAAAAATCACACAGTAACACGTACAAACGCAAACAACAAAGTCCAGCAATAACACAAACTCACCGACCGAGGCAGCGGTAGACGAGCAACTCCTGTGTTCTGCAAGGTAAAATTACTGTTTTTATCAAAGCAGTCTGGTGGCTTTGACGAGAGCGACTGTTTCCGGTTAAACAAAAAGGATCTTACTCTTTTGTAAAAGAATTCTCTCTCTTTAGGGATCCTTTCTGTAATATTATCAGACACTTTTATTAACAATCTGAGCCTGTCAGCGGCAAAAACAAGCTCTTTAGTGGACGTACTTTATGTATAAAAAACCCATTTTAGGAGGGTTTGATTCTTCTCTTTGTCAAACCTGATAATAAACTGAATATCTTTAAGTCAGCGTCGTCATGTTTTCCGAGAAGAAGAGTTACTGAATACATAAAAGCATTGAGGTTCGACACTCTGCTTTAATTCAAAGATATTACAGCACACTGGCTTTGTGTTCCTTAGCGAGTGAAAAGTACCTTTACAGCATTAAGTGTGTCATCGTCAGTTAGAGGAATAACCTGTCAGCAGCAAACTCTCTGGATGAATGGCGTCCTTTGAGCACACCTTTTTGTTCCTCTTCACATCCAAGCCAGCGTTCTGCACAGGCGACGTGTTGTGTCTGAGCACTGACAAGTTTACAGAGACAAACTGTAGCTGACGTCATCTTCGGCACAGCTTTGCTCGGCGTCACGCCGCCCGCTGCCTGCAGCAGCAGTCGTCCATCACAGAGGAACGCGTCCAAATCTCTGTGTCAAGACAAGAAGCAAACACACACTCTCACAGGCGCTGTCTGGCCGAGCAGGACATCTAAACAGAGAAAGTATGATCTTTCATATCACAACAAATCCAGATTAGGATTAAAATCCAGCCACTTGATCTAGTTCATCCTCTTAATCCACGTCTGTGTGTGTGTTTGAGAGAGAGGGGGAGCTGCGATTCAGCCCCGACCAGGCTAAAAATACTGCTCTATATGTCTTAGTGTTTATCAGACATGATGAATGGTCTCATTAAACACGATAGAAGCAGGCAGCAGTGAAAAGTCGCTGAGAAGTGAGCAGCCAAGACAGGAAGACGTGGAGAGGAGGAGGGAGGGAACAGAAACATCTCCACCGAGCAGCTGACAGGACGTAAAGCAACAAAAGAAAAGAAAAGGGACGACGGCTGATGCGTTCTGTAGGAGAGGTTTTTTTAAAAGAGATGCAAGGGGAAAGCAGTGCCTGCGAATCTGTTACTACTTACTGTGTTCATTGTTATAAACCAAGGGAAGATCCTGAATGGGACAGGTGCATGCTGGGAAGTTAGTTACTGCAGTCAAGGATCTGATTCTAAATGAAAAATCAATAGAAAAGTTTTTATTCTCGACGATGGTGCAGTGGATAAGACACATGCCTTTGGTGCGAGAGACCCGGATTTGATTCCCACTGCGAGCAAGACCTTCAACATCTAGTTGCTCAAGAGGCGTGCGACCTCTGACATGTATAGCAATTGTAAGTCGCTTTGGATAAAAGCGTCAGCTAAATGAATTAATGTATATATATTTAAGTAGAAGTAACTGGTTCTACTTTTATTGTATTTTGTTCTTTTACATTCCTCTGTGATGACGTGCCACCCTGAATTAATAAAGGTATCTCTTATCTAAAATATGGCTCTTATATCCAACTTGATCTTCAAAAGAAGACAGTTGTCGGGGCATAAAACAAGTCGAGACTCGGTAGTCTAACAGTGCTGTCAGCTGTCAGTTCAAATCGAATCGTGACACCTCGACGCAGACGTGACACATTTTTAGGTTCAGTGCGACTTTCAGAGGATGGTGAATAAACGTTGATGAATCCACTTTGAAATCAAATGAAAGACGCTCCTCATAACTGCAGAACCTGCCTGAGAATCATCATGTTTTTAGGTTTCCTTCAGTATCACAGTTCCCAGCTCACAGCTTATTCAGCTACTATAAATGGTTTTCCAAAATTATCACTAATATAAGCAAAAACAAGTTGTAGCCCTCCTCTGGGGTTGTCTCAGTTTTGTGTGGATGTGTCAGACCTTTCTTAAAAACTCCCTGTTGTTTACTAATAGGTGAAAATAATGTATTTTCAAACACCCCGTTCTCACTTTCACGCTCTCTCCCCTCCTTGTTTCTCTGGCAGAACGTGGAGCTGCCGGACTCCTTCACTGCGGAGCTCAAAGATCTGCTGGAGGGGCTGCTGCAGAGAGACGTATCCAAGAGGCTCGGCTGCCAGGGCCGAGGGTACGACACACGCATACGCACTCTGCACACACGAGTTCACGTTGACCTCCGTCCCCGTAGCGGCGTTTTATGTCCGCAGGCGTGCGAATGAATTCATCAGTCAGATGTATTTTGCTAGATGTGCTCATTAAGGCTGTGACGACGGGACGAGGCGGACGTCGAGTGATCTGATAGAAGCTGAGTTCATAACTAATTTCATCAGCGCTGTCAGCTCACATCAGCTTATGAGCAAACCGGAGTGATGGATCACTGTCTGCTCTGGGTATTTTGGCTAAACAGCAGGATTGTGAGTGTTTGTCAGAGCGGCGTAATGTGGTCAACACTGCCACCTGGTGTACAGATGTAAACTAGCACATGACTGACCCCCCCCCCCTCTCTCTCTCATGCAGAGCCCCAGAGGTGAAGGAACACCAGTTTTTCAAAGGCATTGACTGGCAGCAGGTGTACCTGCAGAAGGTGAGTGACCCCAGAGGAAGTCTTTTTGTCTCAATATGGAGGACGGATGCGTATTTTGTGATAAACGGATAAAAACAAGATTTACAAATGTGTATGTTTCCAAAACGTAGGTCACATGACACTGGAATAGTCCATGTAAAAATATCTGAAAGCTTTATGTTCATGTTTATACCGTCGGATATATCTATTAAAATACTGATTTATTTAAGGAATGTTTTATTTATTTGTAAAATACTTTTACATTTGTTCAAATTAGTTGGTCTGTCCTTGTTAATGTGACCTTTATTCAGCTTTATTGGCATGAATGTATAACAGTATTGCCAAAGCTACATATAAATTACATAAGAACAATTAATTTCATACATTTCATTAAATAAGAAAATGAATTGTGTGTGTTGATAGAAAAAAAAAACTATATAAATAATGTGTGTGTATTCGTAAAAATAAAAGTAAATAAATAATACAGTGTGTGTGGGGGGGGGGGGGAATAGAAATATATTAAAAATTTAGATAAAGTGGCTAAAACCGTAAACGTGTGTGTATATTAATAGACAAAAAATAATAAATATTAATTCATTGAAAAAAATCTGATCAAACAATCAAAATAATAATTTTGTCTTAGTGATTTATATTTAGGGCATGAGGTCCCCCCCCTCTCTCCCTCTCTCATAAACACATTGAAACAGAGCCATGTGCTTATAGAAAAACTAAGGCATTGAAGTTAACTCTGCAACGTAACACTGCCCCCTGGCGATCAGATCAATCAATGTGAAAATAGAGACGATCGCCCTAATTTAAGAACACATTTGTAAATCTTGTCATGAAATATGCATTTGTCTAATTTCTCTCTATAGTTATTACACAAAACTGAGCCCAGCTTTGTATAAGTTAACGTTGTTGTTGGTTTTCAGTACTTGATTGAAATAGGTTTTTCTGGATGCTTTCTGAACTTCTGTATCAATTTAAACTAATTTTATTTGTTGTCTGGGCTTAAATATTAAGATTTAAAGGACCAGACGTTACGTACGTTTGAACGAATGAGAACATTGTGAGATTTGTTGCACGGGGTAAAACTACTCAAAGCAGCAAACCGCTTCACTTCTACAGACAATGCTACACCTACTAAAATACTTCCTCACGTGGTTCTGTGTCGTTATTTATCCCTTCTTGCTAGTTTAAAGCTTCCTGTGTTACTGAACGGAGGGTCAGCAGGAGATCAGCGACGTGACATTTTACAAACCAAAGTGCAGCTCTAAAGTGAATTTAGAATCTAAACTCAAATCAAGTATTGAACTTTTTCCCACTTAGTAGATGGAAGATCAAATAGAAAGTTTTTCATATGCATTCTGTGCAGTTTTTGGATGTTTTTCCTTCTGAACGTCTCAATACGGCATGAAAATCTGTTTGCAGACTCTTGAAACTTCATATCATTTTTTTGAATTGTAACACAAGAAGTTTTTTCACTTATAGGTCAGCGTCAGATTTCACCCGCCGATCTCGTCGCTGTAACACTAGCCAGGTCGTGAGTGAAGTTTCCCACCTCACCCTCATTCTTTAACCTACCGTGACACGACAACTCGTTTAACATGCAGGTACCAAAACGACGTCTCATTACCGAAGAGAAGACGACACCGAGCGTCGATCGTGTTCAGATTAGATTTAGATTTCTGGTGTGTGACTCAGAAACACACAGATGTACATTCACAGCTGTGAGCCCGTTTGTTCCTTCCTTAACAGAAGGGTTGTTAATGGTTTTACCAGATGTACCAAACCCCTTTTTAAAAAAAAAAAAAAAAAAAAGTTACGCTATCATGTTTCAGGTGGCGGGAAATGTCGTCCTGCTTCGTCACATCACGGGAAAATAAGGCAGACTTGATGTTCACTGTGACGAATTACTAAACCCGAGCTTCACGAGTGCCACAATCAATCTTTATCTGTCCCCGTAGGGAAGTTAGTTTACAGCAGGATCACGTAGGCATTTCATCGTACAGCACAGAGATAACTGATACACATTTACCCGGCGCCTTGCTACAGATTAGGAAAAAACACATTTACAGATCTGATATGCAACGACACGATGAGCTGTGGTGCGAAGTGATGCGATAAACGTGTAAAACCAGCGGTGTGGCACGTTTTTTAAAGACAGAACGTCAGCTGAAGTCGTGGCTCTCAGTTCTACAGTTCACTACAGACTGTCGCCTTGTTGTTTCGCTCACACTTGTTTGTCTTTCTCTTCTGCTCCTCCAGTACTCTCCTCCTTTAATTCCTCCCAGGGGAGAGGTGAACGCTGCAGATGCCTTCGACATAGGCTCTTTCGACGAGGAGGACACCAAGGGCATCAAGGTGAAGCTAACACACCTATACCCTGTATTTATTACCCACCCCTCTCTGTCCAACATGTCACTGAAACGATCGAGGATAAACGCGCAGCAGATTGTGGCGATGGGTAGAAACTCATCTCCACAATAGGGCTGCAGCTAATGATTATTTTTGTTGTCGACCAATCTGTTAATTATTTATTGGATTAGTCGACTAGTCACGATTATTTTGTCTATTATTTTACCTCCTAACCCTAATTAAACAATTTAACTAATTAAATATCTTTGAAGTGAATTACTGATCTCCAGCACACAGCTGTTACCATTAAGTGAACAAGTAATATACAAATATACATGACGACAACAGCAGAAAAAGAATAAAATAAAATAAATGTCAACTCTGTTTGAAGGCCAAAGAATAAAGATACGTCTTTAGCAAGGATTTGAAAGTGTCAGGAGTCGGCATTTCTTATTTCAACAGGTAAAGTGTTCCAAAGATTAGGAGCAGCTACTGAAAAGGCTCGGTCACCTTTAGTTTTTAGCCTGGATCTGGGGACATCGAGGAGCATCTGATTGGATGACCTCAGTGCTTTGACCGGAGTGTGTACATGTAAAAGTTCTGATAAACAAGAAGGTTCCAACCCGTTTTAAAATTTAAAAGTAAGACAAGTAGTAAAATCTTAAAATCAATCCTAAAGCGCACAGGAAGCCAGTGGATTGAGACTAAAACAAGGGTAATGTGCTCGGGCTGTTTAGTTCCAGTTAGAAGTCGAGCTGCTGCGTTCTGGACTGACTGTAACCGACGGAGAGACGACTGAGCCGCTCCAACATACAGAGTTATAGCAGTCTAGTTGAGGCGTTTTAAATGCATGGACAAGAGTAGGCTCCTCCTGTAATTCACTGATTTATTATTGCACTTAATGTTTGCTAACACAACTAAAAGAGCGTTCTCTTAGCCAGAACTGTGGAGATAACAGCCAAAACAATAAACTCACGATCTGATTTATTGCCAAGTAGGTTTTAAAAAATCTTTGCTAAAAAGATAAAGATTTTTGCTTTCTAACTATAGAAAATAAAAGCAAATCACACCTGTACACTAACAATGTCTGTTTAGAATAAGAAAGCAACAGCCCCCTTTCATATACTACTCTTGTAGTTTATTTTTCCAAAGTGCTTATAAGTGGAGAAAGTTCTGTAGGCGACATCACGAGCCAGATGTTTCTTGATTTACTTTAAAATGTTAAACCTTTACTCCGATTGTAACGACAGAATAACAGCGGTACGAACATTCAAACTATCCCACCACAGTTGTGGCCTTTCCTCTGCTGCTCTGTTGCTGCTGCTGCAGTGGTCTGAGTAACCGGCACCAGGGCGCTCTGTGGGAGTGACCGGCTGGCTGGCACCACTACTAACCTCGTGGGCGCTTGTGGAGCTTCTCAAGCCCAAAAACGTTTGAGCACATTTTGGATTCGCCATCAACTTTGGTAAAACTTGCTGATATTGAAGTTCTACACAGCTGATTTCTCGCCTCAACAAAACAATGTCCAGTTTCTTCAGTTTTTGAAAATAAAGCAACTCGCTGGAAACCTGTGAAATGAATTTTGTATGCAGCACTGATCCTCCTTTTTTCACATTGATGGACAAATGTTGGCTCCAGTGAGAAGCTGCAGCTGGTCGTAGCACTGATCAGTCATATTCATTATACAGCCATAAAAACACAGTACTTTGCCGCGCTGTCCAGCATCTCTGAACTGATCACTACATGCTAACAGGGAGGCCTGCTTCTTTAAATATATAGATTATTTCCCGTGTATTACTTTTGTGATGTGTGCAGTTAAAGGCAGGTTAATGCATCGAGGCTGCGGAAGTGTCGCAGAGGAAGGAAAGGATCGCTGAGCTTCCTCTTTGACCAGGTTTTAGTTTGTACTTCCCAAATCATATGGAAAGTTTCTGATCATTTAATAACATTATTTTTACTATAAGTAAAACTCTTTAACAGTAAGCATTGGCAGTTTGGAAAGAAGTCATTCAAACAGCATGTAGTTGTTTTCTTCCTGTGATTCTTAGTTTTTCCTGGAGCAACAGATTCCTCCTTCATTAACGTGAATGTGGCTGCAGTAAGAGTTGTTCACCCCCTGATACTCGCAGAGAAACAAAAGACAAATGTTTGTTTACATTTCCCCAGACACTGATTAGATAGAGAGACGGATAGACAGATGGAAAGATACTTTATTCATCCCCGAAGGGAAATTTGTAGTGTTGCAAAAGCAGCGGTTTACATAAAAATAAACGAACCTCAACAGTTACAGAGACACACAACTAACACAAAACAAAAACTAAAAAATATAAAGAAATAAAATAAAGTTAACACATTTTTTTAAAAGTATGTTGGATATAAGAAGTAAAAAGATTTACGAGTTTGTGTATCTGTGCACATGAGTGTAGAAGTATTTGCATTGTGCAGTCAGGAGAAATAAGTCTTGTCATTAACACAATATAAATAATCGCTGTGTGATGATGTGAGAGCGATAAGATGCGGGAAGTCAGAACAAAAGGATCGTTTGTGTCTGCGAGTCAACAAATAACACCGGATTCTTTCTTACAGTGACAGTAAAGATAAACAGCCTGCTCTGATGGATATAAATCGATAGTCATTTATAAATGTAATTTATTCCAAGAATTCGCAGCAATTTATTCAAAGGCCATTTTCCTGAGCTCAGAATGGGCTTGAGGAATTTCTAAGACTAACCACTCTCTGGAACATGTCTGATAACCACAGACTTTCCAATTTATTTTAGTGGTCAGTTAGCTGAGAAGTTTATGCGTTATCGCCTTTATAGACGAATAATAACCAGTGACCGGTTCTCCTGGCGACCCCGCTAGTGAGTATAGAAGACAATTTTGTGTTGAAATTGGCGCCAGTAATAAACCGCAAGGCAGCATGATAAACTGCATCAAGAGGTTTACAGTAAATCGCCATCGTCAAGTACAGACATGAAAGCCGCTTCTACAATGTCAAATCTATGCTGATGAGACTGACCTGATTTATTTCTGTCGAAGAAACCAATCTTAACTCTTAGCTTCCTCACCAAAGATGTTCATCCAGCATACTTGGGTGAGGAAGCTAAGAGAACACGTTCTATAATTTTAAAAGCTCCAAAAAATGTCAGATCCAGATATCTGTAAGAGTTGATATGTACAAAAAAAAACTTCACTTGAATGATGTGATGATTCTGCTGCTGCCGAGAAACCTTCGTATTTAAAGGAATTGTTGGACATTTTTAGGAAATCCGTCCACATGCTTTCTTGGTGAAAGTCTCTGCGTTAACTACGGAGCTATAGTCGAGAGATGGTTAGCTTAGCTTAGCATAAGTACAACATTAGCCTGTTCTCAGAGGAGTTATTGAACGTCCTGCACCTTCTCTCTCTCTCTCCCCGTCTGTCCATCCTGTAGCTGCTGGACAGTGACCAGGAGCTGTACAAGAACTTTCCTCTGGTCATATCGGAGCGCTGGCAGCAGGAAGTGGCAGAGACGGTCTACGAGGCGGTCAACTCGGACACCGACAAGAACGAGGCTCGCAAGAGGGCGAAGAACAAGCAGCTCGGCCACGAGGAGGGTAAAGATAACCGCGAGGAAAATGATCATGACTGGCGGCAAACGCATAAATCCTCGATGTTCTAACCATGTGTGTCCGTGTGCAGACTACGCCTTCGGAAAGGACTGCATAATGCACGGCTACATGTTGAAGCTGGGGAACCCGTTCCTGACCCAGTGGCAGCGCCGGTACTTCTATCTTTTCCCCAACCGTGTGGAGTGGAGGGGCGAGGGCGAGTCACGGGTGAGTTTACCCCTCGTCATGTTTCGCTCTGTGTGTTTATGTTAACGTGTAAAGAGAGGGATAACTACTGTCAGAGTGTGAACGTTGTCTGTCTGTCTGTCTGTCCCGACGCCACACTGAAGGGGAAGTGGCGAAAACATTTTAAAAAGCAGAACGACGAGGTGAGTGTTAACGCCATGGTTCGGGGTCCCTGCTGTGTCCTCAGCGTCCCTGCTGTCTTTGTCCACAAGGTGTTTAGAGCCGTAGTCCACCTCCCTGCTTAAGACTCAGTAGTGTGCTTCAGTCTTTTTATCCCTCTTGAGACGGGAAGAGCCGCCGTGGGAGGCGTTCAAGTGCAGGAACTCAGAGCAGCTTTCTCCTGGGGAAAGTCAAAAGCAAGTCGGTGGAAGTCTTTTTACTTTTAAAGCTGTGTTAACCCTTTGAGTCCTGTCTGACGTAAAAACGGCGAATGGATCACATTTATATTGCTCTTTTAGAGAGTGCAGTGATTGTTCAAAATGTGCGTCTGCCGTTTGTTTCACCTACAACCAACCTGCGATAATGACAAAATAACAACGGCGGAGATGCTGCTAGATATTCAGCGCTTCCTTAGAATGTCATAAAAACATTTCAAAGCATTCGTTTCTAACGTTTATCAAACCTGCCAGTAAGTCCGTTTAAACAAGGAACCACCACATTGGAGCCCCGTCCTCGCAGAGCGGCTCGCACTGTACTGTAATTAGTCAAAATGTATTAATTCTGAACGTGTCGCGAGTCCAAATTGTACCAAATGCGACACTGCACTCCCTTTGGTCCGCAGCAACCGCCTCGTGTGAGGTTGATTCACGCAGAGATTCCTGTCTTTATTAGAGAGATTAGCACCAGAGGGAAGACTGCCCCCTACTGGCCCACCAACACCTCTTCCAGCAGCAGCTTAGTTTTCCCAGGAGGTCTCCCGTCTAGTGCTAGCCAAGCCCCAACCTGCGTAGCGTCAGTTATTCAGCAGGAACAGGTTCACGTTGGTTGTGCTGCCTGCCAGAACATAACATCCATAAATCCTTTTAGCCTTATAATGTTTATAGGTTTTCTACAGAATCAGCAGTAATCCAGTGAATACTGTCGGTCTGACCTGCACTTACTATCCCATGAGCCTGTTAATTAAAGAGGTCATGTTATGCTCATTTTCAGGTTCAAAATCTTATTCAGGGGTTGTACCAGAGCAGGTTTACATGGTTTAATTTTCAATAAACACCATATTTTTCTGTCATACTGCACATTGCTGCAGCTCCTCTTTTCACCCTGTGTTGAAGGCTTTGTTTTAGCTGTGGAGTGATACATCTCGTCTCTACGTGATCTTTGTTGGGAGTTGCTCATAGACTGGATATAAGAAGTGGACGTAGTCATCGTGACATCACCTGTTGGTTTGTGGACTGTAGTTTTGAAGCCTCGAGTTATTCAGGTTAACCGTCATTTTAACAGGGCTGATAAACTTTGTGTAGCGAACAAGAGTCTTAAAACTAATTGTGCTCACCAGAGAAAGTGAACAGCCGACTCCTAATAAGCTTTTACCAAAGGCGCTGGTTAAATTTACACAGTGCCGAGGGTACGAGTCAGTCTAGCCTGATTGACAGGTCGCCATGGTAACGACTTGTCAATCATAGATAATCCCGCCCTGAAACATACTCTGCTTTATGGTCTGTTTTCCTCTAAATGGGACCATAATTTACTAAATGAACATCATGCTGTGTTGAAGAAGACTTGAAACTAGTGACTGAGACCATAAACTCATCAGGAAAGAGTTTACTGAGGGAATAAATCAGCTGAGAAGTAGAAACATTTTACCATCATTTCAAATGCTTTGCAACCAGAAGAGTCGCCCCCTGCTGGTCGTTCAATAGAATGCAGGTTTAAGGGACTTCCGCATTAGCATCAGTTCTCTGACCGGAAGCTTCCCTCTTGGAGTTGCACATGCTCAGTTCCTAGTTAAGGACTACTAGCCAATCAGAAGCAGAGAAGGGCGGGTCAGCAAGAAGCCAGTAAACAGCTTTGATTCAGCTGTACGTGTTGCCGACCAGCTTGGCAACATGGACTGGAGCGAGAGTTTCAGAGCGGTGAGTTATTAATCTGTATCCATAAAGTTTTAACTGAGCTCTGTCTCTACATCACAGGAACAACTTTATGTCCACTGACTGCCTGGAGGGTAGCTAGTGTTTGGAAGGGAGAGGAGAGCTGTGTGCTGCAGCTCACTGTGTTTCCACCGGTGTTTTTGAGGCCGTGTCAGAGTAGCCGCTTGGCGAGCGTTATGACGTGCATTTTGCTGTGACTTCAGAAGGATGAAAGGGAAGCGGCTGGACTACAAACGAGCTGTTTGCTGCAGTTCAGAGCAGAGTTTTCTGTGGGAGATGGGAACTCCCTTTGGGCTTTTTCACTTTGCAAACCTGTTACATGCACAAAAAAGGAATATAACTCAATAAAGGAGAGGGGAAAAGACAAAAAGCAGAATATGACCACTTTAAGGGAGTGAAACTCTTGGTTTTAAGGGTTAATAATGTTTTTTAATACCAGCATCTTAATTGAAACCTTTTAAATGCACAGGCCTGATGATAAATATTCAAGGCCTGCCTGCTGCTGTCATATTACCTTTTCTTTATAGGGAGTAAAGTCTTAGTTCTGCAGTAACTGTCCTTAGTAATCAGTTCCGCCTCGACGCTTCACTGTCTGTATTCTGCTCTTCCCCTCTGCTCGTTTTTGACTTGTCAACTTTGTTCACAGCAAAACCTGCTGACGATGGAGCAGATTGTGACGGTGGAAGAAACGCAGGTTAAAGACAAGAAGTGCATCCTGCTGCGCATCAAAGGAGGGAAGCAGTTTGTGCTGCAGTGCGAGGTAGGACCGCCGAGCCGCTCTCTGGATCTCTGTCGGGCGAGAGAACGACAAAACGGCTGATCCCTTTTTTGTTTGTTGTTTTCTGTCCGCAGAGCGACCCGGAGTTCGTGCAGTGGAAGAAAGAGCTGACCGAAGCGTTCACAGAAGCCCAGAAGCTGCTGCGCCGGGCCCCCAAAGTCATCGGGAAAGGCCGGGCCGGCGTGGTGGAGCTCTCCAAACCTCCCCTCACACACCGCAACAGCAATGGCCTGTGAATACACACACACACATATATATATACACACACACACACACACTTTGACACACACACACACACTGCATCCCCCCTCCTCATCAGCTGCAGGACGTTTGCCCCGACTCCCTCCCACGACGCCTCGCAGCGTGTGATGGACCACGCCCACCAGCCTCTTACCACCACACGCACACACACTCTGAACACGACGACCAATCATAGGCGTGATATAGTTTTTGTTGTTTTTTTTGTCTGCCACGGGACGTTGCCAGTTTGCCGAGAGGAAGAAAGGATGAGTCAGCATGTGAAGAACCTCTGCATGAATGTGTCGAGGACGGACGAGCCCGTCTTTCTACCTTTCCCCGCTCTCCTCCTGCACCGCCTCCACCACCTCCTCGCCCTGTTTGAACCAGAAAATCTGAAAGGGGGCGGGACTCCGGACTCCTCCACAAACCCTCACAGAGCTAAAGATCCGGTCAGCTTTGCTGTTGGCCGGCTGAGCAGCGCCCGCCCTCTCTGAGGTGACAACACCGAGCTTTAGCGAGGAATGTATTTCTTCGAGAGGAAAAACAAAGTAAAAGGCTGCTCCCCTGGTCCCCCCCCCCTCTGTAACCATTCCTCCCTTCGTTACTGACGTGCGTAAAGTGCCAACATCAGTATTTACTTGTCACCTGAGCACTCAGGAGGACCTGCCTGCTCGCCGGCTTGGTGGCGTTTGCGGGCCGGTGGCGGTTTGATCATTCCAACTTATAAAAACAGGAAGTACAAGGACCGCAGACTCTTTCACATTGGCTCTTGTACAGCCAGTTACCATAGAGACAGAGATCCCGTTGGTTGGCAAACCTGCAGCCTGTTGCCGAGGGAAACCATGAAGACTGGTCTACCTGGGGATCTGGGTTTAACCACCTGGTTGTACCGGTTGTGTATGAAGGCGACGGCTCGCGGGAGGCGGAGGAGGAGCGACTCTGAGTGTATATAAGCAGCCTTTCTCTGTGCACCTCCAGTGTTTTAACGTGTTTGCATATTCGGGGACTTCTCTGTCTGCCTGTTCGTGAATCTGTCCTGGCTTTTTAAGGGGGGCGGGAAGATGAGGAGGAGGAGGTCGGGGGGGGGAGGGAGGGAGGACAGGCTTTCAGTCGCTCGCAGCGCTGCATTACCTCAGTCGGACTGTGTCAGTTTGAGTACGTGGAGGTCGAGCGCCTCTGTAAGGGCCAAATGTCTGTCTGTCATCGTCCCGCTCGCTCATGTTCATCCTGTAGGTTTACAGTTTCAGTCACGCGGCGGCGGCTGTAATGTTGGACGGTGTGTGTGAACGCAAGGAGGAGAATGAAGAAGTCGAGCTGAAGCTAATTAAAAGGAGAAATCCTCCCTCAGACGCACCAAACTGTCACGGAGGCATTTCCACAGATCATCTCTGGGTATTTTTTTTCCTTTATTGAAGAGTTGATGATTTTCAGTTTTTTGCACTCTTCCTTTTCGTCATCCTGTTAGTTCTGTGCTGCTTGAGTCGACCTCCATTTCCCAGAATGCCTTAGGACAGCCTGCAGGTAGAAAGAGCAAATGGTAAAGAAGTTTTTCAGGATTTTCGTCATTGATTGATTAATAATTTGGTCTTCAAGGTACTGAAAGACGCCTATTATAATCCCGAGGTGATTTATTCAATTGCTTGTTATCACGTGACAAAAAAGCTTCACATTTCAGAAGCCAGATTATTAGTTTGGCATTTTTGCAAACCTGTACCCGCTGCGCCTGAATCGAAACCCACCCTGTTTGGATTTATTAGCGAGCAGAGAAACGTTTTCTCATTTAATCGATAAAATTGGTGTTTAACTATCCATATTCTAAGATAAATGAGCGTCCAGTACAGCAGCTAATTCGTGAAAATTACCGTTTGGTTAAAATCAAATCCCCAGATTTGTGTTAACGAGCAGCGAGGTTAAAATGAGTTGAAACCTCCCGCTCCTGTCACTTCGGGCGGTCGTAGCAAAGAAAAACAGACATCGAGCGTTTCACAACCACTTTAAACGATTGTCACCATCATCACTACGTATGTCATTAATAGCCGTAAATAAGTGGTGCTTGAGCTCATCTGACAGGATTTTGGCAGCATGTCAGACTAAAACTATTGGGACCCTTCATGCTTCTAACAAACTTAAACATTTTACGATTTATTTGTTAGCACGCAAAAGCGATACAGCCCCCGTGCGGCGTTACCGGCGTGCTGTTTACGCTTCTGCAACGTCCACCACCTCCTCTGCTAACCTCACCTCTCAAACTTACGCTTCTCGACTCGCCTCAGTCGCTGCAGACGGTGACATTTACAATGTTTTAAATGCGTGACCGTCCCTGTCTACACTTCCGAGTGACGTTATGATCCAAGGCTGGATTTTTAGTTTTTACAAATGTCAGTGTGATTTTAAATGGATCTTACGCTGCATTCATGACGCATCAGGTTTATCGTAATTACCAGCGTCGGCGCCTGAGTCGTTAGTGCGAGACAGAAACTTCAATTTTAGATTGAAGTCGGAGTGAAACGGTAGTTAAAGAGTCTTAATCGTGTGAAATGTGGCGAACTTCTGAGCGAGAGCTTTGATTGGACCTCCCGTCACCCGCGCTGTTGTATCACGAGGACGAAGGAGAAACAAATAAATGAAACCTCGATGGCAGTCATGGGAAGTCTAGACTGAGTTCCTGCAGGCTGAAATGTGTGTGTGGGGTTTATAAGGTGGAACGCTGAGCTAGAACCACAAATCACACTTACTTAACAAATGAATGTAAACGCCGTCACATCGTCACAAATATTTGGATGTTTCAAACCTAAAAAAAATTCAAATATAACGAGATAACTCAACAATTAGCAGATTTATTATTTTGCTGTCTTTAAGGCTCCAGCAAGTCTGATCTAAAAACACACAGCCGGAGTCCGTCAGTCAATTAAAGTTAAATCTAATGAACGTGGTGCTATGCTGTCAGTACGTAGTATTTTTTATTTATTTTTTTTTAGCCCTCGCAGCAAATTACAGTTTCAGGAACAAAGTGTGTCGTCCGCAAAGCTAAACGAGCTGCTAGCAACAAAACAACTCTAAACTTTATTATGAACAACTCTGCCGTCATACAAAAACATTTCCCCGTCTTATCCAACTCCGGCTCGTCAGAAAGAAGCTCTTTGACTCTAAAGCAGCGGTTCTCAAACTGTGGAGGTGCAGAGCCACTTCGCGGGGGGGTCGTGGATGTTGAGCGGACCTACAGCTGCATAAACAAACACAAGGCTATTTAGCTATCCTGAATCTTGTTTATTTTAATCACCTGTATTGTTACTGATTGATAAAAATGAAATCTGCTTTTGCTGGGGCGGGTGGGGGAACTTTTTTTTTTTTTTTTTGCTTCTAAAGAGGGACGTGGCAGAAAAAGTTTGAGAACCGCTGCTCTAAAATAACACTTTCCGGTTGTTTCTCCGCGTCGCTGCTCGTACCAGGATGGCAATACGTTAAGTGTGATCGCATAAAGCAGTCGACCGATTTGGGTTTATCAAACGGCCGATATTCAGAGAGCAGATTAATCGGTCACACTCGCCCAGTCACCTGCAGGAAGAAGACAAACATGCATCAGTGTATTTAAAGTGTTTCAGGGTGGAGTTTCCCTCTAATTTATGATTTTATGTACCTTAAACGACACAGGTCAGATGAGGTGAAACGTTTTGTTTTTTTATCGGGCCTTTTTACGGCGTGCACAGAGTCATAGCGGTGAAGAAGAACGCAGCAGCGAGCAGACGGAGGATTTATTCTTATTCTTATGATTATTATTGTTGGATACATAGATTAATTTCAGGGGTTTTACTTTTCATGCAGTAGTGTCCTCGCCTGTGACGTCCAAGCATTCCCGGAGCTGCAACGTGTTTGACCTACAGTAAAGGTTGATTTAAGGGTGCATTGCGATGGTTCTTCTATTTTATTATTTTTTTTGTAGCCTTTACCAGTCAGGGGGAGATATTATCGTCTTATAAAGAAATGTTGTCACCTCTCAAGGTGTCTTTTATTTTTGTAAACCAAAATGGTTTTTGTTTTTATTGACGTTTATGTTGTTGCACCTTTTTTTTTTTTTTTTTTGCCCAAATGTGTTACTTAATAGTTGTTAAATGTGCCAAATAACTGTTGCTGATTGAGTGGAACCAATGGGAAGCCAACCTTTGTCTGAACTCTTTGACCCTCCTCACCGCCAGACTCAAGCAGAATAAAAAACACACACTCAAGTTCACACACACAAAGTCTCGCGGTGGAAGTTTTCGGTGGAGCCTCTGAAGGGGTTTGAACCTGTGACCAAACGAAGACGCGTGTGTGTGTGTGTCCACTCTCGACTCGTGGCTGAACGTTTCCTTTCACACTGTGTTTATGTCATGTGAGTGTGTGTGTGTGTGAGCATACGTGCGCTTCATTATCGCTTTGTATGTCTCAAGCAGTGGATTCTCTCTTTTTTTTGTTTGTTTGTTTTTTGGGATACACAGATTCTCTGCTCAAACACGCTCAACACAAGACAATTTTAACAAAAAAGGATGGCGTTATAGGAAAAAATAAATCAAAGTATATATAAATATATGTGTATATGAAATGACAAAATGCTCTAGGTTTATTTAAAAGATTTAATGTAGAAAACAAAATGAAATTGTTCAGGGGAGGTCGGGGGTTTTGATGTGAGTATAATTGTTTGTGGTGAAGACTTCAGCTCAAATCTTGCACATAAAGACTTTAGATATTGTACCTGCGAGTTCCAGATGATTATTTTTGTTTGAATACAGGACTCTTTGCTCTTTCATATTTATTGCGTGTGTGGGGAGCTCTCTCGCTCCGTCTCTCCTCCACGTGTCCGAGCCTCAGCCGAGCGCTCGCTGTAGAAAAAAAAAACCCTCCGGTTTGACACCCATCAGAAACTCTCATTGTTTTTCATATGCCACAGACAAACACAAGTACTACTGGCTTTGGAATTATTATTGCCATTAAGGTTATGATAATACTGATATATAATTGATAACATTATTCAATGATTATTATTAAATTTATTCTATTTCAATGATTTGTTTTGTTTTTGGAGACAGGTAGGAAGTTGCGTGTTGGACTGCTTGTAAAAACAGTTCATGAATAAAAATCCTTTTTCCGTGTTGCTTCGTGTCACATTTGCTTTTTTTTTTGCGAGCTTGTAACAGCTAAATAGAAGATATTGTAAAGTGTGTGTGTGTGTGTGTGTGTATGTATATTGTGTGTGTGTGTGTGTGTGTGTGTGCATAAGATTTAAAAATTATTGTCTTTCGGGACCCCTGTAAACTTCACTTAACTTAAATTTAACATTTGAAGGGGCTTTTTCCACAGTGAATACTTTTACTTTTGACAAGACATTTTGCCTGAAGAAGTCATATTGTGCTTTTTTCCCTTTACTTTTTTGTGTTTTAATCTTTTTTGTGCATGTAATAGGTTTGCAAAGTCCAGCCCAAAGGGAGTTCCCATCTCCCACAGAGAACACTGCTCCTGAACTGTCCAGCCTTTACTTCACTAACATACACTACATTGCCAAAGGTTTTCGCCTGCCTTTACAAGCACATGAAGGTTAATCCCATTCTTAATCCGTAGGGTTTAATATGGAGTTGGTCCACCCTTTGCAGCTAGAACAGCTTCAACTCTTCTGGGAAGGCTGTTCACAAGGTTCATTTGTGAGGTCAGGCAGAGATGCTGGACGAGAAGGCCTGGCTCGCAGTCTCCGCTCTAATTCATCCCACAGGAGTTCTGTCGGGTTGGGGTCAGGACTCTGTGCAGGCCAGTCAAGTTCTCCACACCAAACTCGCTTATCCATGTCTTTATGGACCTTGGCACAATGCAGTCAGGCCAGTACCGTTCTCCTGGCTCGTCCATTGGATTGTGAGACAGAGAAGCGTGATTGGTCACTCCAGAGAAGACGTCTCCTCTGCTCTACTGTCCAGCGGCGGCGTGCTTTACACCGCTGCATCCAACGCTTTGCATTGCACTTGGTGATGTAAGGCTTGGATGCAGCTGCTCGGCCATGGAAACCCATTCCATGAAGCTCTCTACGCACTGTTCTTGAGCTAATCCGAAGGCCACGCCACGTTTGGAGGTCTGTAGCTGTTCTGCATGCACTGACCCTGCTCTGTGGCCTACCACTTCATGGTGGAGGTTCTGTTGTTTCCAATCTCTTCCACTTTGTTAAAATACCACTAACAGTTGACTGTGGAACATTCAGTAGTGAGGAAATTTCAGGAATGGACTTATTGCACGGGTGGCAGCCTATCACGGTACCACGCTTGAAGTCACTGAGCTCGTGAGAGCGACTCATTCGTTCACAAATGTTTGTAGAAGCAGTCTGCAGCCTAGGTGCTTGATTTTATCCACCTGTGGAAGTGATTGGAACAGCTGAATTCAGTGATTCGGAGGCATGTCCCAAAACCTTTGGCAATACAGTGTAGCTGGATCACTTTATAACGCTTCATAATGCACGCCTAGCGGCTAGTGTGACACGCAGTAGTCCTTACTAGGTACTGTGCATGTGCAGCTCCCAACAGAGTTCCAATAGAAGTGAGATGCTTCACTCATTAGCTAAAACAAAGCGTCCAACACGGTGAAAAGAGGAGCAGTACCTGTTCTGGCACAGCCCCTAAATAGGATTATAAACCTGAAAAGGAGCATAATATGACCTCCAAATGTACTTTTACTCAAGTATAATTTCATATAAGAGTTCCGGTATTGTCTCTTTTTTTCCTGTTAAGATTTGTTTTTATTGAAAAATGCTGAATTTACAGGGCAACTGCGACACATAAGATACTCCAACATTGCCATCCGGGCGTGAGAAACTAACTTGTTGTGTTTTGACCTTGTAACGACCTGCCGGGGACTTAAGGTGGAAAAATAGCCTTCTTTACATTTAAGCAGAGCTGTAATGTAACTGTTGTAAGAAAAGTGCACAACATGTATACAGCACTAACTCAAGTATGTACAATAGTAATGACATATTACTAATAATAAACTGAACCTATTGCAGTGGGAATAAATGTATAAGGTAACTATTGTATAATGGCATTAGTTTTAATCATGTGCAGTAATTGAGGATTTGACATCCAGAGGTGCTTCAGCTGCTGCTCCTCAGACGGTAAGTGACGAAGGGAGTGGGATTAAATGTAGTACAGTATGTGTTCTTTAGCCAACAGTTAATCCACAATGAGAGACTGCTGCTCTGCAAACACTTAAGAGACGTAGAGCTTTTAATTCGACTGTAGACACTCAAGGTTAAACGTTCTCGGGAAGATAAAGAACTATTTGTTTGTTTTTCAATTAATAGCCCGGGCTTTTATTTGCTTCAATAACTAAACTCACCCGGCCTTTATTTGGGATAGGCGTCTAATTCCTTTTGCACAAAACTCGTGCTCAGCAAAGATGGGAAATAGGCTTCTATCCAACTGTTTATTTCAATCAGTATACTCGTCTTATCGGCAAATCTGAATTGTTTCCGTAAAATAAACTGAACAATGACATTGTGGAGAATCTAACCAATCTTTTGATGTGTTGCATGTCCATATTGACAAAAGCTTAAACATTTCTTTTTGTATTTGCGATCTAAGCAGCTTAGCTCAAGCAGGCGACCCGGTGGGCTTCAAGAGGTTTTATACATCCAAAGAACTAAAAACCAGACCAGGCTTCTTATTGAGACCTGCGTTTATTTGTCAAAACGTCTTGTAGCCTTGCCAGGCCAGTTAAAGGGTCAGGCACTAATTGGGACTTTAATTGAAGTTTTACAGTATTTTACTTGTGTGAACACACTACTAATAAGTTTCCCGCCAATAAAGCTCCAATCCATTGAACTGTTGGTCCTCTTAAGCGTATTTTAAGAGTGACATTAACAATTCCGTTGCTTTCTTAGCTTTAGTTTATGACCAAATACCTGCACAACTAATGATATCATAGCGTCCGCATATGTTAGCATGCTAAACTAAGATGGCAGACATGGTTGGTTTATTTTCGCGTATCTACTCACCAGAATCAGCTTTATTGGCGAGAACGTGAACACATAGGCTACAAGGAATCTGTTGGTTTTTTGTTATTGCTCTCGATCTACTGGGACAACAAATCTGAACAAACAAAGGAAGACTATTATGTACACAAGTATGTCTTAAAATAGGTGTGCATATACCAAAGTAAATATTAAATAAACAGCAACAAAGAAAAGCCCAAGTCGTGTTTTTGTAATTTGTAAACAATACAAATAAATATTGAATTATTATGCATGGAGCAGTTTGCACGTATATATGTCTTCATACAAAGAGTGTAGGATTTATATTGACAGTGGATGGTTATATATACTGTACATGTAAAACTATCAGTATAATAAATAACAGAAGTACGTGGAGGTTTTGAAATACAGGTGAAAAGCTCTACATTGTTGTTATTTTTCAAGATATTTCACTCAGAGCTGTACTGAGCCTTTAAGGATCATTTCTGTATTCTTAAACCTGGGCCCTATTCCCACCTACGTTGGTGTTGAAATAATTAGTAGGTATAAAATGTTTTGAATCTGTGCAATGGCTGCAATTTATTCCTTCTGGGCGACTGCGTCCGTTAAAATGGCATCAAGGACAGAGTCTTGATTTGAAATCTTGTGAGAGGCGAGTTGTTGCAGGAAGACGCGTCTGGAAACGTGAGTCAGGTGTTTGTTGTGTTGGAGTAAGTTATACTAGCAGCTCCTCTGCGTACACATCAAACGTCTCTCCCTCGTTTCCTCTGGCGTTTTCTGCAACAACTCTCCTCTCATGAGATCTCAGAGCCAGAAATGTCCTTGAGGAAATAAAACAAACAACAACAAAGACACCAAAACAGGAAGGAATAAAAAAGACAAAAAGTCAAAGCATTGTAGAAGAGCTGCCGTCCACATTCCTCCCACATGGACATTTACAAATGTATAACAAATCAGTTCTTCTACCCAAACAAGGTGGAGTTGTTGTCTTCCAGTGTTCCCATCATCAAACATGTGGAAATGTTGACCTGATGGTGGCGCTAGATGAAAGGTCAGAGGGTCACCTTAAGTTATTACAGTAGATCCTGAGGGGAGCATGAAGGTCTGAACCACATTTCATCACAATCAAAACACTGTGGGATAAACTTCTCTAGATTATCAGATCGTCCCCCACCACCGAGACTTTTAAGTCTTATAACACATTTTTATGTGCTTTATAAACAAAATTTACTTCACTTAACAATCCATCCAACAGCTGTTGAGACGTTTCAGTCTGAACCAAAGTGGTGGCCCGACCATCAGAGCAGCAGTTTGCTCGCACGGCGAATTAGAAGCAGCTTTACTTTCCCTTAAGATGGTGCAAATTATTCGTATTTAAACATTTATTGCTAGGAGTTTCCCCCCTCCTGACAGAAACTAGGAGTCTCCTCCTCACCTCATTTTCTCAGCTGGAGCTGTCAATCAAACTGGACAGCTGATGCGGTGCAGTTCTGCACATGTGCACTTGTGTCCTCTGTCAGAACAGCTGCTGTCCGTTACACCCTCCCCCTCCCCGCCTTCATTCACACACCTTTAGAAGTCGTTTTTAAAACCCGTTTCACCTGATTATAGAATTGTTTTTTAATATCTCGTTAACCTCTCTCACTTCTTTTCCTCTGGCCGTTTAGGACCAGTTCAGGGGGTCGTGTCTCCTTCCTCCCCCCTTGGCCTGCAGATATTTATAGGGTCTGTCAGCCCGGCTGTGTTGCTTATCTCTCTCTCTGTGTGAGTGTGATTGGCTGCAGACCCCCCTGTGTCACTCTATTTCTGACTCCATGCCCGTCTCAGTCTGTCCTGCCCGGTCTGTGTCTGTGGTTTGTTTGTGTGGCGTCCTCACAGGATTTTAACCACCTGGATCTTTCAGCTGTTTCTTTTGCCATCCTTCGAAGGTATGCTGCTGTGTCGGTTGCTGTCCGGTGTACACAGATAGTTAAAGATACTGACATTCAGCAGGTTTTATTTATAGATGATTTTAGCTGGCCCCAAGAGGCGGCCTGACGGGGCCTGCAGTTTAGCTGGGCTGTGATTTTACTTTGGCTTCAGACATAATTTAACACCAGCTCGGACGCCGTCTGCTTCACTGGAACATTGGTTTTTATGGTTGGTTCGATTTTTATTATGAAGTGTGTGTTTCTAGAGACTTCTGGGTCATAAAATCATGAATATGTCCGCTCATGTGTGGGAGCTACAGTTTAAAACAAGTGCTGTTGGTCGTCCAGGAACTCTCAGTACAGCTTTAGGTTTAAGGTTTCTGAACTGTAAACTTTTAACACAAACCTGGTAGATTGAGCCAAAGAGAAACTAATTTTGAAGAGTTTTCTGGTGTGTTTGCTGTTGCTTCTCAGTGTGATTGGCGCAGTGCCTTGTCCTGCTGAAACTAGCTGTTGTGGAGTTGTTTACTGGGACCAACTTACAAGCAGAGGGTTTCATACTGTAATATCCACATGCAGGACACGTAGGGTTGGGCTAAGGTAGGGGCCACCGATATTAGATTAAAAAAAAATCTTCACAGAAAGTCCTGAGCTCAAAATACGGGATTGAAACATGAGAAGCAGATAAATAAGCAGGAGTGAAAGTGTGTGAATTCTCTAGCTGGAAACGGTGTTTGATCTTGTGACAATAATAACTATAACCTTTTATAGCAATTTTTGTTTTTGCTTTACAGACATAAAATCAGATAAAAACAGAAAAAAGAGGCCCAAACAGAAGCAATATGTTCACATTTCATACTCTGGCAGCAGTATTGTGTACAAGCTGGAGGTATTTGATTCATTTTTGGGGCAGTCCACTGAATACGGAGTTACAATAGTTCAACTGGACATTAATAAAGGTTTTTGTGCAGCAGCAGAAAGTTGGAAAAAGCTTCCTGGAACCAGAAGTTGTGGGCCATAAAACCAAAACAATGAGCTGAAAGACACTAAAAACACCTTTCAATCACACAGTCATTTCATTGCTTCTCGTATATAGAGAGCCTCCCTTGGTGGTTCTGGTGGAAAAAATATGTAGCCTACAGAAGTGAACGTAGAGAGACAACTAATCCTGTTTTGATCCTGTTTGAATTGAGCCCCGAATTACACACATTTGTCAATTTAAAGAATAATTTAAGCCAAGAAAGTCGCAGTTTGTCATAAAACGGTGGAAGTATAAGACTGTGAAAATACATAATTAAAAGACCACAAACCCAAATGTTGCGTATGTGACTTCATAACTTTTTCTCTCAATGACTAAAGCTAATGTTACTGAAGCTGACGTTACTGAATCTAACGTCCCTGAATCTAACGTCTTAACATACTTAAGCTAACATCAAAGAGCTTCCATGTGTAGATGACGTGATAAAAGGGCCAGAAGTCGTTGGATTAAACACATCAGGTGAGATACATCTGTGCATGGAACATAGCTAAGCTACCAAGCTAGTAACATCCGAGCAGTGAACGTTAGCTTACATTACAACACTAACACGATTGTGACGTATATTGCTTGAGACGAGAGATGTAGTTTATTGAGTGGTTTCACACAAAACTAATTTACTGTTTTATGACAAACTTAAATTATCTTTTAATTTGACAAACATCATGTGTGTAATTCAGGGCACAATTCAAACAGGATAAAATATAAAGTTGTCTAAATAATAATAATAAGAGAGGGCATAAAGGGAACTACAAACTTCATCTAAATACCCTGTTGTAAAACAACAAATACATTTATGTTGTACTTTGTAATAACCAATATTAAGTAGTGCAGCTTTAAGCCCTATTTGAACTTTTCCTGCCGCTGTGTTTATGTTGAATTCTTTTTAAAATTGACTTACACAGCTTCCAGGACAATATCGAGATGGGTAAAAAAAAAAAAAAAAAAAGGCTCACAGAAGTTTGATTGATGACACCAGAATGAAAAGCCCAGAAGTTGTGAAGCGTGACCTCTTTTCTGAAGACTTGATTATGTGACAGCAGAGCCTCTCAGACGGATGAGCAGTTTCTTAAAGAATAATGACGCCTCAAAAGGGGCTGAGGAACAGCTCAGTAATGGAAAAATATATCACCGTGACGTGTGTTGGTGTGATAACTTCTCCCAGACTGATTTGATCTAAAGGAATTGAAATGTTGAAAGTCACGTCTGACACTTTGCATCATTTTCGTGGAGCTGCTGAAGACACACTGAAGCTTTCTCTATCTGTCACTTTGTTCACTTTCAACTGTCTCTCTCCATTGTCAGGTTGTTTGTCTGTGCGCACACACACCGCCGCTCTGACATCACATCTGGCTGACGTCCGTGTGACCCCCACCAACACATCCCTGAACACCCCCAACACACCCCACCACCCCAACCCAAGCAACCATGGCACTTTCTTCACGCTTAAAACTGTGGGAGCAGAAGGGAAGTGCGGAGTTGCTGCATGCTACATTATTTTAACATGTATGTGTGTTGTGTAGTAAAACCTATGAGTAAAACACAGTATTGATTGCAAGCCCTGAATCATCACAGCATGTCACTGTGAAGTCTGCCTGCTGCTGTGATTGGTGTATTAGTCATCCTGCATGTTTAGCGAACGAGTTGGAGCTCGTTAGAGTCACATGCTGTCACCAATATTTGTGGTTTGAAGGTGGCAGTCGCTGATATTTGTGTTGTTGTATAATACTTTTGTACAATCAATAAGTACTCCCTTCAGAATTGATTGTTTTTTTTTTTTAAATAGGCCTAACTGTGATCGAAAGCAACTAAGTACATTTTAACAAGTACTGTATGTCACTATCTACAAATTTGTGGTACAACATTCAGCTTATGCTGTACTGTGTGGGAAATATTGTGCTTTTACTCCACTAATGTATTCAGTGGTGGAAGAAGTACTCAAGAGTACTTGTACTTAAAGCACATTAAGCACTTAGTAAGCACTTAGTAAGTAAAGGATCTGCAGATCCTTCAAAGTCCTACTTGAGTAAAAATACAATAAAATGTCTCCGGTGACTGATATCTGATCCTATCTGACATTATTAGATTGTTAATACTGCATCAATGTTAGAGCAGAATTTTACTGTAGCAGCTCAAAGTGGAGCTAGTTTTACTACTTTATATACAGTTAGCTTGTTTTACTACTTTATATACAGTTAGCTTGTTTTACTACTTTATGTACAGTTAACCAGTTTTACTACTTTATATACAGTTAGCTAGTTTTACTACTTTATATACAGATAGTTTTATACTTTATATACAGTCAGCTAGTTTTAACTACTTTATATACAGTCAACTACTTTTAACTACTTTACATACAGTCAGCTAGTTTTAACTATTTTTTATACAGTTAACTAGTTTTAACTACTTTATTTACAGGTAGCTAGTTTTAACTACTTTATAAACAGATAGTTTTATACTTTATATTAACTAATTTTACTACTTTTTATACAGTCAGCTAGTTTTAACTACTTTATATACAGTTAACTATTTTTAACTGCTTTATAAACAGATAGTTTTACTATTTTATAGACAATTAGCTAGTTTTATACTTTATATACAGTCAGCTAGTTTTAACTACTTTATATACAGTTAACTATTTTTTACTGCTTTATAAACAGATAGTTTTATACTTTATATACAGTCAGCTAGTTTTAACTACTTTATATACAGTTAACTAGTTTTAACTGCTTTATAAACAGATAGTTTTATACTTTATATACAGTCAGCTAGTTTTAACTACCTTATATACAGTTAACTAGTTTTAACTGCTTTATAAACAGATAGTTTTATACTTTATAGACAGTTAGCTAGTTTTACTACTTTATATACAGTTGGTTTTACTACTTGATATACAATTAGCTAGTTTTAACTATTTTATATACAGTCAACTAGTTTTAACTACTTTATATACAGTTAGCTAGTTTTACTACTTTATAGACAGTTAACTAGTTTTAACTACTTAATATACAGTTAGCTAGTTTTATACTTTATATACAGTTAGCTAGTTTTATACTTTATATACAGTTAGCTAGTTTTATACTTTATATACAGTTAGCTAGTTTTATACTTTATATACAGTTAGCTAGTTTTATACTTTATATGCAGTACTAGTTTTAACTACTTTATATACACTTAACTAGTTTTATACTTTATATACAGTTAGCTAGTTTTATACTTTATATACAGTTAGCTAGTTTTATACTTTATATACAGTCAACTAGTTTTAACTACTTTATATAAACAGCTAGTTTTATACTTTATAGACAGTTAGCTAGTTTTACTACTTTATAGACAGTTAGCTAGTTTTACTACTTTATATACAGTTGGTTTTACTACTTGATATACAATTAGCTAGTTTTAACTATTTTATATACAGTCAACTAGTTTTAACTACTTTATATACAGTTAGCTAGTTTTACTACTTTATAGACAGTTAACTAGTTTTAACTACTTTATATACAGTTAGCTAGTTTTACTACTTTATATACAGTCAACTAGTTTTAACTACTTTATATACAGTTAGCTAGTTTTATACTTTATATACAGTTAGCTAGTTTTATACTTTATATGCAGTTAGCTAGTTTTACTACTTTATAGACAGTTAACTAGTTTTAACTACTTTATATAAAGTTAGCTAGTTTTACCACTTTATATACAGTCAACTAGTTTTAACTACTTTATATACAGTTAGCTAGTTTTATACTTTATATACAGTTAGCTAGTTTTACTACTTTATATACAGTCAACTAGTTTTAACTACTTTATATAAACAGCTAGTTTTATACTTTATATACAGTTAGCTAGTTTTACTACTTTATATACACTTAACTAGTTTTACTACTTTATATACAGTTAGCTAGTTTTACTACTTTATATACACTTAACTAGTTTTAACTACTTTATATACAAGTAGCTAGTTTTAACTACTTTATAAACAGATAGTTTTATACTTTATGTACAGTCAGCTAGTTTTAACTATTTTATATACACTTAACTAGTTTTACTACTTTATATACACTTAACTAATTTTACTACTTTTTATACAGTTAGCTAGTTTTAACAACTTTATATACAGTTAGCTAGTTTTAACAACTTTATATACAGTTTTACTACTTTATATACACTTTAACTAGTTTTAACTACTTTATAAGCAGTTAGTTTTATTTTATATATATATATATGTGTGTGTGTGTGTGTGTGTTGATATTAGAATACCCTGACTGCAGTACCAGTAGATTATTTGGACTATGTTAGTAGCAGCAAAACAATCAGTTTCAAAGCCTGCGTTATTTCAACAGTTACAGAAAATAGTTTCACTTTAAATAAATGATCTGAATACCTCCCATGTTTTAAACCTTCTAAAATCTACTCTGATGAAATTCTGGAACAGTTCAGCCAAAGTGCACTGTATGGCATACTTCACTGCAGGTTTTACAAACTGCTACTGCGCCTGGCACATTTTCTCTGGTTAGTCATCATCTGATATACAGTCTGATGAAAGCCTTTTCAAACACACTTGTGTGGATCCTGGTCTATATTTGGCATTAGGACTAGACTTTCAAGACTGTGTGAAGAGGAAAATGATATTGGTGATGAATTACAATTGGCTGATTCTGAAACAAACTCAGAAAGATATTTATACACACAAATCCATTAGTTGAGTTTAGTTTGCAGCCTTCTCATATTCAGTGGTGAAGGAAGTCTTCAGACCTTTGATCTTTAGTGAAGTAAAAGTACTAAGTACACTTAGTGGTATTAGTGGTACAACTGTAAAAATGCTCTCTTACAAGTGAAGGTTGTGGATTAAAAATGTTACCTAAGTTAAAGAATGTGAGTATAATCAGGAAAATTTACTTAAAGTTTTAAAGCAGTAAAATGTCCCTTTGCCTGTCGTACTATTACATATTATATCATCATATTATTATTTGTCATTAATTAATATAAAGCAGGATTTGTTGTTGAGCTGGAGCTAATTTTGAACTATTTTATATTGGACTGCAACAAAGGATTTTTTTCAGTATGGATTAATCTGATGATTATTTTCTTCATCAATTGATTGATTGTTTGGTTTGTAAAGTTTCTGAAAATAGTGACACAACACTGACACAGTTACCCAGACCCCAAAGAGACACTTTCATAATACTTGTTGTGTGGTTGCCATTGCCATCAATCAGCTGATTCAGCCATTCTCAAACTGGGGGTGGGCCCCCCTGTTGGGGCATAGAGCCACTTCAGCGAGGTCATGGATGTAGAGTGGACCAACAGTTGCATGAATATGATTCATATTTGTGGCATAAACAAACAAAAGTGCTCTGATGCTAGCAACGATATTGTGCTAATTTGAATCTTGTTTAGTGCAAACACCTCTATTGATAATGATTGATAAAAAGTTTGAGAACCACTGCGCTTGATTAATTGATTAATCGACCTTCAACTGTACCTGTATAAATTGTTGGGTCGGTTCATTTAAAACAGAACGTCATATATTTTAAGCTTTTAGTATGATTTGTGTTTAAAAAACTTAACATAATTGAAGCTGTCAGATGAATGTAGTAAAGTAAAAAGTACTGTATTTCCATCTCAAATGTGGCGGGATAGAAGTAGAAAGTAGCATGAAAAGAAAAGACCAAGTACCTCTAATCATACAGCTCTTATGTAAATGTACTTAGTTACATTCCACCACTGCTCATGTCTATATTAATCCTGTATACCCGTCATTAAATCACAAGTGTTATAATTAGGAATTACTCAGCTAGTTCCTCACAAAGTTTCCCAGCATATTGTTGCTTGTCATATAATGTGAAACAGCTGTCTACATGACCTTTAAGATATCCCCGATTGTGTCAGCAGGTAAAACCTATTAGTGAAATGTCAGGCCTCTGGCCACCCTCTGTTTGGCACTTCTCGTTCGCTCACGATGCTCGTCATAGACGCTGACTCATATTTCCTTGAAAAGCTGGGGACACGCTGGAAAAATCTGATTTGACTGTGAAAAGTTTCGGAGATTACAGTTGAAGATGACTCAGTGTGGAGGTGAAAAACTTGACTCTAGAAGAAAGTCGTTGAAATAATTGAAAGAATCTATAGTATATTTTTATGTATGTTTTATGTAAAACAATGTAGTTTTATGTTTTATGTATGTCCAGACACTTTAAAAGTCAGTTTTGGGAATTTGACAAGGTTTTTCCCTCTAGTGTGGTGAATGTTCTGGGTCCAAGAAAAGGCCTCGCTGCTCATGAATCAAGTTGCTTCCCTGTTGTTTTCTATAATTTGGGTGAACCCTTTTATGTGAAATGTCAAAGACTTGCATGTACAGTTTTTACATCCAAATTGAGTTTATGCTATATGTATTTCTCATTCCATAAAATACTCGGATCAGCATGCAGCATGGTCCTAATGTACCGTACATCCAGAGCCGTCAGTGAATTGCTGTCTAATTCTACCTGCTTTCATCAACACAACAGATAAAGGAGGAGAAAACGCCGGTGGCCGCGGCCGAACCTCCACCACCTCTGTCAGCTCTGCCAGGCGGCTTCCTCAAACAGCTGGTCAGAGATTCAGAGAAGGAGACCAAACACAAAGAGCCAGAGGCCAAAGACGAGAGACCAGTGAGTGATTCAGTTCTATAAACTTCTTGAAGGAATAGTTTTGGGAAATACACTTATTCGCTTTATTGCCAAGTTAGATAAGAAGATTGAACACTCTCGTGTTTGAATATAAACACTGGAAAAACAGGTAGCCTTTAAGCGCAGCTACAGCTCGCTAATCAACACTTTATATTCCGTTTGTTTGTTTGTTTTGCCCTGCAGCCAAACAAACTGAGCGGCAACCTCGTGCAACAGTTCCTCCTCCCAGATCAGACTCCTCCCATCCTCGAGGCTGAGATGTCCCTCCGGGCAGAGCAGCTGATCCAGAACAGCAAGCAAGGACGCACCTCGGCCCGGTCAGACAGCCAGTCCTCGTCTCACAAGCAGGTAGTCAGTCCTGAACCTGGCAAGAAACAGGAAGCCACAAAGGAAGTAACACCAGAGCCACCAAAGCAGCGACAGGATGTGAGGTCAGAGAACAGCAAGAAGACGCCACAGGCCGAGCAGAAGAAGGGGAGGATAGAGGAGGTGAAGCAGTTGGTGAAGAAAGAGGAGGGGATGGAGGAGAGGCAGGAGCCAGAGGGAAGGCAAGCAGACACAACCATAACAGAGCGTGACAGGAAAGAGGTATTTACCCACGTCAGTAATCGCATATATGAAGTAGTCTGAGGTGTGCCCCTGGAATAATTAAGCACTTTTCAATGTTTATATATATAAAACATTAGTCCACAAGTCCTCTTAATACTGTCTAACTTCCTGTATGTGGCTTTGAGCTCCAAGCCTGTATATTTATAAATATAATTTCACCAGACTCTAAAACTTTATTTTGTCTGTAAAATTTTCTATTACATTTTGTGAGTTGAATCGTGACATTTGTGTAAAAGGTTTTTGAGTTTTAGTTTTGGTATTTCCCTTTGCTATTTTTTCTGCACCAGTTTATTAATTATTTCTAAATAAACACTCAACATATCTATAATTATTACAGAGTCCACAGTATAACTTTTCAGACATTTATCATGTATAAACACTTCAGAGATGATCTACTCTGTGTTGTCTTTGCTCTTCTGTTGTTGTTTCTCAGGTGAAGGATGTTTGGTATGAAGCTGGAACTGTGTGGTTTGTCCACAAGGATGGTTTCACCCTCGGTGAGATAGTCATGTTCACTACTTACACGTTTAACATGTTTGACTTAATACATTAGTTCTGTTTACACGTAAACAAAAGTTCTCATTCTTCTCATACACACATGCTGGCTAATGAATGGAGCCCACTGACTCTAAATATGTGATCACAGGTGAGTTATTGTAGGTATTCGGTTCAATAGAGCTGTGAAGCAGGAGTTATATAGTTATATAATATATAGGAGTTGTTTTCAGACGCCTCTGCTGTTTAAAGAAGTATAAATCCCATTTATTTTTCCATAGACAAAGTTATGTTACTCACAGTTGGAACACTTGTACAGCTTCGATCGACACAAAGCTCTGTCAATACGAAAGACACAATAGAAAATACCTGGTACTTAATAAATAGTAATAGTAAAAATAGACTAATAATTAGTGGAAGGTACCATAGGTGTCGTTTTACACTGGGGACGCTGCGTCCATCACTTTTTGAAAGCTTTATTTGTTCAAAATGTTAAAGAAAACTAAAAACTGAAAATGCTTTGAGAAAAACAGTAATGCAATGTAAACATAGGAGAAACATAGGCAAGGCAAGTAATTTCAACAACAAGGCAATTCAAAGTGCTTTACATTAAACATAGGGAAGATAGGGAAATTGAAAAAAGAACACATTAAAATATAATTCTGAAAAGCGTGTAAAAAAACAGGGTAAAACCAAACAGGACAGTTACAGTGCAGTGAACAACCAGGGCACTGAAAATCTAAAAACAAAGAAAAAGAAAATCGGACATTACAGTGCAGTGAAAGGTACCAATCTACGGCTTTAAATTTGATCTAATTAAAAGCAATGGTAAAAAGAAATGTCTTCAGTCTTAATTTAAAAGAACTGACAGTTTCAGCAGACCTGCAATAATCTGGGAGTTTGTTCCAGATATACGGAGCATAATAACTGAACGCTGCTTCTCCTTGTTTAGTTTTGACTCTGGGGACAGAAAGCAGACCTGATCCCAGACGACCTGAGAGGTCTGGATGCTTCATAACGAAGCAGAAGATCAGAAATGTATTTTGGCCCTAAATCATTCAGTGCTTTATAAACTAACAGCAGGATTTTGAAATCAAGTCTTTTACATACAAGAAGCCAATGTAAAGACCTCAGAACTGGAGTGATGTGATCCATCTTTTTGGTCTTAGTGAGGACTCGAGCAGCAGCGTTCTGAATCAGCTGCAGCTGTCTGATGGATTTCTTAGGGAGCCTGTAAAGACGCTGTTACAGCAGTCGAGTGGACTGAAGATAAATGCATGGATAAGTTTTTCCAGGTCCTGCTGAGACATAAGTCCTTTAATCCTTGATATACAGTGGGTACTGAAAGACCCCTTTAAATTTTTCACTCTTTGTGTCATTGCAGCCATGTTCCAAAAATCAAAAAAGTTCATTTTATTTCTCAGTAATGTACACTCAGCACCCCATCTTGACAGAAAAAAACAGAAATGTAGAATTTTTTGCAAATTTATTAAAAAAGAAAAACTGAAGTATCACATGGTCATAAGTATTCAGACCCTTTGCCGTGACACTCATATTTAACTCAGGTGCTGTCTATTTCTTCTGATCATCCTTGAGATGGTTCTACACCTTCATTTGAGTCCAGCTGTGTTTGATTATACTGATTGGACTTGATTAGGAAAGCCACACACCTGTCTATATAAGACCTTACAGCTCACAGTGCATGTCAGAGCAAATGAGAATCATGAGGTCAAAGGAACTGCCTGAAGAGCTCAGAGAGAAATGTGGCAAGGCACAGATCTGGCCAAGGTTACAAAACATTTCTGCTGCACTTAAGGTTCCTAAGAGCACAGTGGCCTCCATAATCCTCAAATGGAAGACGTTTGGGACGACCAGAACCCTTCCTAGACTGAGCTATCGGGGGAGAAGAGCCTTGGTGAGAGAGGTAAAGAAGAACCCAAAGGTCACTGTGGCTGAGCTCCAGAGATGCAGTCGGGAGATGGGAGAAAGTTGTAGTAAGTCAACCATCACTGCAGCAATCCACCAGTCGGGGCTTTATGGCAGAGTGGCCCGACGGAAGCCTCTCCTCAGTGCAAGACACATGAAAGCCCGCATGGAGTTTGCTAAAAAACACCTGAAGGACTCCAAGATGGTGATAAATAAGATTCTCTGGTCTGATGAGACCAAGATAGAACTTTTTGGCCTTAATTCTAAGCGGTATGTGTGGAGAAAACCAGGCACTGCTCATCACCTGTCCAATACAGTCTCAACAGTGAAGCATGGTGGTGGCAGCATCATGCTGTGGGGGTGTTTTTCAGCTGCAGGGACAGGACGACTGGTTGCAATCGAGGGAAAGATGAATGCGGCCAAGTACAGGGATATCCTGGACGAAAACCTTTTCCAGAGTGCTCTGGACCTCAGACTGGGCCGAAGGTTTACCTTCCAACAAGACAATGACCCTAAGCACACCGCTAAAATAACGAAGGAGTGGCTTCACAACAACTCCGTGGCTGTTCTTGAATGGCCCAGCCAGAGCCCTGACTTAAACCCAATTGAGCATCTCTGGAGAGACCTGAAAATGGCTGTCCATGTCACGATCGTGGTGTGGAGGCAGGTTGGAGAACCCAAACGCAGGACACAGAGCGGAGCAGGTATGGTATAACGAAGGGTTTTACTAAACAAACAAAAGCGAGCACACTTACAGGTGAGTGGCTGAATAACAGAAATCCAAAAATCCAAAAGTACAGGGAGACGAGACGAGACGAGACGAGACGAGACGAGACAAGCAAGGCTGGTTACAGGCAGAGAGTACACACACGACAGACTGGGGGGTAACATGAACAATGACCGGACAAGGACAAGACAGAAACACCAGGTATATATACACACACAGGGACTAACGAGCAGGGCGGGAGCAACACAGGTGACAGACATGAGACTAACGAGGCAGAGAGAGAGAGAGCAGAGGAAAACAGAGAGACTAGACATAACAAGCAGACTATATAACAGATACTGGACACTAGACAGGACAGAACCCAAAACTCAACATACCAAAGCAGATACCAAACTCAAAAGTAAACACAAAGGATGGCCAACCGGCAGAGCGTGACAGTCCACCAACGTTTACCATCCAACCTGACAGAACTGGAGAGGATCTGCAAGGAGGAATGGCAGAGGATACCCAAATCCAGATGTGAAAAACTTGTTGCATCTTTCCCAAAATGACTCATGGCTGTATTAGATCAAAAGGGTGCTTCTACTAAATACTGAGCAAAGGGTCTGAATACTTATGACCATGTGATATTTCAGTTTTTCTTTTTTAATGAATTTGCAAAAATTTCTACATTTCTGTTTTTTTCTGTCAAGATGGGGTGCTGAGTTACATTACTGAGAAATAAAATGAACTTTTTTGATTTTTGGAAAATGGCTGCAATGAAACAAAGAGTGAAAAATTTAAAGGGGTCTGAATACTTTCCGTACCCACTGTATTTTTCAGGTGATAGTAGGCTGACTTTGTAATTGTCTTAATGTGGCTCTTCAAATTCAGGTCCGAGTCCATGACCACACCAAGATTTCTGGCTTGGTTTGTGGTTCTTAACATTACAGATTGAAGCTGAGCACTGACTTTCAATCGTTCTTCCTTGGCTCCAAAAACAATAACCTCAGTTTTATCTTTGTTTAATTGAAGAAAACGTATGTGCAAATTTTTAAACCAATTGATTATGAAACTACCCAAAACATGCATGCAACAATCCGTGACACAGTTTATTTTCCCCCCAAGTTTTCCGTTTTCTCTTTGTGAACATGGCAAACAGCTGCTGAGTCGGGTTTGTGACGTTTTTAAAAGTTTTTTAAAACCTTTAAATTCTGTTCCAGTGACGCAACATAATCTGCAGCTTAAATAAATTCACTTTCAGGTTGTGTGTCAGTTCTGGATTAATTCAGTAAATATGGCGCACAAATTTAACAACAAAACATTCAGAATTCACTACCACTCTGATTTGCGCCTCTAAGTGGCTTCTTCTCTGTGTCAGTGGTGGCTGATGCTCATGGATATTGTAGTATTTTGACCAAAATGATGGAGAAACTGTTATTATTCAGAAACAAAGATGGGATAGTCCCATGTGTCTCTGTTTAGGATATTGTTTAGAGAGACTTTTGAAATGGTAATACAAAAGGGGGAGAAATGCTTCCCAACACTGTTCAATTTAATTCACATTTCCAGACGCAAATTTAGAAAATGCACTGCTGAATGTTACTGGATGTATACATATATGTAAATATGTATATAAATAACTGTATATAGCCTATTGTTTTATTTTATTTATTTTAAATGTTACCATATTTTTATACACAGATAATTATCTGTTAAATTCTGTGTGTGAAGCATGAAGGGAATACAAACTTTGGTTTTGTTATACAACCTTGTGTTGTATAATGACAAATAAACAACCTAGTAATCTTTAGAAACACCACACAATACATATACACAAGCACACGCACACATTAAAAAAAAAACGTTTAAACCCATCTAAAATTAATATAATACACACGTCATTACTGCTACAGCCCACAACATATTCAAAACAAAACAACATAATAAGTTGGATGATTGGCCATGTTTCCCCGACTACACTGTATAAGTAATACAGATGCATTTTCACAATAATCAACTTCAAAGAGCATTTTTAAAAAAGACCCATTTCAGCTGTTACAAGACGCTGGCATAGTGTGAATGAAAGGTTAAAATGAGATAGAAGAGATTTGTCTATCCACACTAGTGTAAACATGAAAATAGTCTCTCTCATTAAGGCCATAATGTGTTTGGATTAGTAGAAGACTCTACTAATACAAACACAATCACTAATCTCTTAGCCTGTTATATTACCTACATATCATGTTACATATTAGCTGCAGCAAAGTCACTGTGTCTCTCCTGATGCTCCACTCCATATCCATCTGCTCATTTTATGTAGCCAGCATCCATCCATCCATCCAGCTACTTACGGCATTAATCCGATTAGACCTTCATAGGCTCTCACAGCCTCTGACACTGACCCATGAGCTCTTTGACGTGGAGGGATCAGAGAATTATGTGAGAAAAGCTTAGAGAGACATGCATACAGAAACATACAGCAGTGGTACATTTACTCATTATGCTCATTACTCTTTATACTTCTGACCTATTGTACTTTATCTTCGCTACATTTAATCGACAGCTTTAAATTCTTATGAGATTCAGATTATCCATAAAAAACATACCAGAATCTAATACACTAAACTATCTGTATATAAAGTAGTTAAAACTAGTTAACTGTATATAAAGTAGTTCAAACTAGCTAACTGTATATAAAGTAGTAAAACTAGTTAACTGTATATAAAGTAGTTAAAACTAGCTAACTGTATATAAAGTAGTAAAACTAGTTAACTGTGTATAAAGTAGTTAAAACTAGCTAACTGCATATAAAGTAGTTAAACTAGTTAACTGTATATAAAGTAGTTTAAACTAGTTAACTGTATATAAAGTAGTTTAAACTAGCTTACTGCATATAAAGTAGTTTAAACTAGCTTACTGCATATAAAGTAGTTCAAACTAGTTAACTGTATATAAAGTAGTTTAAACTAGTTAACTGTATATAAAGTAGTTTAAACTAGCTAACTTTATATAAAGTAGTACAACTAGTTAACTGTATATAAAGTAGTTAAAACTAGCTAACTTTATATAAAGTAGTTAAACTAGTTAACTGTATATAAAGTAGTAAAACTAGCTAACTTTATATAAAGTAGTAAAACAAGTTAACTGTATATAAAGTAGTTAAAACTAGCTAACTGTATACAAAGTAGTTAAAATTAGCTAACTGTATATAAAGTAGTAAAACTAGCTAACTTTATATAAAGTAGTAAAACTAGTTAACTGTATATAAAGTAGTAAAACTAGCTAACTTTATATAAAGTAGTAAAACAAGTTAACTGTATATAAAGTAGTTAAAACTAGCTAACTGTATATAAAGTAGTAAAACTAGCTAACTGTATATAAAGTAGTAAAACTAGCTAACTGTATATAAAGTAGTTAAAAGTAGCTAACTGTATATAAAGTAGTAAAACTAGCTAACTGTATATAAAGTAGTTAAAAGTAGCTAACTGTATATAAAGTAGTTAAAAGTAGCTAACTGTTTATAAAATAGTTAAAACTAGCTAACTGTATATAAAGTAGTTAACTAGTTAACTGTATATAAAGTAGTAAAACTAGTTAACTGTCTATAAAGTAGTTAAAACTAGCTAACTGCATATAAAGTAGTTAAACTAGTTAACTGTATATAAAGTAGTTAACTAGTTAACTGTATATAAAGTAGTAAAACTAGTTAACTGTCTATAAAGTAGTTAAAACTAGCTAACTGTATATAAAGTAGTAAAACTAGCTAACTGTATATAAAGTAGTAAAACTAGCTAACTGTATATAAAGTAGTTAAAAGTAGCTAACTGTATATAAAGTAGTAAAACTAGCTAACTGTATATAAAGTAGTTAAAAGTAGCTAACTGTATATAAAGTAGTTAAAAGTAGCTAACTGTTTATAAAATAGTTAAAACTAGCTAACTGTATATAAAGTAGTTAACTAGTTAACTGTATATAAAGTAGTAAAACTAGTTAACTGTCTATAAAGTAGTTAAAACTAGCTAACTGTATATAAAGTAGTAAAACTAGCTAACTTTATATAAAGTAGTAAAACTAGCTAACTGTATATAAAGTAGTTAAAAGTAGCTAACTGTATATAAAGTAGTTAAAAGTAGCTAACTGTTTATAAAATAGTTAAAAGTAGCTAACTGTATATAAAGTAGTTAACTAGTTAACTGTATATAAAGTAGTAAAACTAGTTAACTGTCTATAAAGTAGTTAAAACTAGCTAACTGCATATAAAGTAGTTCAACTAGTTAACTGTATATAAAGTAGTTAAAACTAGCTAACTGCATATAAAGTAGTTAAAGCTAACTGTATATAAAGTAGTTAAAACTAGCTAACTGCATATAAAGTAGTTAAAGCTAACTGTATATAAAGTAGTTAAAACTAGCTAACTGCATATAAAGTAGTTAAAGCTAAAGTGGTAAAACTAGCTAACTCTGTATATAAAGTAGTTAAACTAGTTAACTGTATATAAAGTAGTTTAAACTAGTTAACTGTATATAAAGTAGTTTAAACTAGTTAACTGTATATAAAGTAGTTTAAACTAGTTAACTGTATATAAAGTAGTTTAAACTAGCTTACTGCATATAAAGTAGTTAAAACTAGCTAACTGTATATAAAGTAGTAAAACTAGCTAACTTTATATAAAGTAGTAAAACTAGTTAACTGTATATAAAGTAGTAAAACTAGCTAACTGTATATAAAGTAGTTAAAACTAGCTAACTGTATATAAAGTAGTTAAAAGTAGCTTACTGTGTATAAAGTAGTTAAAAGTAGCTAACTGTATATAAAGTAGTTAAAACTAGCTAACTGCATATTAAGTAGTTAAAAGTAGCTAACTGCATATAAAGTAGTTAAAACTAGCTAACTGCATATAAAGTAGTTAAAGCTAACTGTATATAAAGTAGTTAAAACTAGCTAACTGCATATAAAGTAGTTAAAGCTAAAGTGGTAAAACTAGCTAACTCTGTATATAAAGTAGTTAAACTAGTTAACTGTATATAAAGTAGTTAAAACTAGCTAACTGTATATAAAGTAGTTAAAACTAGCTGACTGTATATAAAGTATAAAACTATCTGTTTATAAAGCAGTAAAAAATAGTTAACTGTATATAAAGTAGTTAAAACTAGCTGACTGTATATAAAGTATAAAACTAGCTAATTGTCTATAAAATAGTAAAACTATCTGTTTATAAAGCAGTTAAAAATAGTTAACTGTATATAAAGTAGTTTAAACTAGCTTACTGCATATAAAGTAGTTCAAACTAGTTAACTGTATATAAAGTAGTTTAAACTAGTTAACTGTATATAAAGTAGTTTAAACTAGCTAACTTTATATAAAGTAGTTAAAAGTAGCTAACTGTTTATAAAATAGTTAAAACTAGCTAACTACATATAAAGTAGGTAAAACTAGCTAACTGCATATAAAGTAGGTAAAACTAGCTAACTGCATATAAAGTAGGTAAAACTAGCTAACTGCATATAAAGTAGTTAAAAGTAGCTAACTGCATATAAAGTAGGTAAAAGTAGCTAACTGCATATAAAGTAGGTAAAACTAGCTAACTGCATATAAAGTAGGTAAAACTAGCTAACTGCATATGAAGTAGTTAAAACTAGTTAACTGTATATAAAGTGGTAAAACTAGTTAACTGTTTATAAAATAGTTAAAACTCGCTAACTGCATATAAAGTAGTAAAACTAGTTAACTGTCTATAAAGTAGTTAAAACTAGCTAACTGCATATAAAGTAGTTAAACTAGTTAACTGTCTATAAAGTAGTTAAAACTAGCTAACTGCATATAAAGTAGTTAAACTAGTTAACTGTATATAAAGTAGTTAAAAGTAGCTAACTGCATATAAAGTAGTTAAAGCTAAAGTGGTAAAACTAGCTAACTGTATATAAAGTAGTTAAACTAGTTAACTGTATATAAAGTAGTTAAACTAGCTAACTGTCTATAAAGTAGTTAAAACTAGCTAACTGTCTATAAAGTAGTTAAAACTAGCTAACTGTATATAAAGTAGTTAAACTAGTTAACTGTATATAAAGTAGTTTAAACTAGCTAACTGCATATAAAGTAGTTAAAGCTAAAGTGGTAAAACTAGCTAACTGTATATAAAGTAGTTAAACTAGTTAACTGTATATAAAGTAGTTTAAACTAGCTAACTGCATATAAAGTAGTTAAAGCTAACTGTATATAAAGTAGTTAAAACTAGCTAACTGCATATAAAGTAGTTAAAGCTAAAGTGGTAAAACTAGCTAACTGTATATAAAGTAGTTAAACTAGTTAACTGTATATAAAGTAGTTTAAACTAGCTAACTGCATATAAAGTAGTTAAAGCTAAAGTGGTAAAACTAGCTAACTGTATATAAAGTAGTTAAACTAGTTAACTGTATATAAAGTAGTTTAAACTAGCTAACTGTCTATAAAGTAGTTAAAACTAGCTAACTGTATATAAAGTAGTTTAAACTAGCTAACTGCATATAAAGTAGTTAAAGCTAACTGTATATAAAGTAGTTAAAACTAGCTAACTGCATATAAAGTAGTTAAAGCTAAAGTGGTAAAACTAGCTAACTGTATATAAAGTAGTTAAACTAGTTAACTGTATATAAAGTAGTTTAAACTAGCTAACTGCATATAAAGTAGTTAAAGCTAAAGTGGTAAAACTAGCTAACTGTATATAAAGTAGTTAAACTAGTTAACTGTATATAAAGTAGTTTAAACTAGCTAACTGTCTATAAAGTAGTTAAAACTAGCTAACTGTATATAAAGTAGTATAATGAGCTTGTATTAACAATCTAATAATGTCAGATAGAATCCGATATCAGTCCCAGGAGACATTTTACCGCACAACCAGTACTTTTACTGCTGATATTTACAGCTAATACTTTTAAGTAGGATTATGAATGCATTACTTTTACTTGTAATAGAGTATTTTTACATTGTGTTATTGGCACTTTTTTAAGTAAAGGATTGAAATACTTCTTCCAACACTGCCTTAAAGTTCGGTCCTGATTTGGCTCTGAGTGACTCATTTAAACCACCCAGGGTTATTAACAACGTGTGCCTGTAGGTGTGCTATCAAGGGGAGTTTGTTAATTATTCTCTGATCAGATGATATGTACTCGTTTCAGCCACTCAGCTGAAGCCAGATGAAGGCACACCTGAACTCCCAGACGGCCGAGTGAGGGTCCGACTGCAGACAGATGGGTCGCTGCATGATGTTACAGAGCACGAGATTGAGAAGGTACCTCAGTTCCTTTCCTTTTGAACTTCTTTCTGTCTGTCGTGAAGACCTCAGTGGACTGACGGTGTCTCACTTCTTCCCCCCCACAGTGTAACCCATCAGAGCTGGACCTGTGCGAGGATCTGAGCGACCTGCAGAGTGTGAATGAATGTGGAGTTCTGCACACTCTGAGCAGCCGAGCTAAAGCCAACATGCCGCTCACGCAAGCAGGACCCAACTTGGTCAACTTCTGGCCTCCGTTACAGGCCCACAGCAAGGTGAAGTCAAATACATGCTGGATTAATAGCTCACATTTAAATATTAATATATTATACTCGGACAGATAGAAACACAGAAAGAGTTCATTCCTGTAAGTTATGGACGTTAAATAATTATCAAACTAAAGTTGATTTATTAATATCTACCAACACAGTCTGTTTTTGGTTAACTGTATTTGGGAATTAATGAATAGTTCATCATTAACTTGTAAGACTAGAAACCATTTTCATTCTTTCTCTCTTCCTCTTCTCCGTCAGACTCCAAAGTCTCGGCGAGGGGAGTCAGTGTGGGATGCTCCTCCTGCGCTTTCCGCTCTGGTGAAACGGGTGTACGTGTCCATGGTCGGCACCAGAAGAGACCACAGCGTGTGCGCAGTTGGTCGCAGCGGGACCGGCAAGACCACCGCATGCCAGGCCTTCACACACGCTCTCCTCAAACAAGCTGGTACAACCGGAGAGAAGATCAGCAGTGAGTACAGCAGCGGGAAGGATTATGTACACCACATTGCAGACTTTTAATTCACCTTTTCTTTTCTTTCTGACTCTAGTGGAGCGTGTACAGGCGATGTTCACCGTCCTGAGGTCTTTTGGCTGTGTGAGCTCTCAGCACAGCGACGCTTCATCTCGGTTTGCCATGGTCTTCTCCCTGGACTTTAACCACGCTGGACAGGCTGCTGCTGGACACCTACAGGCATGCAACACACACACAAACACATTTGTTCCTTTACCATAACCCTTACCCCACCGCTTACCTTAATCTAATTGTAACCTGAACTCTAAATCTTAGTCTTATCCATCAAAAAGCAGTCTCAACCCTTGGGGACTTCAACTTTTGTCCCCATCGGTTAGTGTGCATTCATTTATTCATTCATCCCCACCGGGAAATAAAAACACATACAAAAGTTACTCGTGTCATCTTCTGTTCCTTTCCACTGTCTCCCCTCCACGCTCTCTCCATCAGACGATGATGTTGGACAAATGGAAGGTGTGTCAGAAAACTCAAGGAGAGAGTAACTTCCTGGTTTTCTCTCAGATGCTCGGAGGACTCAGCACAGAGATGAGGTAATCTCCAGTTTTGGAGAGCAACTAAGGTTTATTCAAGCAGTAAGATATTTCCATTTAAGCCTATTAATAAATGTGAGATGGAAATATTGTACTCTGTTCCATGTACTTGATAAATATAGTTACAAGTTATTTTACAGATTAAGATATTACAAAAAATATGAAAACCTGATAAATTAAATTGTTAAAGATTAAATCAGTGACTCCCAACCATTTGGTTTGTGATCTCTCATAAGGTGTGTCACCAAGTCATGTTGCAGATGTCTCTGAGTTGTTAAGTTTCACCAAAGAGACACAAATAATTGTGTACGGCTCAAGCAAATTTATCTAATAATTCACAAAATACAAAGTTCAGAGAAAAGTCCTGAAACTGAAAACCGTTTTGTGTTTCACAAACGTTTTCCCACTGATCATCCAACAACCCCTCAGATTTATCTGGTTACCCTTTGGAGGGGCCCGACCCCTATGTTGGGAAACACTGGACTAGACTAGTTTAACTACCTTTATAAGTAGTCGTACTAACTATACATAAAGTATCAAAACTAGCTAACTGTATATAGATAGTGTTTTAAGCTATCTTACTGTATATAGAAAGTACTAAAATTAACTAACTCTAGAAAGTAAAAAAAACTAGCTAACTGTATATAAAGTAGTAAAACTAGCAATTTTACCAGGAAGTCCCATTGAGATCAAAAATCTCTTTTACAAGAGAGACCTGGCCGAGGTAGCAGCCATACATAAATACAACATATTTAACATAATGTAACTAGCTAACTATATTAAGTAAAAACTAGCTAACTGTATATTTTTATTTTACCTTTATTTTATTTTACCAGTAAGTGCAAATTGATATATTATACATATTTAATATAAAGTAGTTAAAACTAGCTAACTGTATATTAAGTTAAAACTAGCTATCTATAAATTAGTTAAACTAGCTAACTGTATATTAAGTTAAAACTAGCTGTCTATAAATTAGTTAAACTAGCTAACTGTGTATTAAGTTAAAACTAGCTATCTATAAATTAAACTAGCTAACCGTATATTAAGTTAAAACTAGCTATCTATAAATTAAACTAGCTAACCGTATATTAAGTTAAAACTAGCTATCTATAAATTAAACTAGCTAACCGTATATTAAGTTAAAACTAGCTATCTATAAATTAGTTAAACTAGCTAACTGCATAAAGTCGTTAATGTATAACATTAATACATCAGTATAAATAATCTAATAATGTCATTAAATTATATATCAGTCACAGGAGACATTTTACTGCTGAATGAGTACTTTTACTGCTGATACATTTTGCTGCTAATACTTCTTAATTTAGTAAGAGTTTTAATCCATAACCTATAATTAAGTATTTATGCATTGTAGTATTTGTACTTTTACCTTTTTAAGTAAATTATATGAATACTTGTTCCACCTCTGCTATATTAAGTCATACATTATGGCCAACGTGTACTTTAGTTCTGACATGTTCTGAATATTCTCCCATTCCTGATTCTTCATTAGGACAGAACTGCAGCTGCACCAGCTTTCTGAGTCCAACTCCTTTGGTATCGTTCATCCAATCAAGGTATCGTAAGTGCAGCAGAAGAGTGGACAGCACAGACTAAACACTTGAAATGAGAAATGCATTTGGGGCCTAAATTTTTATTTTAATGTATGTGTGTGTTTTGACCACACTTTGTCTTTTCCATTTCCATATTTCTGTAAACTAGTATTCTGTAATGATGTAGTTTGGTACCTTCATTCTTCTATTCTTGAGACCCAAAGATTAAAACTTGAGAACACAATGACATAATCCCACCTCTGCTGATGAGAAAATACAGTGTTCCTACACAGCGACTTGCAGTGAATGCAACATTAAAAAAATATTTCTAGACGAGCCTCAACTGCAACGAATGAGAGGTTAAGAACATTTTTGTTTTTACGATGTTGCTCTGTTCATGTAAAGGGAAAGAGCTGGGGGAATAAAAATAGAAAAATGGTCTTTTGAAGAGGCAAAATCATGCAGTGAAGAGACCCATCTTGAAGAGACTCAGGCTGTGATGGGAGATGAGATGTGACTCAGCGGTTCTTCCACCTTATTAAGTGGCTGATTTCAGAGACAGACCATCTCTCCTCCCTCCCTGTCTGTTGGTAGGTTGAGGAAAAACAGCGGGCGTCCGTTGCCTTCACCAAGCTGCTGACTGCCATGGAAACACTCGGGTTCTCAGCCAGCGAGCAGAAGGCTATATGGCATGTTCTGGCTGGTATTTACCATCTGGGAGCTGCCGGAGCCTGTAAAGGTAACGCTGATTCATCATCATCATCATCACTCTAAACCCTCTAGACACCAGTGGTGGAAGAAGTATTCAGATCATTTACTTTAAAAGTACTGATACCACACCATAAAAACACTCCAAGTGAAAATCCTGCATTCAAAATCCTACTATTCATGTACATAAACTATTGGTTATAAAAGTACCATTTAAATGCAGTAAAATGTCTCCTGTGAATGATATCTGATTCTCTCTGACATTAATCTCATTACTGATGCATCAATGTTAGAGCAGCATTTGAGCAGGTGGAGGTGGTCGAGGTGGAGCTAGTTTACGTTACTACTTTATACACAGTTAACTGAACTACGTTATAAAGTTATATAGTTTTTTATAACCTTTATTTATTCAGAGGAGCTTCACTAAGAGGAAGCCTCTGTTTTGCAGGAAGGCCCTGATCACATTTACACTGTTACACCTGGAAGCTGCCCGGTACAACCGCAGCCTGGTCTGCTGGCCACTAACTAGCAATTTTACCAGGAAGTCCCATTGAGATCAAAAATCTCTTTTACAAAAGAGACCTGGCCGAGGTAGCAGCCATACAGTGAGGGAAAAAACTATTTGATCCCCTGCTGATTTTGTCCGTTTGCTCACTGACGAAGAAATGATCAGTCTATAATTTTAATGGCAGGTTTATTTGAACAGTGAGAGACAGAATAACAACAAAAAGTCTGTAAAAAAATGTTATAAATTGATTTGCATTTTAATGAGTGAAATAAGTATTTGACCTCTCTGCAAAACATGACTTAGTACTTGGTGGCAAAACCACTGTTGGCAATCACAGAGGTCAGATGTTTCTTGTAGTTGGCCACCAGGTTTGAACACATCTCAGGAGGGATATTGTCCCACTCCTCTTTGCAGATCTTCTGCAAATCATTCAGGTTTCGAGGCTCGGCCACTCCGGGACCTTAATGTGCTTCTTTTTGAGCCACTCCTTTGTTGCCTTGGCCGTGTTTTGGGTCATTGTCCTGCTGGATTACCCATCTACGACCCATTTTCAATGCCCTGGCTGAGGGAAGGAGGTTCTCCCCCAAGATTTGAGGGTACATGGCTCCGTCCATCGTCCCTTTGATGCGGTGAAGTTGTCCTGTCCCCTTAGCAGAAAAACACCCCCAAAGCATCATGTTTCCACCTCCATGTTTGACGGTGGAGATGGTGTTCTTGGGGTCACAGGCAGCGTTCCTCCTTCTCCAAACACGGCGAGTTGAGTTGATGCCAAAGAGCTCGATTTTGGTCTCATCTGACCGCAACACTTTCACCCAGTTCTCCTCTGAATCATTCAGATGTTCATCGGCAAACGTCAGATGGGCCTGTACATGTGCTTTCTTGAGCAGGCGGACCTTGGGGCGCTGCAGGATGTCAGTCCTTCACGGCGTAGTGTGTTACAGATTGTTTTCTTGGTGACTATGGTCCCAGCTGCCTTGAGATCATTGACAAGATCCTCCCGTGTAGTTCTGGACTGATTCCTCACTGTTCTCATGATGGTCTTGTTGCCCATTCCAGCCTTGCGTAGGTCGACAATCTTGTCCCTGCCATCCTTGGACAGCTCTTGGGTCTTGGCCATGGTGGAGAGTTTGGAATCTGATTGATTACTTCTGTGGACAGGTGTCTTTTATAGAGGTAACAAACATGATTAGGAGCACTCCCTTTAAGAGTGTGCTCCTAATCTCAGCTCGTTACCTGTATAAAAGACACCTGGCTGACTGAGAGGGGGTCAAATACTTATTTCACTCACTAAAATGCAGATCAATTTATAACATTTTTTACATACTTTTTTTGTTGTTATTCTGTCTCTCACTGTTCAAATAAACCTGCCATATAGACTGATCATTTCTTTGTCAGTGAGCCAACGTACAAAATCAGCAGGGGATCAAATAGTTTTTTCCCTCACTGTACATAAATACAACATACATACATGGGATTATGGGCCTTGCTCAAGGGCACCTCAGTGGTGGTAAATGAGGGAGGGCAAGCACTGCTTGGTTTACTTTCCACACCCAGATTTTATCCTGCTGGTTCGGGGATTGAACCAGAACCTCACGGTCACAAACTAGTGATGTACGATACCACTTAATTCCTATCTGATCCAATACCAAGTAATACCCAGGCTGGTATTACCGATACCAATACTTTTTACATATTTTATTTCTAGTTTAGTGACCTCCCCCCTCCCGTTTCTGTATTTATGAGAGAAATAAGGAGCAGGCTGAAGGAAAAAAAAAAGATCAGAATACTTCTTCCATCTCTGTCTCTAAATAAACTTTGTTATAATCATGTCACCTCTGTGTGTCAGTGGGCAGGAGGCAGTTTGTGAACTTCGACAGTGCTCAGGTGGCCAGCAGTGTACTCGGCTGTGAGGGAGAGGATCTGCACACTGCTGTCTTCAAACATCACCTCCGACAGCTGCTGCAGAAAGCCACCGGAGGTAGCAGAGAGAGAAATACTGAGTCAGATGAGGGTGAGACATTTTTGTATACACAGAGATACACTCACTCACTGCAATGGCATTGCTAGTGGATGGCAGTAATAATCAGTAATAATCAGGGTAGTCCCATGTTGAAGGGAGTCCTTCAGAGAGCAGAGGTGAACCTGGAGGCTGCTACTGAAGTCAAATAAACCAGACTGAGGAGTAACAAGATGTAAATCCACAGCCATGCTAGTGGCCCTGTGAGGCAGTAATGTGCCTTATACACCCCAAAACAAAGAGAGACAACTTTGCTATTCTTGGATGGTCACCATGCGTGGGGCTCAAATAGGGCTGTAGCCAGATCCTAGAAATACTGAGGTCATGAGTTAAAGTCCTTCAGACACGAGAAAGAAAATCTCTGATCTTTCTATTTTACAACGTGGAACTATTTTATTTTCCAACATAAAGGTCTGCTTGCTGTTTTTAAGCCATCTCAATGTTCCAGTAATAACATTTAGAATTACAAATAATATTTAAGAATTTATTCATTTAATTAACTGGCCTAAAGTGAGTTAATCATAAAAATACCCACCCAGTAAGATTTAATAAGATACTTTTAATGTCTCTGTGGGGAAATTTGTTTGCAGTGCCACAGACTATAAAATCCTACATAGTAAAAAAAAACGTGTGGTTTTAAAGAAACATTAAAAACATCTTATAAAACTACAGCACAGGAGAGGAGTCCGGGTCGCACCGTGTAGGTTTTTAGCAGTAGAATTAGTACTGAAACCAACTGAATGCTAACATGCTATCATGATAGCACTGTAGATAAAAAGCCAGAGGATCACAAAGTCATTAGGATTCATCTGCGTGTTGGACTGACAGATTGACTAATCCAACAACAACCCTACATCCCACGCCTGAATATTCACTAAAAGGAACACAGATCGAGAAAACCATCTTAAACCACGTCGTCATTCATTCCTGTGGTTCTGGTCTCTGCAGGTCCCAGGTTGACAGCTGCTCAGTGTGTTGAAGGAATGGCTGCTGGACTCTATGAGGAACTCTTCTCTGCCATAGTCTCACTTATCAACAGGTATGGATGCAGATCAGACTCTGTCCACACAAAAGACGTCCAGTCTGCAAAATACAAAACTGTCAACACCTAGAAAACAGTGAGACACATGGCTTTCAGAAATCTGAAATCAGAAATACTTTATTGTACCTCGAGGGGAAATTCTGTGTCACAGTTGCACACATAGCACAAAAGGCAAAAAGAATATAAAGAAAGAAAGTTGGCATATAAAGAAGTGTATAAATATCAGCGTAAAAAACAGCAATGGCTTTGTCTCTTTGTTCACTGATACTATTTCCATTCAGCTGAATATTTAAAATGATTGATCACAGAGCTAAAACGTGCTGTTTTCATATTTTTTTTACTGTAGAGACCATTTTCATGATAGAAGACCAAAATGTACCCGGGCTTATAGGGACAGACTCTCAGCCTGTAAAGGTCTGTAGTTACCTGAAAGTGTAGTTTAAAGGAATCGTTTGACATTAAAGAAAATAGAAATGAAATAATCTTGACACAACGTGTGAGCTTTAGAGGTCCTGAAAGGTGTATATTTTGTGTTTTTTACCAGGCTAGTTGTTCCCCCGTTTTCACTCTTAATGCTAAGCTAAGCTAACCAGCTGCTGGATTCAAACTCTCAGCGAAAAACTGTGTTTCCCAAAATGTCAGACTATTCCTTTATCTCGATCCTGCAGCTGAAAGTACTGAGCAAACATATTTACATGGTCGTACATGCCTGATGTTTTCGTGCCTTAAGGCTGTGTTTAGTGAAATGTTATTTTCTTGGTCTCATGCTACGTATATGGTAAGCAACCTCTATTTTAGGCCACACTTTCCCGTCCACACAGACTACTCACACTCTGGTGCGGATCTGAGGTGATTTTGATGGACTTCTTGAAAACATTCATTTGTTTTCCTTCCAGTATCCGACTGTACCGACTCACAGCAGCCACCTGTTGTTTTCTTTAGCCAGTCAGCAGAGGTGGAGGAATTATTCAGATCCTTCACTTAAATAAAAGTACTGCACTGAAAAGCCTTCCTAAGTAAAAGTATGTACGTATAATCAGGAAATATACTTGAAGTATTTAACGTAAAAGTACTCTGTGCAGTAAAATGTCCCCTCTGCCTGTTGTACTATTATATATTTTCTCATCAAATTATTATTCCTCATCATCAGGATGTTGCTGCTGTAGTCGTTAAATTGTTTAGTATCGGACTGCAGCTAAGGATTATTTTCATTCTGGATTAATCAGATGATTATTTTCTCTATTAATCGATTGATTGGTTTGTAAAGATTCTACCGTCACAGTTACCCAGAGCCCAAAGTGACACCTTCACAATGCTTGTTGTCTCCAACCAACAGTCCAAACCTCAACATTATTAACAAACATTACATTTATTCAAGTCATTCAGAGGGAAAGCAGTCAATATTCGCATGTGAGGAGCTGAAACCGTCAAATGTTTTTACATTAAAATGACAAAATAGTTGCCAATTATTTTCTGTCAATGGACTAATGGACTAATCATTCCAGCTGTAGTTGTTTAAATATTTTCTGTGCAGACATCTGAATTTGTAAAGTAACTAGTAACTGAAACTGTCAGATAAATGTAGGGTGGAGTTAAAAGTACATTATTTACCTCTGAGTTGCTGGTGGATTACTTGTACTTATATACAGTATGTGAGAAAGTAAGGTCAGTGCGTCCCCTCTATAGTCTATACTCACCTCAGATAAACATTCCTGTATAACCTCTGGCATGTGTGCTGTGTGTGTTTTGTGTGCAGGTCTCTGAGCGGTCAGCAGCTGACGTTGGCCTCCATGATGGTGGTGGACACGCCGGGCCTGAGGAACCCCAGACACTCTGCAGAGGAGCGAGCAGCCGGCTGGTCCGAGCTCTGTCACAACTACCTGCAGGAGAGGCTGCTGGAGCACTACCACACACACACCTTTACGCACACACTGGAGAGATACACACAGGTAACATGGAGTCGAACTGATTTATGGGTAAAATATTTGTTTTGTTTTGTCTTGTTGCTTCATGTTTGTCAGCTCTGCAGGTGTATTATTACCAGTGCATTATAGATTACTAGTTACTGTCATTTGAGAGTAATTAGTTATATTACAATATTGCTGTCTCTGAATTGTAATGCTTTACACTACTTTTCAGTAACTTTCACTGCTATTTAATGGATGCATCATTCAGATAGTAAGATGTTCCTGCGTAGGTAGGTTCTAGTGAAGTGTAGATCTCAGTTATATCCGCGGATCGGGTGGGTCTTTGTCATAAAAATGAACAGGCTGATTAATAGCCTGTTCATTTTTATTAAAATCTTCCAACACTCTGACAGGATCGGTCAGGATGCACCGACAGCAGCTTCTCTAAATATGAAAGGAAATCCTTAAAGAAAGCACATATAGAAATGCATGATGATAAAGATATGAAAAATAGGAGTGTATGACAAAAATAGCATATTGCCAATATTTTAGAGACCCCCCAAAAATTCACAGATCATGTTTTCAGGGGGGCTACCGTCTCATTAAGAGGAGCTGAGCTCCCCCGTACTTTGCACCCTGCCTACAATGTCAGTCATCGAGTCCCAGCAACAGGAAAGTTTCTCTTTTTAGTTTTTTTTCTGGTGCCAAAATTTTCGCAGTGTTGGTGAATTTATTAAAAAAAGCTAAACACCTTTGAGTTTAAAATGTGTTGTGGGTGTAATATTACTGAAATTATATTACTGCGTTACAGCAAAAAGCAATACATTACTGTAACTGCATTACTCTTGTAACGCATTACCCATAACACTGATTACAACAGGTACATGATAAATCAGATCACCATTCGTTTCAGTTTAAAGTTAAAACGTACACCAATTCAACGTGGCTAATATGAATCAATACAGGTTTCACACTGAGTGAAACACAAGTGAAAAAAAAGGTAATGGTTTGGTGTACTGTAATGTAGGCTGCTGCCCCAGAGACAGTTTGTACTTTTCTGACAGTAAAAGGACGACTCAGCCCCTGAGGAAACTTTTTTCACCCCAAGTTTCTGGTGCTTAGCACAAACCAGATAACATCGTACTTTTAAAACAAGGGTTTTTAAAGATATAATCATTAAAACAAGAGTTTTTAAAGATATAATCATTAAAACAAGAGTTTTAAACTCGTCTTTGTTCTGCTGCTGAACAGTGGAATAATTTTCCTCATCACACCAGACAGAATATTCAAAGTGAACTTGATAAGATGGTTTCACAGTAGTTTGTAGTCTGATTTTTAACAGCCTCACTAGCAGCACGACTCTCGGCCTGATGATCTGTCCAATTTGGTCCAGACTGAAATATCTCAACAACCATTGGATGGGTTGCTGTGAAATCTGATAAGACAGACATTCAGAAATAATAAACCCTTAGTGATATCCTGACTTTACCTCCCGCTCTCAAAGCAGTTTCATCATCTTCAGATTAATTCCCATCAGCCTCAGCTGTACTTTGTGTTTTATGCTAATTAACAAATGTTAGCATGTGCCACTGAGACAAGATTTTGTACCTATTGATCCACCATTAAACTAATTTCTTATAGTTTTAGGTACAAATGTATACCAATTTTAACCAACAACCAAAGTCAGTTAAGGTAGCACGCTGGTTAAGGTGCCTGGAATGATGCAAGGGACAGAAACAGGTGCTTTAATGTAGTAGTTTAAGCTACTGCCCCTGTGACAAACTGTAACACTCAAAAAGCTTTTTCTTTTCCTGATGGTGTAAGAATCACCGAGCCTCTCAGGAGACAAAACTAGATAGGATCAAACTGTTCACACTTTTGTTTTAACAGTTTGATGGGTTCTTTATTCTGCTGCTGTACAATAATCTTTCTTCAAGTCTGTAACTGATCACTTCAGAGAACAGACCGGCCTTGAAAAGTAATTTATATTTTAAAGAGAATCAGAAACACGTAGGTCTGTGTTGTCTATGTATGTTATTTTGTGTGGACCACAATGCACATAAATCATTAGGCCGTTTTGTGATTTAATTCTTGATGATTGTAATTACTGCAGTGCCGAATGATTGTTTATTTTTAATCATCAAATATTAAATTCCATCAATCAATCAATCAAACATGATGTGCCCCAGAAACTTGTGGAAAACATGTCTCCTTTGGGTCCCTACTAGGAATTGTTACTGTAATTTTCCTAATACTACAGTTACGGATGAAGAAACATTCCCCATTTTCAATTTATTTTCTGATATGAAGATAGTTTGAGTGTAAATAAAAAGGTGAACCTTCTCTGACGTTAATTTGTTAAATCTTTAGATTTTACCAAGGCAACAACTATGTGCATCAACACTGTTTAGATGAATGAATGGCATGGTGTGTTGAGTAATGCGTTGTGTGTTACAGGAGAAGATCCCCGTGGAGGTGGAGTGTCCCGAGAACAGCCCGGCTGAGGTGGTGTCTGCTATCGACCAGCCGCCTCCACAGGTACACAACTCATACTAACCACACCTACTGTAAAGCACACAGGACACAAACACCTAGGAATGAGGATTACGTTCAGCCACACCATCCTAACTCCGCCATTTAATACATGAAGGTGAGTGTATTCTTCATCAGGAGCATCACTCAGAGCTTCACGGAGCGCCCCTTTAATTATCCCAAAAAATAAAAGGTTTTACGTGTTTGTCCAAGCCTGCAAGAAAAGATGATGCCAGGCAAACATGTAGTTTCCACATGTACCACCTTACTTTTCAAAATAAAATCTCACTTAATGATTTAATACTGACTGTCTGCCAGATAAGAGAAGAGAGGAGTTTATAAAAATGTTGATATACTCACCTTATGCGTTATCTTCTATGGTTATCGTGCAGTCGGAGCAATAAGCTTAACCAGCAGCAGTGAGTGGTGAAGCAGGGGACTTTTGTTGCCCTGGGTATTTGCCTCTCGGGCTACATACAGTCTTCCCTAACCTAGGGGTGGGGATTTTTCCTGCGTAAAATATGTGTTGTGTGTGCATATTTACAAATCACAAAACAAGAGTTCACATTTACATATTTACAAATCACAGTTAGTATACATTTACATATTTACAAATCACAGTATACATTTACATATTTACAAATCACAGTATACATTTACATATTTACAAATCACAGTCAGTACACATTTACATATTTACAAATCACATTATACATTTATATATTTACAAATCACAGCCAGTACACATTTACATATTTACAAATCACAGTCAGTACACATTTACATATTCACAAATCACAGTATACATTTATATATTTACAAATCACAGCCAGTACACATTTACATATTTACAAATCACAGTCAGTACACATTTACATATTTACAAATCACATTATACATTTACATATTTACAAATCAGTCAGTACACATTTACATATTTACAAATCACATTATACATTTATATATTTACAAATCACAGCCAGTACACATTTACATATTTACAAATCACATTATACATTTACATATTTACAAATCACATTATACATTTATATATTTACAAATCACAGCCAGTACACATTTACATATTTACAAATCACATTATACATTTATATATTTACAAATCACAGCCAGTACACATTTCCATATTTACAAATCACAGTCAGTACACATTTACATATTTACAAATCACATTATACATTTATATATTTACAAGTCACAGCCAGTACACATTTACATATTTACAAATCACAGTCAGTACACATTTACATATTTACAAATCACAGTATACATTTACATATTTACAAATCACAGTCAGTACACATTTACATATTTACAAATCACATTATACATTTATATATTTACAAATCACAGCCAGTACACATTTACATATTTACAAATCACATTATACATTTACATATTTACAAATCACATTATACATTTATATATTTACAAATCACAGCCAGTACACATTTACATATTTACAAATCACATTATACATTTATATATTTACAAATCACAGCCAGTACACATTTCCATATTTACAAATCACAGTCAGTACACATTTACATATTTACAAATCACATTATACATTTATATATTTACAAGTCACAGCCAGTACACATTTACATATTTACAAATCACAGTCAGTACACATTTACATATTTACAAATCACATTATACATTTATATATTTACAAATCACAGCCAGTACACATTTACATATTTACAAATCACATTATACATTTATATATTTACAAATCACAGCCAGTACACATTTACATATTTACAAATCACATTATACATTTATATATTTACAAATCACAGCCAGTACACATTTCCATATTTACAAATCACAGTCAGTACACATTTACATATTTACAAATCACATTATACATTTATATATTTACAAATCACAGCCAGTACACATTTACATATTTACAAATCACATTATACATTATATATTTACAAATCACAGTCAGTACACATTTACATATTTACAAATCACATTATACATTTACATATTTACAAATCACAGCCAGTACACATTTACATATTTACAAATCACATTATACATTTACATATTTACAAATCACAGTCAGTACACATTTACATATTTACAAATCACAGTCAGTACACATTTACATATTTACAAAACAGACAAACCTCATATTTGAAAGTAAACATTTACAGATTCATGTACTCATTTACATATTTACAAATGACTGAACACATTTACAGATACATAGATGCATTTACAATCACAGTTCACATTTACATATTTACAAATCAGTTCACATTTAATTATTATTTAATTTTTTTTTTTACTTTTACTTTAATACTACTACTATTACTTATGTGTGTGTGAATGTGTGTTTAAGGTCCGAGCGGCAGATGGAGACCCCAGAGGTCTGTTATGGGTTCTGGATGAAGAGATGTTGACACCAGCCTCCAGTGAGAACAGCGTCCTGGAGAGAGTCTGCCAATATTACAGCAACGCTGGTAAAAACCCTGAGCTATACACACAAACACAACCTCAGAGTCCCTCCCAGCGTGTATGGAGAGTATGTGAGCCCTTTACAACGTACAGTAAGTTAATTCAGTGTTGGATTTTGTTGAATATGTATGTCCCTGCAGTGCGTCAGTGCGAGCAGCCGCTGCAGTGTGAGGTGAACCACCTGATGGGCTGTGACCCTGTCCGCTACGACCTCACTGGATGGTTTGGTCGGATCCAGAACAACCCGTCTACTCTGAACGCCATCTCTGTGCTCCAGAACTCCACAATGTAAGTGTGTTTAAAGACCTCGGATGGATGTAATGTCTGAGTGAACTTCTTATAGATGGCCTGGTGAATAGTAATACAGATATAGTAACACATTTACAAACCACAGTACACACTTCTACAAGTGTTTATTTATTATTATACAGCACAAGGCTGCATAACGAAACAAAATTTGTAGTTCCTTCATGCTACACACACAACATATAATTAAGTGTAGGCCTAGATTAAAATATATTAACATATAAAATAAAATAAAACAATACAGTTATTTATATACATAGGCCTACATACAGACACGCATAACTTACAACCCGAGCATTCCACAGTGCATTTTCTGAATTTGCATGGGGTGAATGTAAACAGTAGCAACCAGATGATAGTATGAAGGTTTCATCTTCACAATAAACATTATGACATTTGGGATACAGAGTCCATCTTGACTGCGTTTGTGCACCAAGCATCATCGATGTAAAACTCCTCATCTCATCAAGCCAGAGACTTGCACTGTCCAGTTGTTTGGGCCGGGTGAATCGTGGTCTGCTGTCTTACAAACCACAGCACAGATTTACAAACCACAGCACAGATTTGCAAACCATAGTACACATTTACACATCACAGTACACACAGATAAAATGTCATACACTGAACTGCACATTTTGGAGTGGCCTTTTATTGTGGCCAGCCTAAGGCCTTTTATTGTGGCCAGCCTAAGGCCTTTTATTGTGGCCAGCCTAAGGCACACCTGTGCAATCCCCATGCTAGTCTGATCAGCATCTTGATATGTCACACCTGTGAGGTGGATGGATTATCTCGGCAAAGGAGAAGTGCTCACTGACACAGATTATGACAGATTTGTGAACAATATTTGAGAGAAATAGGCCTTTTGTGTACGTAGAGAAAGTCTTAGATCTTTGAGTTCAGCTCATGATGAATGGGGGCAAAAACTAAAGTGTTGCAGTCATAATTTTGTTTAGAATAACTGTCCACACGCATTTACAAATAATATTGATAAGTAATGCCCCGTAGAAAAAATAATGTCAAGGGCATTTTGTTATTTATTTACAGTATTCTGTGCTTATTATAGTGAGTGCAGTTTTTGTAATCGGAGTACTGTGTCATCATTTTGTGTGTTGACTATTTTTGAAAAAACTGTTACGGCTTCTCTCTTGTCTTCCTCAGAGGGGTGGTGAAGGCCATGTTTACCCCCAGAATCTCTCTGCCCCCTCTGTGCCGAGGTCTTGGGGGTCTGGAGGGCGGCAGCCAGCGCTCTCTGCAGAGGAACGGCACCATCAGGAAAACATTTAGCGGAGGGATGGCAGCCATACGCAGACTCTCCCAATGTATTGCAGTAAAACTACAGGCAGTAAGTAAACCAGTATTTGTATTACCTCCTAAGAATATTTAACGTGATGCTAGATTCAGGCTCTTTGCTGCCGTCCCCACCTTGCAGGATGCTCTAGTGAACCTCATTCGTCGAGCCAGGCCGGTGTTCCTGCAGTGTGTGAGTGCAAAGACAGACGGTGGAAGTCTTGACGTCCCGGCTCTCAGAGTCCAGCTGCACTCCACGCAGATCCTGTCGGCCCTGCAGCTCCACCGCACAGGTCAGCACATTCACATTGACGCTTTAAACCCCCCTAACTAAGGATCAAAGAACATGCAGCCCACACAGATTTATCCACTCAGGTCCACGCTCCACTTTACTTTAAAAAACTGCCTATTTTTATCTGGACTGGCACAGCGCTGCTGAGTAAACAGGATCCACAGCACACAGCCTGAATTTAATAGATTATAGGATTAAAGTTATTAAATAGCAGTAGTGCTGATCTGGGAGCAGTTCTGGATTTAGAAACAAATTACAAACATCTCATCGTTAAATTGTCATCATTAGTTATACATTTATAAATAAATAAATTACCTTTATGAACTATGGATCTGCAGGTGTTGATTTATGAAGATATCGAGATCCCTTTTTGAGTCCTGGACTGAACGCAGGAGTTTAATGTTCAGAAGTTATACAAAATGTTGTCAGCAGGCTGTTCTCACAGAAGCCCTACAAAATTCTACTTTAATACTTAACACAGGAAGAGACGCAAGTTTTCATTGCAGAAACTAATCGAGGGCTGTGATTAGGAACACAAAAAGACCATTAGCAACAGCGTTCTAATGAGTATATGACAATTAAGGCATTAAATAGTGGTGCAACAGCAGCATTAGTAGAGAAGAGTCATTATAATCAGTGTTCGCTAACATTAGCCACCATTAGCTACTCGTCATACCAGACGAAGTGTGTAGCAGCAAATCCCCCGAATTGACTGAACTGCAATTCTTATGAATTTAACTTTTCATTTGTAGGAGAAAGATTGTGTTATTGCATCTTTCAAAAGTCACATAATCTTTCTTCAATGTTCCTCAGTCCTCAATGTGATGATGGACACTTGTATTCACTGCACAGTGTATTATTGTGTGTGAACTAGTTTTGAATACTCAGATTTGAGACCTTATCTTGCAAATATTTGGTCCCGTTTCTCAGGAAAAATAGGTTTCTGTGTACAAAGGCTTTCTCATGCGGATAACTCCTTCTTTAAGCCACATTAACGCTTCCATGCAACAATCTTAGATATACTCAGACTTTAAATTTCCATTGTTACAGTGATATGCTTGAACAACTTTTCAGCTGCAGCCAGTTGTTGCAGGAAATGCCAGAGAGTTCGAGTTGGAGAGAGGAGTTTGTTGTGTTAGAGTAATGTTAGGAGAAGGTGACCAGATTTCTGAAATGAAAACCGGGGACATTTTTGGTTTGGTGGTCAGTATGTCATTAAAACATATATTATGTATTATATATGAAATTAAAAAGTTAATCTGTCAAATCTTCTGAATGAAATCAAGTCATTTTGAGGCAGAAACTACCTTTCAGACAATAAGTAGAGGCTTAAAGGTATTTTAAGAGGTAAAAAGTACTAGGTGAGTTATAAGCTGTCAAATAACCCTCATAATTATAATCAAGTAATTTCATGGCAGAAATAACCTTTCAATCAAAAAGTAGAGGCTGCAATCACTTTCTGGCAAGTGGAATACTGCATTAAATAGGTTGTATTGGCCATTTAAAGGTATTTCAACAGGTAAAACAGACTGGATTGGTTGGTACACAGCAAGTTAAATAATGTAGGGTCATAAGGATAATTGCAAAAGAGATCATGTCTTTATTTTACATATAACTCAGCAGTAAGTCATGTTAGGTTTCATTCTGTTTTCCAAATGTAAACAAAGATATTAGACGTAGGCCTACCAAACACATAATCCATTGGCAACAACAGGCTTCAGTTATTGCCTATAATCAGGTAAATGTCCGGCCTGGTTACGCTTTAAACTGCAAACACTGATTTGGCCACAATTGTGATTATTCAGTTAAAAGAAATGTTAAAGTATCACAAAGACAAATCTTTGCTGTTACCACGGACATAAAGTGATGTTTACGTCCACATTATGTCTGTTAGATCCAGATAAAAGCAGCTGTAGCTGTAAAGAGACTGGACGACACAGCTTTAACATGCTGAGCGCGCTCCTGCGGACGGTAATCGCTTTTCAGTGGACGATCAGTTTTCGTCACGACAGGGGTCTGCTCTGCTCTGCTGTCCAGTCTTTCTGGCCATTTAAAATCTGATTTCAGGTCTGTTAACACCTTATACAGTCTATGTAGTATTATTAACACACATTTAAAAATGGGGACATTTCCGGGGACAGCTCCAGAAGGTGACAGGCCATCAAAACCGGGGTCTGTCCCCGGAAAACGGGGACGTCTGGTCACCCTATGTTAGGAAAGAAAGTGTTGCTAGCAGCTCCTCTACGTACACAATAAACTCTTCTCTCGTTTCCACAGGCGTCTGCCTGCAACAACTGGCCTTTCGCAAGATTTCAGTGTGAGAATTGTCCATGAGCAAGACTTCTGTGTGGTCCAATACCTCAAAGATAGTGGACTGTAAAGACAATTTGTTGTTATATAAACATTTTTACCACAAATATCGAATAAATTATGATTTATTTCCTGCTGTATTGTTTCTAAAATCGAACTTACTTTGAGGGGAAATCCTTCCAGGCTAGTGTGAAATAGTTTTAACAAGCCAAAGATGTATGTGTTTCATTCCCTATAAAGTTGCTCCATTAATATCTGCCTGCTTGTTTTTGCTGTCTGTATGTAAATTTTCTCCTAATTTGTTTAAACATTAGATCTTCTGCAGTTTCTGCAGGGATCAGTAACGTTTCATCTCACTGAACGTGTTTTAATCCACACACTTTATCCATAAATTAATTCTTTTTCGAGCCATTCGCCACGTGAACTCGCATTTAGGAAATAAATAACATAATGTCTTTGTCTCTCTCAGGTTTTCCAGAGCACATGACTTTCAGTGACTTCAGGTGTCACTTCCAGGCGTTGTCTCCTCCAATTATGAAACGTTACGCTTCAATGTTTGTCAGCCACGATGAAAGAAAGGTCAGATGTCACATCGCTCTGTCTTACAAACACCGTGTCTCTGATCCTCAGCTCTAAATTAATGTGTTGTTTTCCTCTCTGTGTGTCTCAGGCGGTGGAGGAGTTACTGGCTGAGTTGGATCTGGATAAAAGGAGCATCGTGCTGGGCGCCAGCAGGGTGAGAACATATGAACTGCTCCTAATCAAACAGCCAAACATGAATCCAGCTGATGCGCCTCATGGATCTTCTTCCTGCTGTGTCTCAGGTGTTCATGAAGCGAGGTGTGCTGCGCTACCTGGAGCAGCAGAGGGACCAGCAGGTGACCGGCTGGTTGGTCTATCTACAGGCCTCCTGCATGGGACATCTGGCCCGTCAGAAATATCGCAAGCTCAAGGTCAGTGTCTCTCTGAACGCTTGTCTGCTGTAACGGTCGAGCTCTAATCTGTATGCAGATGACAAACTGATGCTCCTTCAAGAAGCTAAAGTGCTGATGCAGCTGTAGAAAAGTGCTGCGCAGGTGAGGAGGAAATGCTAACGTTCATCCCGCCTGAAGGAAATCTGTTGTTACATTTACATTTTTACATTTTATTCATTTAGCTGATGCTTTTATCCAAAGCGACTTACAATTGCTGTACATGTCAGAGATTGCACGCCTCTGGAGCAACGAGGGGTTAAGTGTCTTGCTCAGGGACACATTGGCGTCTCACAGTGGATTTGAACCCGGGTCTCTCACACCAAAGGCATGTGTCTTATCCACTGTGCCATAATAAAAACTTAATCTGCTGATTGTATTCTCAAGTAATTGTCTAGTCTTAGAGATGATGTCTTCACATTCCTTGTTTTGTCCGGCTGAAAAACCCAAATATTTTCTTTTTGCCGTTATAAATCAGATAAAAAACACTTTTTCTAAGATTGCATAGCATTTTGGTGGATTAAAAAATACATTACAAAGACAATATTAAATGATTTTTAGTAATATTCCATACAAATTACCCCACAAAATTATTGTGGTGCCATAAATGTACCAATCCCTGTGAAAGTTAGTCCAAGTGTTTTGCATTTGCATGTTTACTACAATGGGTTTTTTCTATGCAATCGTTTTGGGGATGAAATCTAGTTAATTTTGGTTCGGTGTGTTAAAGTGAGTTAAATCCACAGAAAAACAATTATAATTAAAAATGTGGGCAAAATGGTATTTTAGAATTCAGTACCCAAGAACATATAAGATGGTCACTGCACAAATACTTCACAGGACGACTTCATTTGTAGTTTTAATTCACCTCTGTGTGTGTGTGTGTGTGTGTGTGTGTGTGTGTGTGTGTGTGTGTGTGTGTGTGTGTGTGTGTGTGTGTGTGTGTGTGTGTGTGTGTGTGTGTGTGTGTGTGTGTGTGTGTGTCTCCAGGTGCAGCAGATGGCGGTCAGGTGTCTGCAGAGGAACCTGCGCGCTCTGAGGGTCGTGTCCAAGTGGAGCTGGTGGAAACTTTTCTGCAGAGTGCGTCCTCAACTCGACGTCAACATGGACAACGAACGGCTCAGAGCTAAAGAGGTACACACACACACACACACACACAGTTATATACAGCTGTTAAAAGAATAGTTTTACATTTAGGGGAAAATTGGCTTTGTTGGCAAGAGTTAGATGAGATGATTGATACCTCTAAAGACTGGAGACAGAGGGAAACAGCTAGCCTGGCTCTGCTACAGTAACTTCAATCATTCAATCTTTATTTTTATAGACACAACTTGACATTAATAAATAAATAAATGCAAATTGATAAAAATAAATGTCGACCTTCCCAGAAATCTTAGAAATCAAACACTATACAATCCAGTAATGTGTGTTGTCTAAGGTAAAGTCTATCATTGTGCAGAACATATTCTGAACAGTGATGTTTATTGAACTGAAAACAAGACGTTTTGAACAGTGCAGCGTTTTAGACACAGGGTGCTGTAGGTGAAACTAACAGACAGTCACGATAATGGGAGTCCAGTCAGCTCCAACCTCTGTGAGCAACAGGTGGACTGTCAGCGCAGTTGAACGTTAGACAATAATGGTGAGAAACCGTCATGAAACAAATCTTTTCAGATGTGATTTAAATTTCAGTCGCTGTGAGAAGCTCTTTTCTCTTTCTGTCAGGATGAGATATCTGCTCTGAGACGACGCCTGGAGAAATCAGAGAAGGAGAGGAATGAGCTGAGGCAGACGGTAGACAGCCTGGAGACCAAGGTGTGTGCTGCATCACACGCACACACACACGCACACACACACACACACACACACACAGCTCATACTGTTGTCCATGTGTGTTTAGGTTACAGCTGTAACATCCGAGCTGAGCGATGAGCGTTTTCGTGGCGACGCGGTGGGTCAGGCTCTGGATGTGGAGAGGGCAGAGAGACTTCGACTCAGCAGGGAGAACAAAGACCTGCAGGTAGAACGACTTTGTTATTGAAAAAGTAATCTATTACTCACGCCTCACTGGATGAGTGCCGCCGAATGACTTATAAAGTGCTGAGCGCAGTGATTTGTTTCATTCTTTGCTTAATACTCCTCTATTATGGACCTGAAATATTGCCTCCTCTTTATTGTCAAACATCTCTTTTCTTTTCACCATCAGGCTCGTCTAGATCAGTGTAAAGTCACCATGGAAACACTGGAGAAGCAGCTGGAGGAGGAGAAACAGAAAGCCCAGATGGCTGAGAGTCAGCGAGGAGCAGGGACAGGTAACGACGACGTCGTCTCTCAAATGGTGACGGCCCAACAAGCCAAATCATTCCATACACTTTTATATTTATATATAAAATTATAGGGTGGCTCAGCTATAGTGAAAAAGTAGAAACAAGGATTTGGTAAGAAAAATACACCTCCTACAAGAACATTTTCATATTTTTAACACAAATATTTTCTGTTTTGTCACCAAACTTTCTTAACTGCACAAACCTGTCGTAAATTGCTCTTTGCAAGGGAGACCTGCATAATGACCAGCAGGTAGTCATAATGTTTTGGCTGATCAGAATATATAAAAACTACCCCCAGCCCACGCTGGCCAACAACACACCATAAATTCATACAAGCCAAGAACATCTTTCATGGTCCAATATTCAGTTCAACAAAACTCATTAATTACTGACAGAAACATATTTACTATATATACTATATTTGGCTATACTATATCATATTTCATTGGCTCACTTTCATTTACAAAACCATCCTTGGTTTGACCCCACCATACCTTAAAACACCTACTACTACACTCCTCCTCTGTATATAATACGAGGATATCTAATATTATACAACTAAAAGTTCCAAAAAACAAATCTTCGTTTGGTATTTTTCCTTAAAAATAACAGTACAAGCTGGCTTTAAAACGATTTTAAAGTAATTTATTCTGTCTGTTTTAAACCTTTCTCTTGTTCTCTTTTTAATCTTTTACCTCTGTATGATATTGCTTCATTTGTTCCTTAACACTAAATGTTGTCTGTCTAAACCTCAAGAGGCTAATCCCCTCTTGCCACGCCATCCTTGTTAACAAGAAGTATATAATGCTGGAAAAATCTGAACCTGAATCTGATTTCTAATTAATGATCCATCTTGCCTTAATTTCCGTGCTTCTGAGACAAAGTTGGCAAACTTAAACACATCAAAATTAAACAGTCATTCCAGTTTTGCTCATCTACACACCAGAGTATTTTCAGGATTTAGCTGAGCAATTTCCCGGAACATTAATTCTCCTAAATCAACACAATACATACAGTAAAATAACAATACGGCAGCTTCTGGGATTCCTCTTTTTCAAAACCGCTTTCCTTTCAAAATTATAGAGTAAAGAAAGAGAAAGAAAAAGTGCTGCTTCTTCACAAACTGATGGAGGAAGTGAAGGTTTTCTTATCATTTCGCAGTGAAACACCCAGAATGGTCTTAACTGTAATCAATGTTTTCCGCCAACCAACAGCCCTCAGCATCATTATACTACAACTCCACCTTCAGGAGACACAAAGTAAAGTTTAGTTTAAATGGTTTCCAGCTAAAAGAGAGAGACACCAGATGTGGTCAGGTTTTAAGTGACCCTGTCCATCACCCCTGACAAAGTCACACCCATCTCCTCCCCCACACACACACACAGACAGCGAGCTGGCCATGCAGCTGGAGTGCTGCCAGACGGAGGTTGAATTTGTCCGCAGACGACTCAAGCAGACAGAAGAAAAACTGGAGACGGAGAGACAGACCCGACAGCAGCTCGATACCAAGGTGAGACAGGACGTGCACGGAAACACTGATGGGAGATTAAATGTCTGAAGCTAATAACAATGAGTGTGTGTGTGTGTGTAGGTGGCGGCCCTGCAGGCCCAGCTGGAGCAGTCCAGACGGAGCGTGGCAGAACTGAAACGTCACTCTCGCCGCGTGACCTCTGACCTTCAGGATGCCCGAGTCCTCACTGACAGCCTGCAGAGCCGCATGCACGAGCTGGACCGCAAACAGAGACGGTTTGTGTCTTCCTGTTCTTAATGTGACGATAACTTGTTGCTACATCATCTCATTCTTTATATCAGTTGTCTGATAAAGTACAGATAATGTAAAAACTGTCAAACTAGGCAGTGCTGATCAAATATGAATCAAGTGTCGCCTGTTTACCGCCTCAAAAGTCTTTTTAGATAAACATTTTAGTGTGCTGTTTTAGCTCTAGCCATTTTTTTGCTCGCCTACTTGAAAATAGGACCAAGCATCTCTCCCAACTTGTGTCGCTCAGCACCGCGTCACTTGTTTTGTTGCTCTGATTGGTTGTAGGTCTATCTAACTGCGTCAAGAGGCATTTTGGAAATCAATAATAAACTGAGAGGTTCCATTAGTCCTGCGATGCCAGGCTGTCCTCCTGACTAGATTTATCTGACAGCTGGAGTTACTAGTCACTTTGCAGATTCAGGTTTTATAAACAAAACATATGATCAGAGGATTTCAAAGTGGGAGACGAGGCTCCAAACTGTTTCAGGGGAGGCTCAGTGAATGGAAGTGAAAAGTTATTATATTATTACAAAAGGAGATCACATGGAATTGACTAAATGCGTGTGATTTGGTTAAAGAGATAGTTCAGAGAAGGGAAATTTACTGTTTTTCCCTCAGAAACTAATAAATGCCTCAGGATAGACTTTTTAAAAAGGTAGTCTGAAGTTATCTCAAACACTAATATTGGGCTATCTTGGCTTAATTTAGTGTCTATAGGACCAAATAGCATAATAATGATCCCATAGGCATCCAGGAAATTAGTTAAACAAAGCAAGTAAACTTTGAAACCCCCTGGTTTATATTATTATTGTTTCCCATTAGTATGTAAAGTAGTTCATAATAGCTTCACCTTGACCAGCTGCAACATTAAAGCTACGATGAGCAGAATAATCGCAGCTCTGCAGTATTTTACCTGAAGCGTCCGCCTGCTATGTGTTTTTTGCGTGTGTTCAGGTTCGACAGTGAGTTGACTCAGGCTCTGGAGGAAGCTGACAATGAGAGAGAGCAAAAGGACAAAGCCTTTCAGGAGAACACAGCTCTGGGGGCTGAGATATACACCCTGCGCCGCAGCCTACAGGTGTGTCTGCACTTACCTGTACTTTTCTGTGTATATGTATATAGTTACAAAAAATTAAAAAAAATGTAGAAAACTCTGCTGCGAAAACACCCTTACCGAGAAGAAGCTAGCAGGTAGTAGCTCAGTCTGGAAGGACTTTTCTAGGAAACCGGAGGGTCGCTGGTTACAGTCCAGCTCGTGGCAGAGGTACGGCACTGTGGAGTTGCCAGTTCACCAGTGCACTGTTGAATGTGGCCTTGAGCGAGCACGATGTGGCAGCCCCCTCGCTTGGACATTTCTCCATGTGGTGTTTGTGTGTTTGAAACCTACGCGTGAATAATATAAAACAGCAGAGTGAAACACCGAACTTCCCATTTTGGGATTGCAATGTTTTAGTGTTAATGACATGTTGACGCAATGAGTCGTTGAGTGTGTTTGAATCGGCACGCCGCTCTTAGTGTCTCCGTCTCTTTGGGAAGATAGAATAATCAACTAATTGTTCTTTAAATTTGACAAATAGGAGTTTCTCTGTCACAATGGGTGACTTCTCCTCATCATCTGCTCCTCTTTATTGCGGGGTTCCCCAGGGTTCAATTCTTGGCCCCATCCTATTCTCTCTATATATGTTGCCGTTAGGGGCTATAATAGACAAGCACAACCTGTCATTTCATTGTTATGCAGATGACTTGCAAGTTTATCTGCCTATGAAACCTAATGACAGTGCTGCACTAAACTTAATGGCATTAATGATATTAAGTTGTGGCTCTCTTGGAACTTTCTTCATCTGAATGAAGATAAAACTGAATGCGTTATCTTCAGTACTAAATGCATGTCAAACAATCCAGCTTTAAGTCTGGGAGCTTTGACTTCATGTGCCAAGTAAACTGTCAAAAATTTGGGTGGGAAATTTGACAAGCAGATTAGCAATGTTGTCAGAATGAGCTTCTTCCAACTTCGTCTCCTGGCTAAAGTTAAGCCTTTTCTTAATAGGCACGATCCAGAAAAGGCTATCCATGCCTTTATTAGTTCAAGGCTAGATTATTGCAACGCTCTTTATGTTGGTCTGAGTCAAACATCCATCTCGCATCTTCAACTTGTGCAAAATGCTGCTGCTCGCTTTTTAACAAACACATCTAGAAGTGCACACGTCACTCCCGTTCTGTTTACACTAAACTGGCTTCCGGTGCGTATTAGAATTGATTTTCAAGATCTTATTGTTTGTTTTCAAAGCCTTGAATGGCCTAGCCCCTGAGTATTTGTCCGAAACTTTATCTTTGAGTGGGCAAAATTGGCTGTTGCTTTCTTCAGATCTACGGACTTCAGAAGTCCCGAGGTCGAGGTACGAACAGCGGGGCTGCCCCAAAGATCTGGAACAAGCTCCCCCCTTGACAATCGCACTATAACGGATGTTGTTTATTTTATTCTCAAAACTTAAAACTTATTTATTTAGAACAGCTTTTAATACGCAGTAGTGGTGCAACAACTTTATCTGGCTTAATGTTTTCTATGCTTCATGTTTTTTTCTTGTCTTTTATTGAATGCTGTGTTGTTTATTCTTGGTTGATGTAAAGCACTTTGGACACCTGTTGGCTGCTGTAAAGTGTTTTATAAATAAATCTTGATTGATTGATTTAAATGCCAGATCTGGTTTGTATAAAATGATTTTTGTAGCATGACACGAATTGAGGTTTAGTATAAGATTAGACTGTTCCCTCTTTTCTCTCACAAAAACTCTGTTTACTGTCTCTGTTTTCGTGTCGGTGTTGCTTTGTGTGCGCTTCAGTTTCATCTCCCATGAGGCCAAACCCGCCCTGCCTATTTAACCCGGCCCGGCTCTCGGCACGCTGCGGTAACCGGAGCACAAACAGACTTTCTGAGCTGGAAGATGAACAAAATGTTTCTATATCAGCAGTGCATGTGTGTGTGGGTGTGTGCAGGAGAGCCAGTCAGAGGTGAGCCGTCTGCAGAAGCAGAAGGAGGAGTTATGCGCTCAGATCCGTGACCTCAGCCTGCCTGTTGATCTCGCCGCCGATTCACTACCTGACCTCAAGAAACAGCTTCGCCTCCTGGAGAGTCAGGCCAGCGAGAGAGGGCAGGAAATCACCACGCTCACCGCCAAGATACAGCAGCAGCAACAGGTGCTTTACAACACTGGCCGACACTTTAGAATACATTCCCTGCTGTCTTTCTAACCTCACTTCTCCTCTCTGAGACAGATCCACATGCGTTTTGAGATGGAGATGGAGAGGATGAAGCAGATGCATCAGAAAGAGTTGGAGGATAAAGAAGAGGAGTTGGAGGATGTACACAAGTCCTCTCAGAGGCGGGTAGGTCAACACAAGGAGATTAGTTCATAGCTGCAAGTCAACAAGTCAAGGGGTCTCAATTCAAAGTCTGCATGCAGTCTGGAACTCTTACTCTTACTCTTTGCAGCTGCAGACTTCCCAGCATGGAGTTTCACATCCACCGGCGGTGGGACAAGTACAATTACTTAAATACTATAATTAAGAGCAACATACTTGTAGTTCACCATTTTATAATAATTCAGAATCAGGTTTATTGTCAGGTACATTTTTTACATACAAGGAATTTGCCTCGATATATAGGTGCTTAAAAGTACACATAAACAGAATGAGGAAAAAGTAAAAGAGTTCTAAAATGTACAAGTATACAAAATAATACAACAAAATTTAAAAAATATGCAGGATGTTTGACAAGGAATGTGCAAAAATTCACAATGTGAGCAATTTCATTTCATATTATGCTACTTTTTACAACATTTCAGAGGGAAATGTTCTACTATTGTAGATTGAAATACGCAGCACTGTATGCATATATCAGTTAAGATAAGCTCCACCTCCTTCAGCTACAACAGTAATCTATGAGTACTAATATTCCTATAAAACACTGACAGAAGCCATTCTGCTGCATAATGAGTACTTTTACTTTTGATACTTAAATTTCGCTGTTAATAATTCTGTACTTTCTTTGAATGAATAGAAGTTCTTTTGGAAGATAAACTTTAAGGCCAAATGTATATATTTACTTATTAAAAAATAATCAGGAGGAAAACCACTAGTGTGAGCTGTGGGCAGGGCCGGCCAGCGGCATAGACAACGTAGACGGTTGCCTAGTGCGCAAAATGTCAGGGGGCGCCGCAAGAGAAGATTTTTGACTTGGCGCGAATCAACTCGGCCCAGCTGCTGCGACACTGGCGTACGCTGTGATAGTAATTAAGTGCACCTCGCGCTGTGAGTCCAGACGGTTGTAACGTGTCGTTGTGTAGAGTTTTGCAATATAAACGTCTAAAACCTGAGCTGCACTTTACTGGAGCTGCTGAAGTTAACGTGTGCGTGGATTTGTGGTGGTTTTGGTTTCACATGCAACATGCAGTCTGTGCACTGTGTCGGTCAAACGGTCTAAAGGGGATAATTCCAGCAGAGAAATAAGTGATGCACAGCAGAGTATATGACTCTATGAAATCTAATTATATAATGACGTCAGTCTCATTATATTAGGACTTTTTTTCTCTGGACCTGTCAGAGAATCTAAGATATGTGGGAGAGATTCTGAATGTGCAGAAAGCTTTGAACATGAACAGAAAACCTGCTGAAACACAGCAGCTATTAAAGTCCAGGAATATAAAAGCTAAATTAAAATTAAGGAAAGGTGCCACATGCACATCCCCAAACAAAAGACACAAAAGAGGAGGGAAGACTGAATCATGCCTGCAGTGTGCTGCTGACTCAGCAGGGATTCTATTAAATTAGAAAAGTTTATCTACAGGAGGAACATTGACTTTTTAAAAGCAATAGCTGCAGAATGCTTGAAAGCCTTACTGCATTATATTCTATTCATTTTTTTTGTATATTTTGATTTGTCACCTGCTGCCTTTGTGTTTCCCTTTACATAAATTAAGACTTTCCTACCATAAATTGGTGCAGAATGCAGGAAATGAAGTCTTCAATGCTTAAAATTTTCTCGGGGAGGACCCCCTGGCCCTCCTCCTCATTTCTGTCCCCTCCACTGTTGGCTGTTCATCTATACATGCTAAAATTGAGAGTTTGGCTAAAGAAAGTTTAAAACAATTCCTGTGGACACTAGAGTGATGACCCCTGAGGTGGACTTTTTAGGGTTGGGCATGTGGGGGGTGGGTAATTTAAAATCTCGCCTAGGGCTCCAACATTGTCAGGGCCGGCCCTGGCTGTGGGATCTGGGTGAAGTGCCATTTTCTTTTGTACTGTACAAATTATGACGATTTGCGAGAGTTAATGTTCCATGAACTCGACAAAACCCTGAAATGTTATATTATGTGCAGATGAGCGAAGCTTTCGTGTGTTTAAGTTTGTCTCAAAAGCCTGAAATAAAAGGGCAAGCTGGATCATTTAATTAGTATTTTTTCCAGTACTACATAGTAAAGGTTTCCGTCAGTGATTGTTTGGTTGTACTCGGTGATGGGCCGTGAAAGATGCTGTAGCTGCTTCTCTACTTCTGGACTTTCTCTGTTGTTTGGAAGTGTATATTGCAGCATTATTGGTCCTGGCTGGTGTGAATTTATGGTGTCTTGTAAGCCCATACAGGCTGGGCGTAGTAACACACGACACAATATAAAAATTTTATTCATTCATTCTAATATTTGCTGCTGCCAGATTGGTTTGGCTGAAGGTAAAAGTTTGGGATTTTTGTTTAAAGATGACAAAAGCATATGGAATTATTATTATTATTATTTTTGTGTTGTTGTCTGATGATGAAAGCAGGTGAAAGCTCTGAAAAAGACAGAGTTGAGATTCTTTTGTTGTTTTTTTGAGTTGTTTTGAAGCATAATCTGCACACTGAGCGTACCGTGTCCTTCGTTCCCGGGAGTTTGGGCTCTTGGGTTTAGTTCTGCAATGAGAAAAATTGCCTAAAAGATTTTGGTCATGAGAGTAAAACCTCTTTCTGCTGATAACAAGAGAACAGACTTTAGAAAATTCAGCCTCTTTCCAACAGTGATCTTTAAATCCTCAGCTGTGTAAGAGAGCAGGGTTGTTTTTGTACAGATGGCTCTTTTTGAACGTCCTTCTGTGGCTGAAAGAAGAAAACCAATTATTTTCACTGAATGATCCACTTAGTTTTTTTTTTCTCCCCCCCCATTTCATAATGTTATGCAACCACACTGCAGTTACGTCACATCTCTGCAGCTACTTCAACACACAGGCACAACATCCCTGCAGGTTTTTCTCAGCAAACACAGGCAGATTTAGGGATTTAGCTTCTGTGACGCCCACTTTGTAATTTCAGTCGGCTCACAGGGGGCAGATTACTATGTGATTGCAGAACACTTACAGTGTTGATATCTGGAGTCTTGGCCTCATCTCTCCCTGCAGGAAACTCCAAACTCTGAGGGGTCACTTATAACTTACAGCAGCTCAGACTCCGAGCCTACAGGTGGATGCTATATGGAGTCACGAGCCTAGCTCTAGCTACAGCAGCAGCACTAGAAGTGATTGCAGCAGGTAACACAGCAAAGTGATTATTTATTCTTTCACCTCCTCAGATTTGACAAAGCTGAACCTTCTCACTGCATTTACAAACGTAAGAACATTTATGATGAAAGAAACAAAGACAAACACCAAAATATTACATCATAACCGTATTATTTCTGGTAAATCTTCATTTTTAAAGTACATGTAAGTTACTCCGATTTCGTGTGGGTCTGTCAGATAATATAGAGGACGCAGCTCAGTGCCGCTGCAGTAAAAAAAGACAGCAAGCGTCCTTTTCAATCGATTCCCACTGAAATGTAATAACAGTAACAATTTTTAAATAAAAACCCACAAAACAATGATTTAAAAAAACAAGGGCCAGCGTCGACCAGGTCTGTGAGATATAAACGAAAGAAAGATTCATTTATATATTGTATGTTTTATGTAGACACCAGGAAGATTAGCTGCGAATACCGAACAACTAGTGGTAGAGCGAGCTTGGCGGTGTCTCTCATGGGGGTTCGGTATCAAACCTCCTTACTGCAGCTGTTGCATTTTGCTGCGTCGTTCTTTTTTTAGTGAAGCTAAGCCAAACTCTGGAGCGTTTGCTGCGGTCCGCCACGGTCCAGGACTGGAAACAGAAGGACTCTCTTCTTCGTGCTTTGTTGACGTAACAAACGAGGTGACATTAGGGCGGCGAAGCAGCTCCTGGCAGATAAGACACTTTTATGGAGTGTAAAATGCTCACTACAGTTCAGTCAGGAGCTGAAATATACAGGAAGTTAGGAACCGATGAGCAGAATCCAAACACACGGATCTTGAACTTGCAACTAAACCCTATTCTTGTGTCGTAGCAAATTGCAGAATATAGTTGAGGTGTTTGGTAAATTTATTAATGTCAAGCTAAAGCAGAGAGCTGACAGAGTATATAACCTGCAGGTTGTGAGGAAAGTCACGTTGGAGTCTCCTCTTAATCTCTTCGATGAAGAATTTAAGTGTCTTCCCTGCGGCAGAAGGTTTAAACCACCAAACTCTTTCTGATTTATTCAGCAGGAGATAGTTGGGAGGCCTCTGTTATTTTGTGCTGTTTATTTTTTTATGATCTCCCACAGATGATTATGTTTTTATGCTGCATCCTGCTGCAGGGAAGATTTCCTGTCAGGGACAATAAAAGCTCGTTCAGACCGGTCGTCCATCATTCTCTCTCTTTCTGTGTGTAGCTGAGGCAGTTGGAGATGCAGTTGGAGCAGGAGTATGAGGAGAAACAGATGGTGATTCATGAGAAGCACGACTTGGAAGGACTCATAGCAACTCTGTGTGACCAGGTACACAACACGCACACACTGAGCTGCAAAAACAAGTTGTGGAAGCACACAATCTCCACATCATAATGTGTGTGTGAAGTTCATTCTTACAGTGACTGAAAGAGATCGCTGCCAACTTTCTCACATCGTAGATCCTTATTATTGTGGGTTAATGTTCTCTAGCTGATGGATGTGTCATTCCTACATTACAGGCACCACAAAACAAGCATATGCAGTGAGGAGGCAGCAGCTAATTTAGCACTCTGTCTCTGTCACTATAAGGATGTAATTGGACTCCTGATAAGTGGCCAGCATCTGGTCTGTGGCCAAGCTGGCGTACAGCTCAAGTCCAACTCTTTATAAGGGTTTAAGAATGTCATTTTATTCTCCAGATAAGGTACCGAACTCATTTAATCTCTATTAGGGAAGAGCTAATCTAAGGTGTGTGGTCTTGCAGGTGGGGCACAGAGACTTTGATGTGGAGAAGAAGCTGAGGAGAGACCTGAAGAGGACTCATGCCCTGCTGGCCGACGCCCAGCTGCTTCTTTCCACCGTCGACAACCCGGGGCAGAACTTACCCAACGGCAGCAGAGAGCAGATAGAGCGCCTGCACTGCCAGGTACACTCGCCTACACATTCACCCGACGCCGCGCTGTCACTTCCTGCTCAGTTAGAGATGCATTAATGCTCTCTCTCTCTCGCTTTCTTTCTTTGTGTGTTGCCAATTAGCTTGAGGAAAGCGAAGTGAGGCGGCTGGAGGCGGAGAGTGTGCAGACGACTCTCTCCCAGGAGCTGGAGAACTCTCAGATTGAGCTGGAAAATATCTGCAAACAGAAGAGCATGGTGAGCGTGGGTTTATCAGACAGGTGACACATTAAAGGAGAAACCTGAGTGTCTGAAGTCCCATAAGAATATATTTTTTAGCTTGTGGGAACAAGTTATTATCCTGTGCACACAGGATAGTTATCTTGTGCGCACGAGGAAGTTTCTCCATTCGCAAAAGATAATAACTTGTGAGCATAAGATAAAAAAAAGTATCTTATCTGGGACTTCAGGGGCTCCGTAGAGTGGAGAAACGTGACAAATGTAGACGCTTCCATACAGAAAACGAGGCGTCATTGTAGCTGGGAGAGCGCGACGCGTTGAACACGGTGCGTTCCTTCAGATTCACGCCGTGTTGAAGTAAATGCTTCATCGTGTTGGAGCTGCTTCCTGTTTCCTTACTGCAGGTGTTGCATTTTACTGTGTCGTTCTCTTTTAGAATAAGAATCAGAAAAAAGCTTTATTGCTGAGTAGTATTTTACACGTACGAGGAATTAGCTGTAGTGATGAAGTGCTACAGGCAGACAAACCCACACAGTTGATTTAAATTAGGGATGCAAAATAACAAAATAAAGCACTTTCGGTGTCAAAAGACCGAATAAATTTGACTGGACAATTAGGTTGACATGTCGGCAGTGTGGAAGCATTTTAAACTGTCTGAGAAAGATGCAAAAATGTCCGTTTGTAGACGCTGTTCTGCTGAATTGTCTCCTAGCACATCCACTCCATCTGTGGCTGACTTCTTTTCTTCTTACTGAGTAACGCGTTACTGTAATAGTATTACTTTTCCCAGTAACTAGTTGACTTACTAGTGTAACCAATTTACTTTTCCAAAACAGTAATATTATTACAGTTACTAATCGTGTAACTGATTAGTAACTGTCCAATAGCTGATTTTGTCCACATCACTTTTTGAAAGTATTTGTTAAAAACGTTCTGAATAACAGCTTGCACCAAGAAATGTTAACCAGCAAATGAAAATGCTTTGAGAGGAAAAGAAAACATGCGATAGTAATGCTGCGTTACTGCATCCTTGACGTGAATGCTGCAGGTGTTGCATTTTGCTTTGTCGATCTCTTTTTTCAGAATAAGAATCAGAAAAAGCTTTATTGCCGAGTAGTATTTTACACGACATACGCGATATGAACCGAACCGTGGATCAAAAATTGAGGTCTGGACCGAACCGTGGATTTGGCGAATCGTTACACCCCTAGTAACAAGTAATATATCACAATGTCTGAGTAACTTGCCCAACACTGCTTGTAAATCAAAATGTGAATGTAATAAGTTTCACCCCGGTGCACATGGTATTAATTTATAATAATAAAACAGATTCCTTTGGAGTATTTCTGCATACGACCCACCTTACCTCTTTGTCTTTGTGTCCAGGTGGATGAGCAGTTAGCCCTGCTGCAGCACGAGAAGGTGGACCTGCTGAAGAGACTCGAGGAGGACCAGGAAGACCTCAATGAACTTATGAAGAAGCACAAAGCGCTCATTGCTCAGGTACTGCTTCAGTCTCCCTTCTCAGTTTGTCTTTCTCTATTAACCGCGCCTTGATCCCGAAAACAAATCCCTCTGCTTCAGTCCTCCAGTGACATCTCTCAGATCAGAGAGCTTCAGGCTGAACTAGAGGAGGTGAAGAAACAGAGACACTCTCTCCAGGAAGAGGTAACCTTTGTTAGACAAATGGAGCGCTAAGAGCTTTATGAACCAAATGTGCTGTTTAAAGTGGATAAAATGAGACTGTGATGGATTTCTGGATCATTTAACCTCCTTGTTAGGCGTCTCAATTTAACTGCAAGCTTCAGGTCACATTCAGTCTCGGTGCTTTAGCTTTGGCTCTCTAAATGTTATGGCTCATCTCTCTCTCCTCCTGCTTACTCACAATGCAGCTGCAGCAGTGTGTGTCCAGGGTGCAGTTCCTGGAGTCGTCCACTGTGGGGCGTAGCATCGTCAGTAAACAGGAGGCGCGTGTATGTGACCTGGAGAATAAACTGGAGTTTCAGAGAGGGCAAGTCAAGAGGTTTGAGGTGAGATGACGTAAGGTAAAACTATTATGTGTAGTGTTTTGTTCCCCGCACGGCTTCATCTAAAGGTTCTGCGATGCGTAGGTGCTGGTGTTGCGTTTAAGGGACAGCGTGGTTCGTCTCGGGGAGGAGCTGGAGCAGAGCGCCCAGGCGGAGGCTCGGGAGAGAGAGAACGCCCGCTACTACCAGCAGCGTGTGCAGGACATGAGGCTGGAGATGGAGGAGCTGATCCAAAGAGAGCAGGACAGCAGCCGCAGACGCATGGAGCTGGTAACAAAACACTGCGGCATATTGGTCCATGAATAACAGCAGATGTCCCCGTCTAGTAACCACATCCCTTCATTAATGTTGTCACACACACGCTCTTGTACACAAATCCACACAAACATTGTTTTATAAAGTTTATAAAAACAAGCTTTAGAAAATGAGCACTTAATCAGTCAGTTTATGTGGAAAAGTTCTAATTTAGATCTCCAGATCTGCAGATACGTGACTTTTATTGCAGCGGGGACGCTTCCATTGTCCTAATTCTGATCTCTACAGCTCTCGTCCCCACATAGTAATTTCATTTGTGTTGTTCACTCATTGCAATGGCTCGTGCTTGGTGGTGCTGATGGAGGGAAGAAAGGAAAGTTACAGGGCTCATCGTGGGAAAACAAACCAGCAGGGATGAGCAGTTTACACTGTGGACGCTGGGGACATGTCCCCATCACTTTCTGAAAGTATTTGTTAAAAACGTTCTGAATAACAGTTTGCACCAAGAAATGAAAATGCTTTGAGAGGAAAAGAAAACATGCAATGCAATAGAGTTTTCCCTCGTATAAAAAAACAACATTTCCAACGTAAATTGGAGCAGAAAATATCTCCAGAATGCAGGAAATGACCAGTTTAATGCTCAAAATCTTCTGGAGGAGGAGCCGCACAAATATTTCAGCGTCAAATATTTTATCTAAATAGCCCTAAAACCTTTCTTGTCTTGTTCTTGTGCATCGTCACGTCTCATGACCCAAATATATCATCACGCCACTAATATGAGCCGTTGTCCCCACCACTTTTCAACACAAAGTGACGCCCTGGGTCTTATAGCCAACGAGGCTTCGTATCTAACTACTCTTAACTTGGCGTACATCAGTCTGCTTCACCGAAAACAACAAAACAGAACTCGACGCACACATGAAAGATGAAGACTCCAGGAAGCAGAACACACCCCATTTTTCTAATTTGTATGTAAATATAACTCGTTGAAGTCCGGTGAAGAACCTTAAATGGCACAAAAGTAAGCAGCAAAAGTTAAAAACAACGTTTACGTCACCAAAACAGACATTTTCAGATATAAAATTAAGAATTAAACGAAGAAGCTTTGTTCATTATTTCACTGTAGGATCAACCGATGACCAGCTGCTCTGTCTTCCTTCATTAATATTGTGCAAATAAATCTTCTGAGGTTGTATTAACAGGCCGTCCCAAGGTGTTTCCTGTAGAAATGTGTTTCATTTCCTGCCACTGCTGCAGAATAACCAAAGAAGGAAAAGACAAAGTTTAGGTCAGCAAAACTGAGAAATAATGTAAATTTCAGAGACTTGTATAATAAGATTTATTTGTACAATATTAATATTATATATATATAATATTAATGAAGGAAAACAGCAGCTGGTCATCGGTTGATCCTACAGTGAAATAATGAACAAAGCTTCTTCGTTTAATTCTTAATTTTATATCTGAAAATGTCTGTTTTGGTGACGTAAACGTTTGCTTTTGTACCATTTAAGGTTTTGTCACTGGACTTGAACTACTTATATTTACATACAAAAAATAACAAAGCAGTAGCAGTTATAGTTGTACAAGTACTAGTAGTTGTGTTTAAAAGAAAAGTTTGACAGTTGGGGAAATACGCTCATTCGCTTTCTTGCTGAGAGTCACTGGAAACCGGGGGAAACAGCTAGCCTGTCCTCTGTCCAAAGGAAATAAAATCGACCTTCCGGCCCCACTAAAGCTCAGCAGTGAAGATCGTCTTTGTTAAATCTGCAGGAAATCCAGCCTCACGGACATCCAACCAATAACACGCTGGTTAACTCTGCTCATCGCAGCTTGATGTCTTTGTGTGTTTTTCTTTATTTTCTTTGTATCTCTCAGGTCCTTATTGCATTCTCAACCTCTTTGCCCAGAAATGGAGATAATTGTAGAGACTGAATTGCTCCTCGCTTTTTATTTGGCATCCCTGCCGCCTGCAGACGGATCACCGCCGCTCTACCTGGGCAACACTGAGGCTGCTAAATATAAACCCCAACAGGCTTTTCTCATATCCAAACTGTGAGACAACGTTTTAAGCTGGCATGAAGCACTTCCTCCAGGCTACGACTGAAAGTACACCCCACTTCCAAAAACAGTCTCATGAAGAACAACAACAACAGCTGGTGAATTATCTGCAACATTAGAAAACTTTCATTACTGCACACGGTTTGACAGCAGGGAGGGAGGGTTTCTACACATTAACACACGAAAACATCCCGTTTTTCTAGCAAATAGGAGAAAATAAACCACCCCAGAAGGTTTATTTGTTTGGGTCATCAATTAAGGTGCATCTGTGAATATGGTGGAAAAAGTAATTGTGAGCTTCAGAACCAGACTGAGCGATTGAAGGCTCAGAAAAACTTTACAGGTGTTTTTGAGATAATTTTTTGGTAATGATTAGAGCTCTTCTCTTTTAGATTAGATTTCCACGAGCCGTAAACTGTAATCAACAAGATTAAAAAAAATTAAAAGGAAAGAAATAATTCACTTTGTGTAATGAATGTAGATTATATGAAAGTTTCACTTTTTGAATTGAATTATGGACTGAACCACAATATTACAATTTTTGAGTTGCACCTGTAAATTATTAGCGTTGTTTATATATAAATATTATGATATAATTAAATGCAATGTATTGTACTGTAGATGAAGCCTATTACAGCAGCTTGCACCATTTTATATTTCTAAATGATTGTGTCCCTGAGCCACGTTGACATCGCTGAGGTCTGCTGACCACGGCCTTCTTGGTGATTTTTCCTAGCTTTTTATACTGTTCTACAAATTCAATTCCTTTAATGAAGGTCTGAGATGGTGGTTTGTACGTTTTCCTTCATCATGTCTTTGGTCTTTGTGGCATTTAATTGGAGGAAGGCCACCGACCCGTGCTCAGATTCAGTCTTATTAATGTCATGAGCTGCAGCCATTGGTGTAGAGGATGTGCAGGACACGTGCCTGACCACAGACCAGTAGCTGGATAGGAATAAATGCAGATGAAAAATCCTAAAATAAAAGTGTTGCATGTGTGCCGGACTGGCTGTCCTGAGAACGAGTCTCGAAACCAAAGGTGACCGAGCTTTTTGTTACCTTTCCAGCTTTCCGTGGGTGAGAGCAGACTGGTGTCTGTGATCTCTCCCAGCTCGTCAACAGGAACTTTATTCCTCCTCTGCAGCTGTGACACAATACTTTCTTTCAAACACCTTCGCCTGAGTTTTAACTGAACACTTTCAAGCTTTTTTGGCTCTCTTACCTCATAATGTGAATAATTAATTCATAAAATCATATGACATTTGTTCTGTGAAACTGCGCCTCTGTACAGCTTTTTCATTTTTAACTTAAGAGCGCATTATGACAGAAGACTTGACTCTGACTCGCCCGGTCTGGACTTGGCACTTGACTTGAGTGCTTGGACTTGTGACTTACGTCCTAACTCGAGGCAACATGTTTATAAAAACATTTCGCAGTAGCGGCAGAAAGAAAAAGATCTGATATAAGCCTGAAGTTTATCTCTTTGCTCGACTCTGTGAGCAGCCAACTCAGTCTTTGAGCTTCCTCCATCTTTAATAAACGTCTGTTTTTAATGTTGGTATCCAAAGGACTGCGTGGTTCCCTGCAAAAAGAACAATAGAAATGAAAATGAAACTTATTTTCTGCATCAGTTAGTGGCACATTGAACAAATCAGCTTTTCTTCTGCCCAGTTTTTTTTTTTATATATATCTATATATGTGTAAATATATATGTGTATAATGGGAGGTGGTGGGGCAGTGGGTAAGTCACATGCCTTGGTGTGGGAGATCTGGGTTCGATCCCTACTGTCACACAATGGGAGCAGGACACTTAACCCCTAGTTGCCCTTTTTTTTTACTTATTGCTTGACTTGAATGTAGCCTGTCACAAAGAAAAGGTTAAAAATCTCCTTTCTCTGAAATCATCAGCACTAAAGCTCAGACAGGCTTCTGTAGTAGCTCCTTAAATACACAAATACAATGAAGACACATAATAAATTGCCTTGATAAACACATTTTGTGCTCGCTGAAGCTGCCAGTTCCACTCAAGATTTACAGACTCAGTCGTGTTCGTGTTCACAGCAGATTTCTTTTGTGACCCCTGAGCTGAAGGAAAGAGAAGCAGCTTCAATGATTATTCAGTTATTAGCACAAAGCAACACACACACACAAAGCAACACACAAAGCAACACACACACACAATCATGCCCTTTAACAACCGACTATGCACACACTCCTCCTCCTTAACGTCATCTCTCGCTCATCCTGCTTTCTCTCTCTGACTGTGATTAATCCTCATTGTCTCTTCAAGGTTATGGACACACACACACACACACACACACACACACACACACACACACATTCATACATGGTTATGTGTCTCTATGACAACTGCTGCACCCACACCCGTCTCCTCACAGCCAACAAAGCCAATAACTTTGAAAGCATCGAAGCTTTTGTGTGTGTGTGTGTGTGTGTGTGTGTGTGTGTGTGTGTGTGTGTGTGTGTGTGACAGGATGCTGGAGACTCAAAAAAAAAAAAAAACCCCAGATGAAATGAATGAATAAATCACTCTGTTTCCCCCGATGTCAGAGTGCGTATGTACAAATTTTCTTTCTAAATAACCCGGGCGGAGCGTTGCAAGCAGCAGGTCGTAGGACAGTGCGAGAGAGAGAGGACATGCCGTTGGACACTCAGGGTTTGACTGATGAGGTAATATGGAGGTAATTGCTGTGGCGGGTTGAGCCTCGGGGTCTTTACAGGCAGCCAGGCCTTTTGAAGGTGAGCGTGTTGTTTTGCCTTCGTGTCAACAAACTTTCCTTTAATCTCACCATGTTTGTGTGCAGGAAATGCAGTTGGAGGAGCTCAGCGCCGTCAGACAGGCGCTGCAGGCCGACCTGGAGACGTCCATCCGCCGCATCGTCGATCTGCAGGCCGCCCTGGAGGAGGTGGAGTCGAGCGACGAGAGTGACTCTGAAAGGTAATAGATTTCAGCGAGGCGCCTCTCCTTTATCACATCGCATCTATATGTGTAGACTCAACCTCTTCACCGCTCTGCCCTTCACTCCAGCGTTCAAACTGCTGTGGAGTCCTTGACTCGAAAGAAAGACCTGTAAGAACCTCGTGAATGTTAATGTGTCATCGTTAAACATGTCAACGCTGAATTCAGTATGAAAGAGAAGCTGCTGAAGGATCATTCTCGTCTCAGAGCAACCGGTGTCCATGACGCTGAACTCACCGAGAGGAACTGATGAGATCTGAGAATCAAAGTCAGACGATCAGACAGGTTAGAAACGCTGACGTCACACCAGGTGAAGCACTTTTTCATCGACACCGTTCCACACGTGTTCGTTTGAATAAAATAAATTGGATTTTATTTAACTGGATTTTGTTTTCATGCAGTTGATTGCTTTCCTAGGGCTCGATGTTTGGACCATCAATCTGTAACTTTCAACAAACTTCTTTCAGGTTTTCTCTGCGTGGTTGCTGGTAGTTTTCTTCAAGGCCAACGCGCACCTCCCCAAAAACGTAACCACACTTGGAAGAACTGGGATTGGTCGGCTCGGTAGCGTCGCATTTCCACTTACGCATTTCCACTTACGCATTTCCGGCCTGTCCTTCTTCTTCTGCATCAGCTGGTTTAAGGGTCGCACATCCCGCCTCCTCTCCGGCGCCTTCTCTCGTTTCTGCGTTTTAGTAATTTCACTGAAAGTAACTCCCGTGAAACATCAATCAGATCCAGCTCCGACGTGACTTGCTCAGTTTAAGCCGCCTTTGTTTGTAGCAGCGCACACCAACGAAGAAGAAACTCAACACAACGGAAGACCACCGCCAGCTAGGATTTTGGCGGTGCAACCGCAGAGCGACACAGACACAAACGCACAAGTCTAAATGCTCACGTGTACAGCAACGGCGAAGAGTTGATGCAGAAGTTTGAATTATATCTGCCATTTCTATTACTCAAATTAATTAATCTTACCGCACGCTCCCTGGCAACTGCAGAAGTTTCAGCTACAGGAAATCCTGCCTGGGAACCTCTCTATTTGTAAAAACTGTGAGTGCATCCGACATGCTGGGAACAATCCCTCCCTGTCTTAATCACAGTTGTGCTCTGCAACTTGTGATGGACGTTTACAGCAGACAGCTTTACAGTAATCTTACTGTCCAGTTTAGTTTTATCCTCCAAAGAAGTTTTGTTTCCAACCTGTCTGATCTTCTGGCTGCTCATGTCCCCCCCCCCCGTCTCTGAACTCATCTCAGGGTCTGCTGGTAGAACCCGCTGCGTAGGTTTATGTAACACGAGGCCAGAGGTTGCTGTGGCAACAGTATCCACAGGTCCCTGATCAGTTTAATAAGGTCAGTACTGGCGCAGATACTGATTAGGACATCTACTTTTTAGTGATGTCATTGCGTTCACCAAATTTAGCAACTAACTTTGGGGGGTACAGTTTTGCTACAGCTGAAGTATTACTGCAGGACTGGAGGCCAAAACTACAGAAATACGACCAACGTAACGAGAATTATCCTTCAAGGTGACTCCCTGCATGGCTACTGACTGTCCATGGGCCACTGCTGCACAAACACTTTACTTCTTCTAAGACAATGGTTCTCAAAGTGGGGTCCGGGGACCCCGGAGGTCCCGAGCAGAAAGGGGAATTGTTTACTTTCACTATAATTTCATCTATAAGTATTGGAGAGTTTCATACACTTTCTGTAATAAAACATTTACCAATCTAAACCAATCAAACGTAGCAATCAATCCTGCACCCCTCCAGGACTCTGAGGTGACCCCTCCCACCCCGGACACAAACCAGACACTCCCCTCGTTACATATTCTTTATGATTTTTTTATATTGTTTATATCTTGTCATTTTTTTAACTTTATATTTATACATCTTGTTTATTGTTATGCACCAAGACAATTAAAGAAAATTCCTTCCGTAGCAACAAAACTGTTTCTGATTCTAAAAGCTAGAATCTTATCATCATACCATTTTTATGGGTACTTGACGTGAAAAAGTTTGAGAACCACTGTTGGAAAGTATTACAGTTTTTACTGCAGCTTCATAAGTTATATCTTTCCTACTTTTGCTATAAGCCCCTGAATGCATCCATAAGGACCATAACAAAGTGCTGTGTTGCCTTCAGTGGTGTCTGTTGTGACGCTCCTACATGTAACTCAGCATATTTTGGGACAAACTTTAAAGCTTTTAACCTGCATTTTTGTGGTAGAAAATTATGAAAGTGGGGATGAAAAGGAGGACAGACTTTTAACGCTTCAACTGAGATACAGACCAGAGCATTTTTTGACAGACGCTTTGGAATACGGCTGCAGCAAATCTGTCTGCTGCAGTCGTAATGTGCTTGCATGCAAAGATCGGAGGGGAGACGTCTCCACTCTGGCTGTAACGGGGTGATAAGGTGCGATCTTGTCCTGCAGTGACTCGGTGTCCAGCGTTGGCTCCGTCGGGACGGAGGACGTTGGAGAGGGGATTCGTCGCTGGTTAGGAGTGCCCAGGGGAGGGTCCCGGGGTGGTGGCTCTCTCTATGGGGGCAGCCAAGGAGGGCGCCAGTCTGTCGCTGACACCATGAGCACCTACAGCTTCCGGTAAGCCCGATAACTGATGTTCAGTCACAGATGTGTGTAGAGCTGCAAACATTAGGCGACTTATCGATTCGTCGATCGAAGGAATCTGCAGCTAGTTTTCTGATTGGCTGTTTTTCTTGTAAATCTCATAGATTAAGAGATTAATTTCTTTAACTGAGAAAGTAATCAGCAGATTAATGGAGAGAATGATGGATGAAGTGTCTCCTTTATCCCTCTAAAGCTCTTGCGTGGATCCTGATGACGAGGGCTCTGAGGCCGGAGGGGCTGGAACCAGAGGTCTCGGTCGAGCCCCTTCCTCCTCGGCTCTGTCTGAGCTGCTGGACGGACTTCGTAAGCGCAGGGCTGGCGGCGATGCAGAAGACGGAGCAGGCAGCGCCGTCTCCCTGCCGATTTATCAAACAACCGCAGCCTCGACTCTCAGACGGAGAGCCTCGGCCCTCTCTCTCGGCCCTGAAGACCTCCAGCAGGCCCGGCCCGGACCCGGCATCCTCAAACCGCCCTCCCCGCTCCTGCCTCGCGCCGCCAGCGCTCGCTCAATCGGTGACGCTCAGACATCTGCTGCCGCCTCCACAGCTGGAGCTAAACCCTCTCGCTTCAACTCAGGTGATTCCCTCTCTTCACTTCCCTCGCTGCCACGCCTCTCCTCCTTGGCGTCCTCCCTCGCCGCTCGCCATCAACCCCCCTCCCTGTCCATCCCAGAGGAGGACCCAGAGGATTCCCGCCGCTCCTTGACGACTCCCATCCAGCGCTCCCCTCAGGCACTAAGGCGGAGCATGCTGGGAAGTCTCGTTACAGAGGATGGAGGTGAAGGCTCTCTGGGTTCAGAACCTATTGTCTTCCAAAACCGCCGCCTGATTGGGGATAACGGCCGTGACGACGCGGCCTCCGACATCCTGCCCGCCATCCGAAGAGCTCAGTCCACCAGCAGCCTGGCCAGCTCAGTCAGAGGAGGCAGGAGGGCGCTGAGCGTCCACTTCGGAGAGCTGCCTCCTTCGAGCCGCAGCAGGAAAAGCTCTGAAACGGAGTCCTCCAGCTCCGGCGGGTCAGGAGGAAGCTCCCAGGGCGGGGGGCCCAGACGCCGGTATGAAAGGCCGCAGGGAGAAAGACTGGAGGCGGAGGGCAGTGAGGGGGGAGACGTGGCTTCAGTCATGAAGAGATATCTGAAAAAGGAGAGTGACTGAACCAGACGAGGTGAGTTCCCAGGTGTGTAGACACTGAGCTCCACATTTTCTTTACAACACAGTGGCTTCACTTTACTTCCTCTTGCATCACATCGTTTCCAGATCATTTCCCAAAAGCACCTTAAGTCTAAGATGATAGTAAAATCCATCTTTCAAACCTTGAGGTGTTTCCAAAAAAGCTTTGTAACTTCTGATGTTACGTCTCAAACTTGGCAGTGAGCTGAAAGCTGCAGACTGAACTTAAAATTTAGTTTTTTCACTGAATTATCTTAAAGTTACAAATTTCTTTGTGTCATTTACAACATTTTTTACTTTGCAATGTATTAGCCACGCTAGCAAAGTTGTGTAGGTCTGTCCGTCACATCTCAGCAGCTGTTGAGTTGGTGGATTGTGATGAAATGTGGTTCAGACCTTCATGTTCCTGGTTTAACTGTAAGAACTTTGCTGATCCTCTGACTTTTCATCTAGCGCCACCACGAGGTCAATATTTTTACTCTGTGTTTACTGCTAATTAGCTAATGCTTAGGCTCCACCCACACTGCTACGTTTTCCTTTTAAAACGCAGCTCTTTTGCTACGTTTGCGCCCCCCGTCCAGACTAAAACTCCAAATCTGAAGACCTAAAACGGAGCAGTTTGAAAATGCTGCTGACCCTGTTTAGGTTTTTAATCTCCGGGGTAGCGTTTTAGTGCGGACAGGAGAAAACGGAGGATTTTAAAAACGATGACGCAGACGCTCACATTTGGCTTCCTGATTGGCTCGTATTGGCTCTCACGATGCCACTGAAAGAGTTTATGTTTTGTTTTTTTATGAAAATATTTTGTACTGTGCTTACAGTGCATGTCGCCGTATTTTCTTTGCAACAACTTACAGTCTTGTGGTATGTATCCAGTTTGGTTCTTCACCATTGCTGTTCGTCTTGGAGTAGTTTCCAGTGCGTTTTCAGTCATGTTAATATAGACGGAGATCCGTTCTGATACTCAGCTGAAACGCTGGAGTGGACGGAGATGGTTGTGTAGTAGTGTGGATCTAGCCTCAAAAATAAAGGCTCTTAATGTCTGGGATCGGTCGGTATCAGGAAACCTGACTCTGAATGTGAGTTTACACTGAAGCCACAGAGAAAAACTACTACTGCTAATTTTGTTTTACGGTTCTGAGGGTTGTAAAACTGTGTAAACATGAGTTTCTCCCTGCTGAGAGCATGATTCATAAATATATCTCTCGGGCCTCAGGTGGTGGTGTTTCTGGAGTGATTCTGAGGTGTTTGATAAACGCAGGCTCAGACCTGTTTGCGGCTCATCACACTCCTCTGTTTCACACCTTCCTCTCTGTTCTGACCAGCTTGTCTTTTCTCTTCCATCAGCCTCTTTCGGTTTCCACGTCCAGCTGCGAGCCTCACGGCTGCAGTCGAGGCCGAATGAAATCCTTCAGAAGTCAGCGAGTGTTTTTGACTCTACATGTTGATATAAAATGAATAAATAAAAATCTAATTAACTTATTGCTTTGTGACGTTATTCCTCGCAGTGCATTTCTCATTTCTCACATTTCTTGTTATTTTGCATTGGCAGATTTGTAAACTACCAAAAGATTTGCTGCCTTTCCCTTTAAATGAATATAATATTCTAATATGTTAATAATGTTGAGGTTTGGGCACAACAAGCATCGTGTAACTGTGACTCTCACTATTTTCAGTTACACAGTCTCACTCCCAGCTCGTCACATATGGACCCTTTTTAACGCCCTGGGTACCCGTCGGCGTTCAGTTAGCAACAATAAATGTGTAACCTCCGGTTAAACTTTCAAAATAAAAGTACTTTTAAGGTTGTGAAACGTTAGGTTTAGGAAAAAGCTCATGATTTGGATTAAAGAACTACGTTACGTACGTCAGTTAATTTAAGTTGCAGAACTTGCTTCATACGTAACTTAAATACAAACATTCGGTGTTTACTTTCTGTTTCACACGGGAAGCGAACACCACTCTCCTGTCTGTGCCTCCCTCAACCCAACCACCTCCTTACTCTGACTTTTCTGTTAAATATCCTACTTCTACCTTTAGCGTTCAAAAGTGACGCTACAGGGCTTCCCCCAGTGCGTTACAAACTGACGCCAAAGGCTCTTGATGTGACGACTTGGTAGTTAGAACGTGTTGACAAGCCAAACAATCAATAATCAGCAGATTAATCCATAATGAAAACAATCCATAGGCAGTCCGATATGATGTCTCATAAAATGCTGCTTACAAAGTAATGCATCAGTTAGAATTATATATATATATATATATAAACTGTACAACACTGACCTTCTACTGCATAATGAATACTTTCACTTTTGATACACTTCTGCTCAAGTTTTCTACTTTTACTTCAGTAAAGGTTTCAAATGCTTCTTCCACTGCTGGTATTTTAAGATTATATATTTAAATATTTGTATTTTCACACCTTTCTATCCAACAGAGTCAATCAAACATGGTGTTATTTGTCAGCAACACCCTGCGCTACAGTGAATTCACACCTGGGAGCTGCCCAGTGTGACGCTGGACACATGCAGCAGCTGAAGGAGCTCAGGGTAAAGGACCTCGATCGTTTCTTCACACTTATTTTCCAGCCATTTCGGGGGGAAAAGCTCCCGAACATTATCCAGTCAATACAATTAAAATGTTCCGAAACACTGGCTGCATAAACGGACACTCTGACCTTTTTTTCTGACAGGACGGTTTGCACTCTTAAAGATAAAATAAGCCTTTTGTGTGTGGAGGTTAAGGCCAAACTGTCAGAGCGTCGCTGGATATGTTTCCTATGTTCTTCATCCCCATCTGTTGCTCTGCATGAGCCGAGCCAGAGTTCAGCTAGAGGTAACACTTGGTGCGAGTTAAAACCATCTGCAGCCGGCAGAACAAGTCTGAGTGCAGCAGACGCACGTCTGAAGGAGTTTACAGCCAAAACCAAACACCACTGAAACATTTCTTCTACTTTGCACTGAACTCTACAGATACATTTTTATAGTTCTGCTGTGCTGCCTCTCAGAAATCAATTAAGTTTCCCTTGTATTATGGACTAAACAAGATTTTCATAAGGAGGACTGAAATAAAAGCTTTAACTAGATGTCACTGATCACATTAACATTTTAAAATCATTTTACACCTATTCTCATCACTGAAAATCTATTTTAGGGTAGAAAGATTTAAAGTAAAAGGATCAGTCTGATGTTTGCTCACCCTGTGATGGAGAGAGGCCCATGGAATAAGTGATGAGCACATTCAAGATTAAAACTTTACCCTTAAACTGCTGGATGACACAATTTTGTTAAAATGGCAGGGACAATTTGAGCCAAAAGACCTGGGGGAAGTAGAGCCAGATATTTTTACTGTAATTTTACATTGCATTCTTATGCATCAGCGAAATGATGTGACATTTTGCATTTTAGACCTGAAACCATCATGTCATGCTTCTATGACTGGAAAACAGACAGGCTTCAACTCCTCTTGTGGGTTTGGACAGAGCAGTGGGAGAGGTACAGAATGGGAAGTCTTTTCATCAGGAGGCAGGGACAAGACGACAAACAGGAGGACTTGAAGCGATACATTGATGTGAAACAACCAGGAGCAGGGTTCGAGTTATGTGGGAGCTGGTGCTCCCATTAGGAGGTCTGAGCTTCTAAGGAAGCAGTAAAATCCTGCACCTGTGGGGGTCTCTAGTTCATTAATCAACAACCATTATTTTGAATCACAAATAATGTATTTTTCATTGTAATTAGTACCTACTATTATTTACATTAAAAAGATAAACACACTTAAATTAACGTCCTTTCCCAATGAACTCCACTGCGCACCGCATGACTGACAGGATGGCTTCACTTCTCCACCATCAGCCACTATCGTGCGCACAGTTTTGACCGAACGAGTCGAGGCCGCGACCCAAAACTCAGTTGTATTGTACTGTATCAGACTCTGTACTGACTGCTGCTAATTTGTTTAGTATTATTGGCTTTTGGTGCTTGCTACTGTGTGTTGGCGGCCAGCAGTGCGTAAAGTAAAAACACTTTAAGGGCGGAACTTATCTCCGCCGCTAACATTAATAAGCAGCCTATAATAGAGACCCCCACCGAGCTCAGATTATAACTGGAACCCTGACCAGGAGACATAGCTGCAGTGTTTCACTATCTAAATGCAATTAAATGGTTTGGACCTGGCGTTTGAGTTGGCAGGATGAAGTGACATTGATGTCCCCGACCCCCATGTGGCTCAACTTACCCCTTAGTTGCGCCAAGAGTCCAGTTTTTGTTTTGGAAAGCCACATTTTGAAAACAGTTTATTTTAGTTCTAAATTGATTATTCCCAGGGACACATCCTAAAGTATATGTACATGTTTTAGTTGGAGACATTACTGTCATGTCCTTCCTTTAAAGACGCCTCAAGTAAAAACTGGCTCAACTCGCCCCGCTCTCCCCTATGTGCTCGTCTCTTAGTACTTCCTGACTAAAGAGGTGAATTAAAGGCTCCGTTTCTTTCCGCGAGTTTCCAGACGGCTCTTCATTTAGCACCACAGCCTGAGCTACTTTCCTTTTTGTTGCAAGAAATAAATGTGCAAGATTCTTCATCTGCAATAAATTGAAATATTCTGTCATATTGATTTGGTTAAAAAGTGGGTGAAAAACTATCCTAGCTAAATAACAAAAATAACCCCCCACTAATAGTATGGATAATAAATAATTACACAACTCTAAACAGACTCACTATTCCTGATTTCCTGTCTGTGGCTCTCAGCAGGAAGCCCATTGGTTCCTACCGAAGACCTCACAAATATGCAGTATAGTTTCATTGTAAATGTATAATATGCAACATTTCTGCACTGAAATAGCTAAAAAGAACTTTTCTTACATTATCCCTAATGTTTCCAACAATGTTCAAACCCACAGAAATATCAAATTTTGTTTAGGATAATGCTGCTTTTTGTTTGGTCGTCTCGTCTGTCATGTCTTCCCCTTTACCCCCTCTGGTTCCTGTAACTTCCTTGGAAACAAAGGAAGGATCAGAGAGGGAGGAAGGATGTCAGTGAACATGACTAAACTGAACGGGAGTAAAACGTAGATACGTTAACTCATCTGTGAACATGATTTCTACTTTGAGTCACATCAGGTAGATTTCCATCAGCGATGGTGGCTGTTTAACGACTCCCAGGATCCCGCGCTGCGCTGTTGTTTTGATGTGAGAGACCCTTCGTGTTGGAAATGACATGCTGCGTGTTTAAAAGGGTTCAGTCATTCCTAAAGCTGCTGCTCGCTGTAGATTTTATTAAACAAACAGGAGAAAAATGTGCATTTGTTGGGGACTATTTTCAGCGGCGGATGAATCCACATTGGGATTGGGTGTTCACTAACGTTATTGGTTTGTTCTCTTCATGCTGTTTGTGGACTTTAAGACAAATAATAAAATAACTCCTGACTTCTCCTTTACCTGTCTGCCATCCTCCCAGAGTGGACTTTATCACTGTTCGTAGTTGTCTCTATAACCTCCACACGTCAAATGAAACGCCGTCTCTGTGCAAAAGGATTCAAGTAGAGATTAAATGGCGTAAAATGGCAGGTGTTGTACGAACACGCAGAATGACATTGGCGTGTTATTGATACATCTCTAACGGGTGAAGCAGGCCCGCAGTTAGGAATTATGGACAGGGAGACAACATTTTTCGAACTGGGCCCCTCATCGACACCCACTTAAGCACCACCTCAACCAACAAGGTGTTTCTAATACAAACACGGGCAATTAGCCTTAGTGACACAGATGGAGTCCCTAACAACCAACAAATTAATTTTGGCTTTTCCTTTATTGAGTTATATCTCTTTTATGTGCTGTAACAGGTTTGCAAAGTGAAAAAGCCCAAAGGGAGTTCCCATCTCCCACAGAAAACTCTGCTCTGAACTGCCTGAAAACAGCTCGTTTGAAGTCCAGCCGCTTCCCTTTCAGGGATGAAAGCAAAATGCGCCTCGTATAACGCTCGCCAAGCGGCTACTCTGACACGGCCTCAAAAACAGCGGTGTAAAAACAGCGAGCTGCAGCACACAGCTCTCCTCTCCCTTCCAAACACTAGCTACCCTCCAGGCAGTCAGTGACATAAAGTTGTTCCTGTGATGTAGAGACAGAGCTCAGTTAAAACTTTATGGATACAGATTAATAACTCACCGCTCTGAAACTCTCGCTCCAGTCCATGTTGCCAAGCTGGTCGGCAACATGTACAGCTGAACCCGAGCTGTTTACGGGCTTCTCGCTGACCCGCCCTTCTCTGCTTCTGATTGGCTAGTAGTCCTTAACTAGGAACTGAGCATGTGCAACTCCCAACAAAGATCATTTAGAGACAAGATGTATCACTCCATAGCTAAAACGAAGCCTCCAACGCAGGGTGAAAAGAGGAGCTGCAGCAATGTGCAGTATGAAAAAAAATGTGGTGTTTTTTGAAAATTAAACAATGTAAACCTGTTCTGGTACAACTTCTAAATAAGAAC